AATGAAAGATGGTTTTCATGTTGCTACTCAATAACTTAGGTCGAGATTTAAACATAGCTAGATCTGATACTGTATAGACAGACCATATTTTGCCGGTAGAAAGTCGGCACTCAGGGATATTGAGCAGTGAGGGATCTTTTTCGTGCACACCTACTGCAACACAGGACCCAGGTTTAAACGTTCTTATCTTAAGGAACTGTCTTCACATCCCAAAGAGATATTCGAACCCGCGACGTAAGGATCAACTCCTTACTTGGCAATCTAGAGCAGACGCTCTAACCACTGCGCCAAGGTGGCGATTTATCCCACTCTGACAAAGGTTCTAAGTCTGTTTTTGAACGTTTGACCCATCGCCTGGCGTATCATTTCACAGAACTCATAAAATTATGCCGCTAGATGAAAGATCATGGTTCCCTTGTTTTTGCCCCTGTTAAAATATAGTCACACCTCGTAATCTCGAACTGAAAGTGAATGCCACGATGGTTTATTAGAGGGAGGGCTGTTGTCTTTAACGATTTTTGCACTATTATGTGAAGGATTTGGAAAAATGTATTTATTAATGAAGGTACAATTCCTTTAGAAAAAATACTTTGCATATTTTTATACCTATGTTTGCAGATGAGATGTTAATCTGTGCAGAGACAGCAAATGTATTGCAAAGTGTGTTGAATACAGTACCCTTTCTACCTTTTGTTCAAAATGGGTCCTTTAAGTTAATGTCGGTAAAAACCAGTATTGTTGTATTCAGAAGGGTGGAAAAGTAGGTTGTAATGAAACATGGTTGTTCAATGGTTAGAGAAAGAGGTTTTAAATCAATTTATGTATCATAGGTTACTTCTAAATTTTAATTGAAAACTTTTGGTGACTCAGAAGCAATTATAAGCCTTTCAGAAACTTAAAACCTTCTTTGGTGAATTATTAAAATCATAATACATTGAAATCTCTTTCTGACATATATGTAAAAAGTATTTTATATAAGAATGTGAAGTGTTGTTTCATCACAAGGGCTCGAATATTAAAATACAAGAGCCCATAGACCTTATAAGTCACCTAAGCATCATGCAACAACTTTCTTACCATTGATCCGCCGAAACATGGCTGAAAAATTGCCGACTCGGCATGAAACAATATACATGTACAATCAACCAATCAATCTTATTGATTTTGGTTTATGTTTCAAACCAGAGGCCATGACATTCACAATTTTGAAAGAGACATTACTCATCATAACTATACACTTAGCATGTTTAGTTTGGTTACTTCATACCATTAGGCAGAGTAGGGGGACAGAAAATACATTTCAACTAATCAGTACATGTAATATTCACCAATAATTAGTAGTGCCCCGACCACTAACCCTAATGCCACACATTTCAGAATTTTAGAAAATGCACCCTAGCTCATCATAAATGTTTGATTAATACTAAGGTGCAGATTTCATAGCATTGATTCATTTTCAGTTCATGATCAGTTGACCCAACCTTAACATCAGAATCCCCTACTGTACCCTTGACCCTGGGTCCTGGAAATTCACAATTCCGCAAGAGGAATTATTGCTCGTCATAGATTTATAGGTAATTTATCTGCTTAATACCCAGGAACAGAGGAGAAGATTTTCAAAGAAAAAATGCTTTTTCATTAAATGTAAATAATTTATAGAGCCCCGCCCTAGCACAAGAACTCCTGACACCGGGGCCATAAAATTAAAAATTTTCGAGGAGACAATCCCTTCCTTGTCTTGATTATGTATGTACAGTGTAGTTAGTTTTTGTTAATTCCCGCGAGCAAAGAAGAAGATTTTCAAAAAATTAATACATTTTCACATCAATAAAGCTTCACCCTAACACCAGAACCCCTGAACCTGGAGCTGTAAAATTCACAATTTTCACACTGCTGGGTGCAACCACGTTATGTTCTCGGATGAGTAGACGTTCACTGTAGACTTTCTTGACAGACGCAGGAGGGTTTGGCCCCGACGTAACAAATGTTTCCATGACGGTAACGTTTTTACACATAATCGGCATGGGATTGCATCTGTAATGGTGTCACTGTTGCCTGCAGAAGGGACTTGCATGTTTGTTTGTTTTTTTTTGGACGTGTCATCTTGGCACCCCATGTTGTACCGTCTGAACTTCATCATGACCTCCGTTTCCCTTTTTACAAGATGGCAATGCCAGATGTGATAGAGACAGGATTGTCACAGATTATCTGCGACAGCAGAACATCACCACATTACTATGTTCCGCACTCATTCTGGACCTTTCCCCCATCGAACTGGTTTGAGACACGATTGGACAGCAGCTACGTCCAAGAACTTGCTGTTGCATTTCGACAGGACGTCTCGCTTAGAGTATGCCACGCCAAATCCGAGCTTGTCTGGCCAACCAAAGAGGTTTTACCCCTGTTTCACAATGACGGTAAATTTGCTATGTGACCCTGTGTTGGTGTTGAAACTTATTCTGGAGAATCTGTCCTTTTCTGACCGTACACTGTACACGTTTTGAATAAATTGATATATGTTTAATTAATGTTTCCTGTCATTTCCCGGCATGTCAATATGAGTGGAAAATTCTCGAGAGGGACACTAAACAAAAAACAATAAATCATTTGTTCCCTTCCTGATCATGGCCTCTTGATCTGCATTTCATTGTCCTGGTAAATATCCTCTACTTTGTTTGAATAGTACATAACAAGAATGTTTAATACTTGTTTCAATTGGTACAGATAAGCAGTTGCATTTTGAAAGAGGCATACATGGTATTTTATAAAGTGAGTTCGAAAATCCAAATTTTGGGGTAATAACTGAGCATTTGTTAAATGATGTGTTAAAAATATTTTCCTTTTACCGTTGATTTTTAAAGTGAAAAATACAAGGTTTACCAAACTTATAGAGTTATCTCTTTTTTTCTCAAATAAGTAATGTTTTTATGGTAATTCATATAAATATCTGTATAAACGTGAAAAATCATTTAAATATATTAACTTTTGAAAATTGACCTGGAGGTAAGCGGGAAAACAATTCTATCGTTCGCACTTCTTTAAAATTTCTGGAATATACCCTCTTGTTTATCATAACTATGCATTCTGTTTGTTTGCTTAATACGAAAGAGCAGATGAGAAGTGTTAATTCATTTCAATTTAAGTTTATAATAATTAAACATTCCTCCCTGTTCATGGAATCCTTGACTCTGGGATCATTTTTTCCAGTTTCTTCCAGAAATTTGAAATGTGTATGATTGCACATCATAACAATGCATTTAGTTAATCGATCTTCTATATAAGAAGAGACATTATTGTTCAATGGCTATATACCCAGGAGCAGAGAAAATTTTCAAAAAAATAATAAAACTACGCTATATATAATCATTAGACCCCCGCCCTATTACCAGAAACCCAGATCTAATGCCATAAAACGTCTCAATGCTTATAAAAAATTATGCTAATTGTAGCGAGTCTTTATATGATATATTGTAGATAACGAACAGTGTTCAAGCTCAAAAGTCAATTTAAACTAAATAAATCAGGATAAAAGCAAACACGGACTTTTAAAACATCAGAGACGGGATCAGGTGCCATGGAGGAGTGACCATCCCTTGCCCATCGGTCCCACACGCCGTGTGATCCTTTCCATGATCGAAGGAAAAATCCGTTGTCAAGTAAGTGTGAAAATAATGACCCAACGATTAGTATAGGAAACGTCTATCAACATTTCGCTTATTATAATTTTATCGACCACAGAACTTTAAAAATGTTGACTTTAAACGAAACTAGTTATATACTTGTTTTATTAACTTATTTTTCAATAACTTTCCTCTTTTTTAAAATTTTAAATACGTAGAGCATGCTTTTGTGTATCTTATCAATTGAGAGATATAAATCCCTTATACAGATGATAAGGTTAAATTGTTACATAAGTTCAAAGTTTCCAAAAGTCTCTCTTCGAATATATATTCTTACGTAGTAATTTTGAGAAACTTTCTCGAACTTTTTTTGAAGTTACAATGTTATTAAGCTTACTCAGTGGTGATAAAACATATTGCTTTTGAATTAAGTAGCATAAGTTACTTATGATCAAATGGAAGAGAATTTCATAAACCAACAAAATAAATGTTTTCACATATAAAAGTATGGTGATCTTAAATCTTGTAATAACAATTTGAGGATGAGGTATATTGTCTACGTATTTTTCGAACGATCTTTGTGCTCTGGTCTCGAGGATCAAAATATTAACTTTTTTCTTGACCATTTCAAGTAGACAATTCAAACGTTCAAAAGAACGGGGTAAAATTTGGTGCAACATGATGAAAGACATAACTGTTTATTTACTTAAAGTTTTAATGAATCAAAGAAGACACCGTCATGTATCTTCATACGGCAAATTTTCGTGATTTAAGAAAAATAATTTGGGTTCGTGAGTTTTTAAATTTGATTCCATGGATGAAGAATTGTAATATAGAAATGTGTATGAAAAGTTATATTCAAGACAGACATTATCTATTTGTCTATTCATACCTCGAGCACAACAAAAATTTAGCCTGCACGAATGTTTATGATTTCATTGTATACATGTAAATGTATATGTATAGCTAGAAAGCTTCTAGTTTTTAGGTTTCTCATCTTGTCATCAGCGTGGTGCAGTGGTACAAGCGTCTGCTTTAGACAGTCGAAGAGTAAGAAGCTGATCCTAACGTCGCAGGTTCGAATCCACTGATACATGTGGATATCAGGCTTGGGGGCCATTAAACTTAGACGAGATCACTTTTGATCTCAGTCTCACTTTTCCACTATATATTCCTTTAGTAAAAGTGAGACTGAGATCAAAAGTTCTATGGCCCCCAGGCCAGTCCTTCGGATGAGACCGTATCAACTGTATCAATGGCAGGTGGTAATGCATTAATATAAGTGAAATATTCTCGAGAGGGACGTAACTCTTTCTGATTTACTAGTATATGTTAGGAGCTCGGATTTTATGAGTATTAACGTACCTCTTATGCTAACCCTCAACCAAACCCTGACTTAGGAAAGTCTAGATTTAGCGCATTGGAGATTTGGCTGAACTTACTTGTTGGAAGAAATCCCATGGGAGGACAGTTGATCCCGATTATCATGGACAGGGTTTCTAGTATCCAAGCTTCTTGATATGCTGAAATGGACTTAACGGCATTCGTGTCATCCGGACACTCCGTTCCAACGAGTGTTCCGATACATTCAATATAACTTTTGGCTTTCCTGAAAGAAGTTAAAAAAGATTACTGTAATGTAAATTAATCATATGTAGGTCACTTCAGTATGTTATGATAAGGTAGTTATATATTATTAATTAAAGTTCATACTCATTGTCATAAACCATAATTTTTCAAAAAAAAAAAAAAGGAATTTGCCCTGCAAACTATGACTTTGTAGAATTTTATTTTAAAGGTTTTCGAACAAAATTACAAAAATTCTGCAAAATTCTGCTTTACAGACAACAATAAGTACTCAATCTTTTCAAAAACGAACGGATATCGACATTCTTAATAATGCAATGTGTGTTATTTTTACAAAATTGTTTTTTTATGCAATGAAGTCTATATATTATAGTGTTCCTCCTGTTCGTGATACCTGCAGATTTGTCGCTCGTCCGGCTCCCCGGCGAATGTTATGGTCATGAGGGGGTTAACACAGGTCGTGTCCACTGTAGACTGGATCGCTGTCTTGTCGTAACACGTGCTCGCAGACACTAACAGGTCTTTGTAGGAAAGAGATCATTCATATTACTTTAAATTCAGGGACGAAAGGAAGATGTGTTTGTGAAACACTGATGCCCCCGTATGTCAATATAGCGAAACACTGATGCCCCCATATGGCAATATACATGATATAGCGAAGGTTAACTTTTCTCAAATGCAAATTAAATATGTTGGTACCCAAAGTAAGGCCTCCTCACAAGAAATGCAAAAAGAAATTTAAAACCCTAGCACAACCTGTTCAAAAGTTACGGCAAAGGTTAACGTTTTTTATAGTATATTATAGTATTATTTTTTAACTTTGTTACGTTTAAGGCTACTAGTATCTTATTTTTATAGAAAAAATATCAATAATGTGTTCTTTTAAAGTTGACAACTAAGAATATTTAGTAGAAAGTTGATCTACCGCAGTCATAAAAAAGATTTTTGAATATGAAATGGTCAAGTCTCTTATATTTATATACCTTTAAATAACAGAAATTAAAAATATATATGTGAATACACTTAAGAAAATGAAGTGCGAATGCACACTAAATGAAAATCGAACATTCCAAAAAATTGTTCTTTAAATCCTTCCCTCCCACTTACACACAGATAGGAACTGTAGACAATGTCAAATCTTGTCAGAGCGTATCCTTACCCTTCATATGTCTTATACAGAGCCTGGAAACAAATCTGTCCGTGGACGTAACTTGTTGGAAGAACTCGGGAAACGGATTAAGCCGTGAGCGCTCGCAGGGTCCCAATAGAGGTTCCATACAGGGTTTGTACTGGAGGTAACCTCTGCAAAACAGAGCACTGTCAATGTGATATTTAACAGGAAAATCCCATGGATATTAGGGGCACCTGGGAACCATGCAGCAACTACCCGCAGGCCCTAAATTTAGCCACCAGAATGACCATACTGTAGATATCTGTTATATTCTGGAATTAAAATTTTACATATGGAAGGAACTGAACTTGTCTTAGACTACCGGTATTCAAGGATTTCCCCAGTATTTCGATACAGTGTGGGCCAGTTGACATAATTATCTGAAAATTTCAAAATTATGATAGAAATAATATTTTCGGCAAAAATTAAAATGTAAAACTGATGTCGTATCAGGGTAGCAGGAGTATGTTTTAACATTTTTTTTTGCTTGTCCTATAGCTATATTTTCAGGTAACTTATTTTTGTCTTAGACTGCCCCTCCCCTACCCCCCTTTCAAAAACAAGTGCTACGCCATTGAAAATTTCTAAAGGAAAAATCAAGCTGTAAGCATTAAATTTTACGCTTGCAAGAGAAGGAAATCTCACAATTATACGCGTACGACAACAGAGGGATTGAAGTAATACTTTTTTTAAAGCTGTGTGTTTTGATACGTACTCACAAGACGTTGTAATAAACTTTGAGGTCGGGATCGTAGTGACGAGACTTAGGCCTTCATACATCATGGAGTTACACTTAGACATCTCAAAATAATTGCACACTGGAAATAAAATTAAATGCACATCATCATAAAGGTTAAAGTAATTGGTACTCGATATAAATTTGGTCTAGATTGACAGGTGATCTTATCCGAAAAGAATTTACCGGGCCTGAAGTAAAAGGACAGATGATCTTGTCTATATCTAACTGGTGTAGACAGATGATCTTGTCTGTATTTAATTAATTGGTGTAAACAGACTGATAATCTTGTCTTCACTTACCTGGTGTAGACAGTCAGATAATCTTGTCTACATTTACCTGGTGTAGACAGTCGGATGATCTTGTCTATATTCACTACCAGGTGTAGACAGACAGATGATCTTGTTTATATTCACTACCAGGTGTAGACAGTCAGATATTTTGTCTATATTTAACTGGTGTAGACAGTCAGATGATCTTGTCTATATTTACCTGGTGTAGACAGATGATCTTGTCTATATTTAACTGGTGTAGACAGACAGATGAGTTTGTCTATATTAACCTGATGTAGACAGATATTCTTGTCTATATTTACCTGGTGTAGACAGACATATGATCTTGTCTATATTAAACTTGTGTAGACATACAGATGATCTTATCTATATTCACTACCAGGTGTAGACAGACAGATGATCTTGTTTATATTCACTACCTGGTGTAGATAGGCAGATGATCTTGTCTATATTTACCTAATGTAGACAGATGGTCTTGTCTAAATTTACCTGGTGTAGATAGACAGATGATCTTGTCTATATTTACCTGGTGTAGACAGACAGATGATCTTGTCTATATTTACCTGATGTAGACAGATGGTCTTGTCTAAATTTACCTGGTGTAGACAGACAGATGATCTTGTCTATATTTACCTGGTGCAGACAGACAGATAATCTTGTCTTTATTTACCTGGTGTAGACAGACAGATAATCTTGTCTATATTTACCTGCTGTAGATAGACGGATGATTTTGTTTATATTTACCTGATGTAGACAGACAGATGATTTTGTTTATATTTACCTGATGTAGACAGACAGATGATTTTGTCTATATTCACTACCTGGTGTAGACATTCAGATAATCTTGTCTATATTTAACTGGTGTAGGCAGTCAGATAATCTTGTCTATATTTAACTGGTGCAGAGACACAGACAGATTATCTTGTCTTCATTTACCTGGTGTAGACAGACAGATGATCTTGTCTATATTTACCTGGTGTAGAGAGACAGATGATCTTGTCTATATTTACCTGGTGTAGACAGACAGATGATCTTGTCTATATTTAACTGGTGTAGACAGACAGATGATCTTGTCTATATTTACCTGGTGTAGACAGACAGATGATTTCGTTTATATTTACCTGGTGTAGACAGACAGATGATCTTGTCTATATTTACCTGGTGTAGAGAGACAGATGATCTTGTCTATATTTACCTGGTGTAGACAGATGATCTTGTCTATATTTAACTGGTGTAGACAGACAGATGATCTTGTCTATATTTACCTGGTGTAGACAGACAGATGATCTTGTCTATATTTATCTGGTGTAGACAGACAGATGATCTTGTCTATATTTACCTGGTGTAGACAGACAGATGATCTTGTCTATATTTACCTGGTGTAGACAGACAGATGATCTTGTCTATATTTACCTGGTGTAGACAGACAGATGATCTTGTGTATATTTACCTGGTGTAGACAGACAGATGTTCTTGTGTATATTTACCTGGTGTAGACAGACAGATGATCTTGTCTATATTTACCTGGTGTAAACAGACAGATGATCTTGTGTATATTTACCTGGTGTAGACAGACAGATGATCTTGTCTATATTTAACTGGTGTAGACAGACAGATGATCTTGTCTATATTTACCTGGTGTAGACAGACAGATGATTTCGTTTATATTTACCTGGTGTAGACAGACAGATGATCTTGTTTATATTTACCTGGTGTAGAGAGACAGATGATCTTGTCTATATTTACCTGGTGTAGACAGACAGATGATCTTGTCTATATTTAACTGGTGTAGACAGACAGATGATCTTGTGTATATTTACCTGGTGTAGACAGACAGATGATCTTGTCTATATTTATCTGGTGTAGACAGACAGATGATCTTGTCTATATTTACCTGGTGTAGACAGACAGATGATCTTGTCTATATTTACCTGGTGTAGACAGACAGATGATCTTGTCTATATTTACCTGGTGTAGACAGACAGATGATCTTATGTATATTTACCTGGTGTAGACAGACAGATGATCTTGTGTATATTTACCTGGTGTAGACAGACAGATGATCTTGTCTATATTTACCTGGTGTAAACAGACAGATGATCTTGTGTATATTTACCTGGTGTAGACAGACAGATGATCTTGTCTATATTTACCTGGTGTAGACAGACAGATGATCTTGTCTATATTTACCTGGTGTAGACAGACAGATGATCTTGTCTATATTTACCTGGTGTAGACAGACAGATGATCTTGTCTATATTTACCTGGTGTAGACAGACAGATGATCCTGTCTTTATTTACCTGGTGTAGACAGACAGATGATCTTGTCTATATTTACCTGGTGTAGACAGACAGATGATCTTGTCTATATTTACCTGGTGTAAACAGACAGATGATCTTGTGTATATTTACCTGGTGTAGACAGACAGATGATCTTGTCTATATTTACCTGGTGTAAACAGACAGATGATCTTATCTATATTTACCTGGTGTAGACAGACAGATGATCTTGTGTATATTTACCTGGTGTAAACAGACAAATGATCCTGTCTATATTTACCTGGTGTAGACAGACAGATGATCTTGTCTATATTTACCTGGTGTAGACAGACAGATGATCTTGTCTATATTTACCTGGTGTAAACAGACAGATGATCTTGTGTATATTTACCTGGTGTAGAGACATAGACAGATGATCTTGTCTTCATTTACCTGGTGTAGACAGACAGATGATCTTGTCTATATTTACCTGGTGTAGACAGATGATTTTGTCTATAATTACCTGGTGTAGACAGACAGATGATTTGGTGTATATTTACCTGGTGTAGACATATTATCTTGTCTTTATTTACCTGGTGTAGACAGACAGATGATCTTGTCTATAATTACCTGGTGTAGACAGACAGATAATCTTGTCTATATTCACCTGATGTAGACATATTATCTTGTCTATAATTACCTGGTGTAGACAGACAGATGATTTCGTTTATATTTACCTGGCATAGACAGACAGATGATCTTGTGTATATTTACCTGGTGTAGAGACATAGACAGATGATCTTGTGTATATTTACCTGGTGTAGAGACATAGACAGATGATCTTGTCTTCATTTACCTGGTGTAGACAGACAGATAATCTTGTCTATATTTACCTGGTGTAGACAGACAGATAATTTTGTCTATATTTACCTGATGTAGGCAGATGATCTTGTCTCTTGTCTATAATTACCTGGTGTAGACAGACAGATGATCTTGATCTGCCCGAAGAGACTCTCCCACGGAGACGTCTGTTGGAATGAGGGGTCATTGTAACATGGGATAACGGCCTGTTCATAGCATTTAGAAAACTCTCCGTAACTCCTGACAAATGAATGAATTTTATATTTAATCATTATAACATGTATATTTAAAATAGTTGTAGATTCGAATCAAGTAGATTCAAGATGAGCGAGAAAATCTACGTTAAAGCTCGATTGTTACAAGAATTGATTTTCAATTTATTTTTTAATAATTTATTTTCACTATGTGTAATATAACGGAGAAAATACAAAAGCTTTATGAAAATACATAATGCAAGAGTGCACAGTATACACTATAGGAAAGCTGGTGACCGTGATATACGAGGGGTTATCAAAAAGTTCGTGGACTAGTGCCATAAAATTAAAACGGCTTTAGGTAGATCAATGAATTTTAAAATATCTAGTTAGCATCATCTTTTCTACCTAAAGAATAAACCATAAGTCATAAGTTTTATTATTTAATAAATTAGTAATGTTTTTGTAGGCAGTGGTATGTCCAGGCGGCGCAAACTTGAATACGACGTTTTCGCGACCTACGTGTAAGTGAGAAAAAACTCTTTTGATATGAACATTTGACCTCTAAACACCCCGTTAATTCAGGTATGTGTTTGGACACAATTGTTCCATACAATATGAAATTTTTACTCAATTCTGGAAGTTCTATGAAATTTTATCGTAAATTTTACATGGAGTGCCCAAACAAATAAGGCCTTGAATGTGACGTCAGAAGGGTGGACGGGTTTCCTTTTCCCAACATTCAATAAAGTTTTGCCCCTGAAAAAAAATTGGTATAGACCTAAGAAATGCTTAAACTAGCCGCAGAGAAATAATATGCATCCAGAGTACTTGTCTTTTAATGTTAAAATAGATTCAGAGAGAAAAAGGAAGCACATTTAATGTCAATTTGTAGTCAAGGTGTGAAAAATCAATCACGTCAAATAATGACGTTGATCATGTGTTGTAGATATTGAACTCCAAAAAGCAAAATATGCTGGCATAATCAAGCGAGGATCTCTCCGAATGTATAAATTCTTTTGGGATATTATATTCATTGAAAGCCACTGTTCATGGCATTGTTAAGTCATATAAACAAGGCGGGTTTAAGGTTCACTTAGCTCCACGGAATATCATCAAAAAAGGTGTATGAGGTAGAAAAAGCGGACATTGAAAAACAATGACGTTGTCGGACGTCATGAAATTAAACGGCGACAGCGCCGGTTGATCATATAATGTTTCTTTTATTTTATAATAATTTGGCAAATAATGAACGTATCAAGCTAAAATTTTCAACATTTCCTTATTTTTTGTTGTTTTATGTTCCATATAAATTTTGAAAGCACAGACTACATAGTATTAGTTTTATAGCCTCAGTCCACGAACTTTTTGATAACCCCTCGTATATTACAGTCACCAGCTTTCCAACAGTGAGTATACATAAACCTTGAAGGGTTACTCTCATTAACTGAATTGATGAACTTACAACGGTTAATGATGACAGATACCGTATTACAAGATGTCAGAAAGCACGTTCACGACTTTAAACTTAGACATGACATGTATTTATCGATTGATGATATAATATATTAAACTTTGTACATGTAGGTAATGATGGTTAAAACAAAAGCCAATTGAAATTCTATTTTACACACTTTGATATTATAAAATCTTCAGCATCTTACTTGCACAGATCAGGGAATGTGTCGGGTTTCTGGAGATCTGTGGTTTTCATGTCAATGTTTTGTGCAAAACAAGCCTCCAGTTGTTTTTGATCACATACTGAAAAAATATCATTAAAAATTTTTTTTCATGTATTATGACATAGTTCAAAATTGAGTTTACTGAAACAAGGTATCAACACCTAGACAACCCTAGACTTTCGATCGTGTCTGTAATATACGGAAAAATGACATCTTTAGAAATATGCTTTTTCAGCGATTTCTTTTTTTATTGAGAATATTTATGGAGAGATCAACATAATATGAAATCCATATGACATATTGCTCACCTGAGCATTGTGGCTAAAAAAGGCAGAATTTAAATCAGTTCATTATATGTTCAATTTGAGTGGGGTGGTATGACTTGAGCAAGCTAGAGTCTATATATACACTAAGCTATGATTGTTGCATGTGACCTTGGCTTTATTCCCATTAAGCTTTAACTTTCATTGTGTTCCTATACCACACCCAGGGCCTTGATTTGAAATCTGAATATGACCAATCAAAGCTTTGCCATTCTTGAGATGAAGTTTAATATTTTACCAACCCCAGGCATTATGACTGAAACAAAGTGAATTTACACTAACCGGGAATGTTTTCATATGAATATATATATTACATACTAGTATGTGAAGTGTTTTTAAAAAAGCCATAGTCCTTATTGTTCAAAAGTTATAGCCGAGATTAAAGAAGTTTTTTTTGGGGGGGGGGGGGGGGGGGGGGGGGGGGATAAGGCGTACGAAGTGCCTATAGTGCGACCGATATGAAGTGAAAAATTTAATCTCAATTATATCCAAATTTTATTTGATATTTCATCTAACATTAGAATATACTTAATTAATGTAATATGTCTACAATTTACAAAAATCTCACAAAGAAAGAAAATGATTTGCCTATGAAAAAGCATACACACTCTAAAAAGAACAAAAATTACCATTTTCTCATATTTAAACATATTTTTTTTTCAATATGAGTGTCTCTTAACTCCATTTTTTTGAAAGATAATCCTAAAGTTTGCAATCAAATATACATTTTTTTTGGTTTTCAAAAACATGGAGTGAAAACCCACTATATCTGAAAAGTTCACTTTTATGATAAAACATTCGCATCTTTACGAGAAATACTTCAAGTACACTAAGTCAAAGGTCAAAGCACAAACATGATTTAAATGTCCAAATTAAGGAGAGGGCTAAAATACGCTTCGCCTGCTGCCCAATCCCATTCACCTATGTGAATAAAATTGTGTATAAATAAATAAATGTCCAAAGTCATCATGAGCCATGTAGCATAGTGTTTAGCTTGTTAGTTTCAAAGCAGTATGACACTTCGGATTCTTATTGCTATATAGGGTTTGAATCCCAAGAATACCATCTAATATTTTTATAAAAGAAAAAAATTAAGAGATTTTTTTTCTCTCACAAAAGTTTTTTTTCTCATGATTTCATAAATTTCAATAATGAGAAGTGAATTTGAATACTGAATTGACATATTGAATATATATGACGCTATAGGCATTCTAACAGCCTTGTTCCCCATCTTCTTTTTTAAAGTACTTAATCTCCGACGCCAAGGTTAAAGGGTCAAAGTTATTGGTATCTAATGAAAGATCTTGTCACAAATAATACATATTTAAAGTATGAAAGTCCTAGTATCTACCGTTCAAAAGTTATAGCCAAAGTTAAAGTTTGGATTTTTTGTGTAAGTGTGTAAATCTCCAAGGTCAAATTTTGTGGTACCCAGAGAGAGGTCTTGTCACATGGAATAACATATTTGAAGTATAAAAGTCATGGCTCCTTTGAATCAAATGTTATGGGCAAGGTAAACGTTTTTGCAGACAAACAGATAGACAGAAAGACGGACGTCGGACACTACAAAATCTATATACCCCCGAATCTTCGATTACAGGGGCATAATAAAAAAAAATACCTGGTTCTTTTTCTTTACAAAAGATTTCCTTTTGTGTCTTCATTTCTTGAACCATCGTAAAATAGACTTCATTGTTAGTTTCGGCGCATTCAAATGAGTATTGTGCATAGCAGTTTCTCAAAGTGTCATAAAATCTATAAAAAAAAAATAATAAATTACATCATATCTGATATAAAATAACAACAACAAAACGGAAAAATCCCAAGAAAAGTGCGTATCAAGGTCTGTCATCTCAAACCTAGATAAAATGAGATGAACAGCAGAACTTTAATACGTCTGTTATAATATTTCGATCTGTGAAAGGCGGAGGGGTGTAAAGATGCCTTTTAAAAAACAGGCTTTAAAAAATTTTCCAAAAGGATTTGGAATTTTTTACTATTCATAGATTTATGCACTTTTAGAAAATTACAAATTTCATATTAAGTTAATGATATTTTTTTCTGATTATTTCGCTTTATAAAATAAAATGTTGTTTTTAATTAAATGCATGGTACGTCACAACCTTATGACAACAGCAATACATGTATCATTTCCCAACATTTTGTCAAAAATGAATATAATTTTTGTCCTGTATATAGTTTATGAAATAATTTTAAAAGTTTATCTGGGACAACCCTCGTATAAAAGAAATAATACCACACATGTAACGCACTGTAATAGGTGTTTTGCTCTTGGATAACAACTTCTGGATGACTGCTAGTCAAAAATAATCCGCCGACGGGTTTCACCTAATTATATTCTTTTTTATGACAACCCTGTCTTTAGTATACCTACTTAGAAAACTTGTGAAGGTCGGAGAATAATTGCGTGAACAGTACGCCTCCTACGTTATCCCTAAACAAACAACAATATTTGTATCTATGGACAGCTAAATATTTTCTACAGCCATTATTATGTCAAATACGAGGGCTGTTGGGAAATTATATTTTTACTCCATAAAGGACAGCTGAGATTAATTCATGAAAAATCGTCGACGTTTTATAAAGAGGCATATAGGACATAATCAATTATTTACCGTGAACTTATGAACTTGCATAATTATGTTTACGTATATCTATCTGGAGCAGCATCGCTAGGAGATTCTCAGACTTGTAAATCAGGGTACCATTGTGGCAACACACTTTGAAAAAATTACGCACTTTGAAAAAAAATTTCAAAGTGCGTTAAATTTGGGACACACCCAACGCACTTTGAAAAATTTTTTCGAAGTGCGTTAGGAGTGTACATAAACATTTTTTACCATGGGTACATTTAACGCACTTTGAAAAAAATATGTATAAAATATTCTATCCTTAGATTTTAGTAATTAAGAGAATCAATTTGTAATAATTATATCTTTCGAAAATCTTTTTAATTTACATGTACTCATTTAACCTCATTGAGAACAAGGAGAATACGAAAAGAAGGTCTCTCAGCCCAACTCTTTTTTTTTTTATATATTGTACATAGCCGTCGGTAGCAAATTAAAAGTATATTCATGTATTATGTACATCTTTGCAAAACATTTGTGTGCCTAAGCCCCCCTCCCCCTCTCGGTACCGATGCCTATATGCTACACACAAATATATGTATTTACATAACTGGTATGACGTTGAAAACTTTCAATAAGTTTTAATTTACATAAAATGCATGAAAATTGGAAAAAATTAAGTGCAGTAAAATATTTGAGAGAGAAAGAATTTTCAAAGTATGGAAAAATCAAAATCGCTCACTTTCATATCCTGAAGTGACCTCATCGCCGAAGAGTTATCAAACAGGTTCAATCATTTATCATACCTAAGATTTGCAAGAATGTTGATCAAGCCATTCACATTTTTTTTCAAAGTGCGTTAATATGGTCGATATTAATGCACTTTGTAAAGAAATTTTATTTTTTCAAAGTGCGCTGAATTGGTCCCAAATTTAATGTACTTTGAAAAAAATTTTCAAAGTGCGTAATTTTTCAAAGTGCGTTGTAACATACCATAAGATGTTCTCATTTATACACAAAAATCAGGATACATTACCAAGAGTTTTTACTAGATATAAAATAATGAAAAAACTAGTATTTTTAGAGAAAAAAAGTACATGTAGTATAAATATAGTTTTAGCTGGTATTTCGAAAAGAAAAATGATTAAGAGGAGTCGTACAGTGTTACATTGTACCAGACATCAAAAATTCCCAAAAGGTCCTTCAATAATTGGAACTTTTCAATGAAACAAGAGATAAAGCATTATGTCCTTAAGTGCCACCAAATTAAGTGCATACGTACCGACAAGCATCTTCTATCCACAAGGACTTCATGGCGGGGGAGTCTCGACATTCCAACAGCTTGTCCTCTGGACACATGATTGGCGGACTGTCCGCGACCACTGCAGAAAAATAAAGCTCAAATCGAGGATTTGCTTGGTATCAAGATCCGGGAAATTAACGTGTCCTATTGATCGGAATTAATCAAGTTATACACTAGCGTTGTAGGGTAGGATTTCCCTCAAGGTCAGCCCCCCCCCCCCTCTTTGGAAATCTGTTGTCACCCCCCCCCCCCCCGGAAATCTGTAACATTTCCAACATTTATTTCTTTTCATTTCCGGAATTTTTGCAAAGTACCTCTCCGACAATTTTAATGTTTACCAAGTATCTGACATACTTTGTCAAATGAGACTTTAAACCACTCTAAAAACATCTATCTTGTCATTCTTTACATTCTTAGCTAAATGTCAGCATCTGAAACCTTGGTAAATAAAATGAGACACATTAAAAGCATCTTCCATTCATCTCAGATTCATGTGGGACATAGAAGTACTTAATCAGAAAACTGCACCAACATCTTCAACCTGGTTATAGTAAAGAAGTATTAATTTTCAATCTTCGTTTGTTTATTTGAACTGGTCGCCGTGTTGTTGTCCCAATCCCTCATGAATGTAAAAAGACTCTGCTGTAAGATTTCCTACTATGAAGTCAGTTTTCGTTGGTAAAATCAGGTAGATAGACCCTTGAGCCTTTTTTTTCAGAGGGAGGGGGGGGGGGGTGTTGCAACCACTATTGAAATAATTATTTCAATTGTGATTGAGAGTGCATTTCAATAATAAGCATTGATTGCAACCACTATTGAAATACGACCACTATTGAAATAATTATTTCAATAGTGGTTGAGAGTGCATTTCAATAACAAACATAGGCTGCAACCACTTTTGAAATAATGTTCACTTTTGAAATAAGATTTTCAATAGTAATTGAAATAATGATTTCAAAAGTGATTCAAATAATGATTTTGATAGTTGCTGATACTTATTCCAGTACAAAAACCACATTGCAAGACTTATTAAAATAACTATTATAAATTATAAGGATTAATTGTTCATTATGTTCTCCAATATTTTAAATTCATTTATTGAGTTTACTATTAAAATTACGACTACTTGTGGATTATTATTTCAACAGAAGTTGAAAATACATTTCAAAACACCACCACATTTTAATTACTATTGAAATATCACCTACCATTGTAATAAACCGAATACTAAATTCCCTAGAAATTTTGCTTTTTAAGAGCCATTCTCTGTAATAATTTGAAATTTTATATAGGAGCTGTGGCACGCATAGTCTCAGAATTTCTCCAAACTCACTATGATAAAAGTCATTGATACCCTAAACTGAAATCAGGCAAAAATTGGTTGCTATGTTTTATAGTTACCATGGGAACCTGTCTTAAAGTTCGAAAAATGGCATTTTTTAACATGTTTAGAGCCCCATAGTTAACATTTGCGGCAAAGCAAACAATTGGCAATGACCGTTTCCAAAAGTTGAGGGTCAGATGTCTCAAATGCATGATAAACATGGTTGGTAAATCAACTATTACATACGTTACTATGGTAACAAAGTATTCAAAAGTAAAAAAAAATATTCATTGAATTTTATAAAGTCATACACGTAAAAATAAAAGCAATTATAGGATAAAATGTGACCAAATAATAGAAAAAAGAGCCTTGAAACATATACCAAAAACAAAATATGATATTTCATTTTGGTTGGCAATGGTTGCCAAGGTTTTTATTCCACAGAGAGCCTTCAAAGTATCACTCTGTATGTTTAAATCTGATCCTATCTTTTAAAAAAGCACATTTCTTCATAACTAATGATCAATTTTTAAAGATGTTGGTGTGCTCCTAGTTTTCCCATTTGAAAAAATTCAGATTAGATTCTTTAAATAGAGCGTTGCTATGGAAATAAGCAGAAAATATATGCTTAAAAACCTGAAAAATATTTTCTTTCCTTGGATACGTACCGTTAAATGTGGATTCCCAAAACTTTTATGATTGATATTTATTAACAGCTAACCTGACTTTTAATTTTGACTATCATCCAATCTCTAAGTGGATGCAAGAAGTTGACACACAGGGTTTAATATTGATATAAAGTTCACAAAATCGAACATTTTCCCTTCTTGGTAACCATAGCAACAGTGTTGTTTTCTTCATCAAATTTTATCAATATATGATATTCAACTTCAGTTCTAACAGATAAGTAATATTCAAGCTGATTCCTTTAATTTGTTTCTTGATTAAATGGCAATTTAATTCTTAATGTAGCGAAAAATAATTCACTTTTAAGCACTGGTACTTTGTTTCCATGGTAACACTGCAAAGTAGCAATTATACCAAATTTTTCTTATGGTTTTGGTGTTGCAAGTCCTAAGGATGTATATTTGCCAGTCTTGAATTTTCATGTTTTTCCTCAAGACAGTAGCATTAACCAAATCTTAGTTACTGGTTTTGCATGGTTACACTGTGTAACCATGGCAACCATAAAATTTATTTAGAGAATAATATTGCTTATACTTATATACTTAAGGTCAAACATTTTCATTGTTTTTCTTAAGTCGCTGATTGAGTTTGAGCATGTAACACCTACCATTAGTGAATACGGAGTGTTTTTCAGCATATTTCAGCATTTTAAATGTATTTCAAATGTACCCTGGGTTACCACTTACTTAGAGATATATTCTATAAAGTTTCTTTGCAGTATAAGTGACATCAAGGTGTCATGTTTTTGTGAGAATGGTTTGTTTGCTTTTTCTAGTTTTTATTAAGCCACAGTCAAGATTTAAATTGGCTGAAAATCTCGATTTTTCAAACTTTTCCGGCTGTTGCCATAGCAACCGAGACACATAGCAACGGAATTTTGATTGATATTTGTTTCTAGTGTCAAGTACTAAGCATGGGTGAAGTTTCATCAAAATCGGTGACCATGCGTGGCAACGAAGTTTAAGTGGTTACAGAGAATGGCTATTAATATCTTGACTAGTAGACTTTGACTTTGCTATCCATATTTGTAGTGCAGGTAATTCCATGAATATGAGCAACAATTTAGTTCTATACTATATTCTTTTTATTAAAAATAACAATATATTCCCCAGAAAGCTTGTACACAAAATTATCAGTCTTCCTTCTTTTTTTTCAATTTATTTTAGATATTCTAATTTCTACATCTAGATGTACTTATGATCCTTTCCTTTTCAAATCTGTGACAAAAATGAACATTATATACCAAATTATATCCAAATGCATATATCAATTGATTGTGTGTTGGTTTTCGCCGATTCGACCAGATTCAACGAGAGCTTGCTTATAACCTTTGCATACAAATTTGAATTATAGGTACATGTAGATCAGTTTAACGAAAAGTGTTTGTGTATTAATTGAAATTTCTACAAATAAGAAAAACAAAAAACAACTTTTGTTATCATATTTTTAACTCAATAAATTAGTTTCTTGTGTAAGAAAACAGAATGTGTAATTCATCCTTATATTTGTTTTAATATTTGGGCTACTTCTATGAAGCTTGCAATGTGATTTTGGTATTGTCAGTAACTATTAAAATAATTATTTTAATATCTATTGGAATCATTGTTTAAAGCACTATTGAAATCAATATTTCAATCACTTTTGAAATATTTATTTCAAAAGTAAACATTATTTCAATAGTGGTTGCAACTTATGTTTGTTATTGAAATGCACTCTCAACCACTATTGAAATAATTATTTCAATAGTGGTCATATTTCAATAGTGGTTGCAACCAATGTTTGATATTGAAACATACTCTCAACCACTATTGAAATAATTATTGCAATAGTGGTCGTATTTCAATAGTGGTTGCAATCAATGTTTATTATTGAAATGCACTCTCAACCACTATTGAAATAATTATTTCAATAGTGGTCGTTATTTCAAGGGGGGTCTTGTCTAGAGCTAATTTATCGCGAGGGATGGTTTTAAAGGGGAACTCTATAAGATTGGTACTTCGATCAAAAAAGGTAAAGCAAACACTGGTTTCTTGATACGGATGGCGAAGTTTAACTGTCTTTAGGTTATAGCCTTAAGTTTAAAATATGAGGTAAGTTTAGGGTATTTTCAATTTGTTTTCTCTGTTCATATTTAAGTAAAGGCGATGTGAAAAGCTACTTTAAATTTTTTTTAAACAATTGGACGCGCGATTTATGTATACTTGTAAAATATGATGTAAATACATACTGTTAACTATATATACCACGTCCAGGGAAACTGGAATTCAGTGATGCATATGGTTTATTCAGAACAAAATTATGAAGAGTCAGAAATAGTCAAAACATCACAATTTTACCTGATGCCAAACAGAAGATTAACAGTATCCCCGTTTTTGAATCCATGATGCACACTCCCAGCGGCCAAGAAAACGAACCTGTCCCCCGATCTCGTCCTGTAGCAGTGAACTGACCCGTCACTTGGCCGGAGTCCCGCGGAGTGCTGTCCACTAATTAGTCAAACTCGAATGACCTGTACATAATACAGACTTTTGTGAACTGTAGCTTATTTAATCTTTTACTTTTATACAGGTTTTTAAAAGATAAATGATGTAAAACATTGCTTAAGTTCTTTGACCATCAGATTTTGGGGATTAAAATTCAGGAGAGTAAGTGAGAGAGATTTAAAAGGGCTGAGGTTTGGCAATCCGTCTCTGATTTCCGAGGTGCGTGAAGGTTCTGATCACATTGCATTGTTTTAAATGGACTTTTTCACAGTATTATTGATGTCAACCTGTCGACCTGTCTACCTGTCGACCTGTCAACCTGTCGACCTGTCTACCTGTCGACCCGAGCGATCAAATGACTTTGAAATATATATTTACACGCATTTATGTCTTCATATTCCATGTCGACGCGTTGTGTTTTTGATAAATTCATTTAATATTGTTAAAATCGATTTCAATAATGGCAAATATTCATTAATATTCAAATTTGATTCATATGCAAAATATGGTAATTTATTTTATTTTATACATTTATGAATATTGATGAATATGCAAAAAAAAATATTCTTACGAGAAAAAAAAATTGGAACTAGTCTTATAAAAAAATGTTAAAATCGATTTCAATACAAAAAAAAATGTTAAAGTGATATATGGCGTATTTTTGATAAGTTCAGGCTAACTAAAATTAAAAAGATCTTTCTATTTGTTTTGTTACTTTTATATAAAGATAGGACTTTCCTGTTAATTACACAATTTAAATCAGTCGCGTTTCATAGATATCACAGATTTAAAACAATAACCGATTTATTTCCGACTCGGAAATAAATAACAGACACCGTTTCAAGTCAATTTATCTATTAGAAACGAGGTTATATTTAAGTTCAAAATGGGTGAAAATTTGAATTTGAACGTTAATAACAAATAACAAAAATCTGCGCTTAATCTCGTATTTTTATATTTTAGCTCAGATACGCCATATATGGCTTTAACATAATTGAATACAAACGAATGGATCTCCATTAATTTTCGTCCGCAGGTGTAAACAGAATAAGTATGTGTTAACTTCTGGCAGCTGATTAAAAAAACGGATCAATTTAAAATTAAAAAAAAAAATCAAAAGCATGTGTTTTGAGGCAAAGTCAAGTTTGAGTGAAATCTTCGGAGTTTTTAATTAATAAAAAAAGCAAAATATTCGTTTCAACCTGAACAATACTTGAAAGTACTCTGTAACTTGTAGAATGTTTTAATATCTGTGGTGACATTTTATCAATGAATAATGACTTGAAAAAAAAAACGTTCAAGGAGAAAAGCGAATCAAATATATGTACATACTTACCTCTGACCATTATATATTAAGATTGGTTAAATTATCCTTATTTTGAGCTGGTAAATGGTTAAGATTTGAAACCGTACATACATGCATAAAATAAAATTCACAATTTATCCTATCTGGAATGTATTACTTGATATAATCCGAATATCAATTATCTATTTTAAAACATGTAGACCTACATGTAATGCGAGAATATGTGAAAAGGGTTCTCTGATTAATCAAATCGAGGATAAGATGTGCGAAGAATACAGCTTTATAAAACCAAAGAGCTAGAGCCACGAACAGCGTAAATGTGCCTTGTAGAGCTACAAAATTAATAAGGTTTTAAATACAAAAAGTGTCGACTTTTAGCTTTTCATCAATGTTTATCTAATATCTTTTCAAGAGGAAATTTTACAGTATGGCACGGTTTTCATCGAAAGAAAGAGGGCGTACAAGGCGTGGACAATCCCCCGCTCTGAGACAAAATGTTTCTCAATTTTCAAAATTCACAGAAAAGTTATATTTTTCTAAAATCATGTTCTTAGTAATATCATCTTCAAAACATTTTATTATTTTATTTATTTATTTTTTTTTTTTTTTTTTTTTATTTTTTTTTGAGAAGTTTATTTTAACTTTCACACAAATTTCACAAATATGAAACAGACGTATATGTAAATACATATACAAGAAGGTTTATAATAAAGCAAAAACAAAAAAAGAAATAATAAAAACTAGTGTGAAAGTTTATGTGGAAAGAGAGAGGGGGGAGAGAAAGGGGGAAAGAATGAGAAAGTGAGCGAGAGAAGATGAGAGGGCACACACTTTATTGAACAGGTAACGGTAAGAAAATTTTAAAGTTTTTCAACTATTTCCTGCCAGTGTCTTTCAAATTCATCATATTTACAGTTTTTTAACAAAAGAAATTTTTCTACTCTAATTCTTTCAGTAATAACATTTTTTAAAGTCTCAACGTTTAGTTTTATAGTTTTGGCATACTTACTCGCAAAAATATATTGTTTTATAATCAGAATAAGTAGATTTTCTAACTTGTAGGAGTTTCTGTTTAAAAATTTACCAAATGAAATTGATTGTCTATCAAAACAAACAGACTTGTTCACTTTTCGCAAGATCCATTCTTCGATCTCTAACCATACTTCTTTTACAACAGAACATTCAACAAAAAGGTGATCAATAGTTTCAATATCCTTCTCACAGAAGGAGCATAATGGTGAATCGATAAGTCTTAATTCAAAAAGATGGCAATTAGTAGGAATTATTCTATGTAAGATTTGGAATTGTAACCATTGAAGTTTTGATTCTTGGGTTGTTTTGAAAGGTAGCTCAAAAATTTTTTCCCAGTATTTTTCACTAAATTCTTCCCCATTTTCACTCCATTTTATAACTGAAGTTATATTGCCCTTTTTATTCCTAATGAGAACATTATACATATCATTACACCCTTTTTTACTCTTTAAGAAAATTTCAAGGCTGGATGGAAGCATCGGTCTAGGCAATGGCCTTATTTCATAATTCTTGGAACATGATAGTCTCTTTCTAATTGCTGTTCTTAGTCCAGCATATTCAACATAGTTTGTATTTACCTTCAAATTATTTTGAATAAAATCAAAACTGTAAAAGTTTCCATTTAAATCTAAGAAATCATTGATAAAAACAAAGCCCGAATTAAAGTAACTTTTGATGAAAATTGACTGGCCACCAATGGTAACTTCTGGATTATGCCATATGTGTTCTTGGAGAGGACTTTTAAAATCAGCTATAGCTTTAGCCTGATTTACTTTACACCAGCTAGAGAAAACATCTTTCCAAAATTTATTTTTCGTGGTACTACTCAGATTCTTAATAAAGTCAATTCCAAACAGCCAAAGATATACTTATTTCTAATTCTGCTTCAAGTAATTAACCCATTTTGCACTTGAGTACATAATCCGCCTTATCCAACTAGATTTCAATGATGTAACAAAATTTTGATAGTCTATCATTTTTAAGCCCCCAAATTTATGCTCTTGAATCATTACATTTTTCTTGACTTTATGATTTTTATTATTCCATAAAAAAATTATACAAGTCTTTTTCAAAAGCACTCATGACATCATCGTTAGGATTTGGTAAAGTGAGTACAAGATGATTTAGTTTAGGAATTAGTAATGTTTTTATTACAGTCAGTCTTCCAAGAGGAGTAAGTTTGCGAGCTTTCCATTGTGAAATGTTTTTTTTTAATTTCTTCAATTTTTAATTTGTAATTAATATCTACCATCTCTTGTAAATCAACAGAAAACTTAACACCTAGTAAATCAAAGGATGTAGTACTGGGATCAAACTTCCATCTTGAGTGATGAAATACATCTTTTGAGAATTTTTTACTTCCAATCCAGACTAATTTAGTTTTAGAAAAATTCATTTTTAGACCCGAGATTGATGCAAAATAATCTAACACTCTTGTAATTCCATCCAATGAGCTTGGAGAGCCATCAGAAATAGCAGATGTATCATCTGCATATTGGGACAAACTTGTATTCTTCACCATCAATAGTTATACCTTTAATATCCTTATTTTTTCTAATTAAAATACCTAGAATCTCTGCACAAAGTAAAAAAAGGTACGGTGAAATAGGATCACCTTGTCTACAACCCCTTTCAGGGTAAAAATACTGAGACACAATCCCATTTTGAATAACACAGGACTTTATATTATTATAGAAACATTTTATCCAATTTCTAATTGACTGACCAAAATTGAAGAAACAAAGTGTTTGATATATGAAGTTCCATGAAATGGTATCAAATGCTTTTTCAAAGTCAATAAACATTAAGAGACCAGGTATATTTCTTGACTCTGCTTGGTGCATAATATCATATATTAGTCTAATATTTTCGCCAATAAATCTACATTAATAAATCCTGTTTGGTCCCCATGTATTAGCTTATCTAAGAATTTTTTAATTCTTTTAGCAATGCACCCTGAGGCTAATTTATATACAACGTTTAAGAGGCTAATAGGCCGCCAGTTTTTTAAAAATTGTTTTGGCTTACCATTATTTTATTTTACTGAACAACTTATCAATTGATAATCTTTATTTCAAAGTTGACAATTAAGCATATTTAGTGGAAAATGGGTTTACTAGAGCTATAAAAAATCAATTTTGAACATGAATGGGTCAAGTCTCCATTCTTCTTTAACGCTTAAATGATGGAAACGTAAATGTGAAATCTATTTCATTTGTCCATAAAATGGAATCTGAACCCATTCTATATGAAAATCGAACATTTCTGAAAAAATGTACGCTTCAACAAACCCGTTCATTAAAATCACACTGACAGACGTCGATAATGCATATATACTTCCTAACGTAGTGGTGAAAGCGGTCGGTCTTGGACCAAACCTTGCGCTATATATGGAGAGAGTTCGAATCATACGTGAAACTTTTTTTTCTTTTTTGGTTTTACATATCTTAAAAACATGGGTAAAAAATCAATTATTCGTAAAATAGTAAAACAATGAAATACAGAATTAATTGTGTAAAAGATGGTATAACCATATAATTTTGAAAAATATAACTTTTAGAATTGAGAAATGTCTTTTCTCAGAGCGGGGGATTGTCCTCGCCTTGTACGCCTCCATTCTTTGCGTTATATAGGAACGTCATTATTTTTAGAGCTGTGTACACGGGCACTTGTTTCGGAAATAAATTTTTAACCTATAGAACATTATTATACTATAGGTTAAAAATTTATATCCGAAACAAGTGCCTGTGGCTGTGTATGGTGTATCCGAGCTAGCTGCAGAACTGTAGCCCTCAGAAAAATATATATATTGACAGACCGGAGAGCTACAGTGTCAACCATTTTAAAAAAAACATATGTAATCAGAGATTACAGAGCTCACCTCAACAAATGTTGTCTTTAAGTAAGGCAAAATCACACAATTAACCAACAAAAAGTGTACATCCCAAAATGAAAATATTTATGCAATTTTGATCTGATACTTTGGAATAGACCTAAATAAAAACTTCAAACTAGTTCTTTTTCATGAAATTGTAGTTAAAATCCAGCATCTGAAGCAAATTTGAGAGTTTTCATCCCTTGCATCATTTGCGCAAGTTTGCTTTATACAATGTTATATAAGCCTTATAGTTTTTTGGTAATAGACCTGCACCCATAACTTATCTGAAAAATGTATGTCGAATTCAGTATCCGAAGCAAGTCCATTAGTGTGCATCCTAAGATGTATCGTCCATGCAAGTTTGTTCATTATAGGGCTCATAGTTACTTGGAAATGAATCCTGTATCAAAAACTAACCTTTTCACTCATCCACAAAAAGTAGGTCAGATTCAGCATCCGAAGCAAGCCTGGCAGTATGCATCCTATTAAAGATGTATCATCCATGCAAGTTAAGTCATTATAGGACTCATAGTATCTTTGAAATCAAAAACTTTAACCTGTTCACTCAACCGGAAAATGAAGCTCAGATTCAGCATCCGAAACAAGCCTGGTAGTATGCATCCTTAGATGTATCATCCATGCAAGTTTGGTCATTATAGTGCTCATAGTTACTTGGAAATGAGACCTGCACCAAAAACTTTAACCTGTTCACTCAACCAGAAAATGTAGGTCCGATTCAGCCTCCGAAGCAAGCCTGGTAGTGTGCATCCTAAGATGTATCATCCATGCAAGTTTGGTCAACTAGGGCTTATAGTTACTTGGAAATGAGACCTGCAACAAAAACATTAACCTGTTCACTCAACCGGAAAATGTAGGTCAGATTCAGCATCCGAAACAAGCCTGGTAGTGTACATCCTTAGATGTATCACCCATGCAAGTTTGGTCAACATAGAGCTTATAGTTCCTCGGAAATGAGACCTACACCAAAAACTGCACCAAAAATGTTAACCTGCTCCAAAAACATTAACCTGGTCATTCCTTTGCTGAAATTGCAGCATCTGAAACTTTGACTGGTACAATGAAACACACTAGAAGCATCTTCCATGCATGTCTAATCAATATAGGACATAGAAGTACTTAAAAAAAAACTGCTCCAAAAAACTTAACCTGGGACGCCGACACCGACTCCGACGCCGAGGGTATTACATAAGCTCCCCCAACTTCGTTGAGGTGAGCTAAAAAAACTGTTGGATTAATTCTTCCAAATTCTCACCTCAATTGCAAAAAAAAAAAGCTAGATTTCAAAAGAGCCCTTACTCCTCTAATCTCGTAGTTTACATCTGTACGAAGCGTGTTGGGCCGTCTTGCAAACCAAAATGGCAGTATAAATAGGCGAAATTTTCGATGATCTCAATTTCAGGGCCTAATTTTACCCAAATTTGTTAATTTAATACTGTATACAGGGAAAATTTCGCCTCCGTTTTATTTTCGCCCCTTTCGCCCTCTTCTTGATTGGGTGAATTTAAAACGGGGCGAATTCAAATTACACAGTATAATTTCTTAAACAGAACTATGACAGGGCGAATTTAAAACGGGGCAAAATTGTTTGCAAGTGCAAAAGGGCGAAAATAACACGGGGCGAAAATAACCCTGCATACAGTATTCATTAAGTAATTAAACAACTGCCTGTTTTTATACCCCCCGCTTGAAAAGCGGGAGGGTATATAGTAATCGGTATTTCCGTCCGTCCGTCCGTCCGTCCGTCTGTTAATCTTTGGGGTACCCATCTCTTATCCGCAACTCCTCTCATACCACTGAATGAAATTTGATGAAACTTTCACAGAATCTTTATTACATATTGCCATTGTGCACCTCCTATTTTACTTTTTGATCCGACACATATTTTGGGTTTCCCGGCCACAGGAAAACATGGACTTTTTCACCAGTTAAAACCATATGGGAGGCGGGGGGTATCATTTAGTGAGCTCATCGCTCACAGTACCTCTAGTTTGTACTTAAAGAAGCTGTCAGCATACGATAAATAATCTGGGGGATTAAGGTTGTGTGCTTGTAAAATAAAATGAACAAAAAATGCATAGCCGTCTATTTAAAACCGATGTTCAGGGATGTTAAAGGGGATTATAGGGAAAAAAAACAACTTAAGGTGTCTCACAAAACATACTGACCTTCGTCTAAAAAAAAAGTTTAATAACGTGATACTTAGCCGGGTAGGGATCAAATGCAATTAATCGACCCAGGATTTGTACCTTAGACAGGGTCTCTTCTTCTCTTACATTTATATCAAGTTTGCACCTGGTCAACTTTGCAAGAAGTAGTCGTAAGAGGAGGAATGGATGACAATTTTTGACTACCCGGGACACTTGCCATAGATGCCATGAGTGGATCTAGAAGGGGGGGGGGGTGTCGGGACCCCGGAATTTGCAGGTTATTAAATTCATATACTAAACTAAGTAAAACGTGACCCCCCCCCTAAAAAACGCGCATTCCCTCGAAAACGTGGATCTGTGTAAAGTTGATATGAAAAGTCATACGTATGAAGCATTAGAAGTCAACGACTACTCAACCATCCCCATGAAATAGGCTTTTCACGTTTTTGGGCGAGTTTACGTTGTTTTTTTTTTTTTTTTTTTTTTTTTTTTGGTTTTTTTCGTTTGTTTGTTTATTTTTTTTGTTTGCTTGTCAACAAATTTCTGGAGAAAAAAAAATCCTGGATAGGTGCCTTTATTTGTTTCCCCCACTTGAGTGAACAACGATATTACTTCGTTCTTTCTGAACAAAATGCCAGGTACATGTACTAGTATCTTCTGCTTAAATGATATAAACAAGGGAAACACATGAGCCACAACGCTTACATGTACCTGAGAAACTTTGGCCCTGTTGATCTACACGCTACTTTTTACTATGTGAAACCTGTTACTATGTTACACCTGTTTTGACCCCATCCTAACCCCGGCCCAAGACTCGTGATTTTAATGATTTGCAATATACACTACCCTTAGATGCTTCAAAGTGGTCCATTGAGAAGAAATTTTATAAATAACGAGATTTTTTTCTATACATTTCAATGAAAAAGTTGGATTCCCTACTGTGGCCCCGCCATACCCCGTGGGTCACGATTTTTACGATTCTACACCACCTCAGGATGCGTCCTCTTTTGCTTCTTAGCAATGTTAAATTAAGATTTCCTATTGTGGCCCTGCCCTTCTCAAAGGAGTCAAAATTTTAACAATTTACATGACTTTTTGTAGAATCAACACTCTCCCCAGAGGCTTCCACATATATGCAAGTTTCAGCTTTTTTCTGGCCCATTGGTTCTTGAAAGGTTTTTAAGACCCCATCCTATTTTTTGCATTTCTTGATTATCTGCCCTTGTAAGGGGGTCTGGCCCTTTATTTTCAGAATTTAACTTTCCCTTTACTCAACATGCTCTGTACAAACTTTGGTTTAATTTGACGAAGTGGTTCTCGAGAAGAAGTTAAAGATGTTAAAAAGTTGACTGATGGATGGACAATTAGTGATCAGAAAAGCTCACTTGCGTTGAGCTAACAAAGTCAATATTTACAACTCTATGCCAAATAATTTATGGACATTTAAAATTCAAATCTATGTTATTATACACTGTAGGAGTGTTAATTCATTAAGCCTCTCCATATCCCAACTGTAAAGCCAATTAAGTTAGAGGAAAATATGAAACAGGCTAAAATAATCTGTCATACACGAAATTCCATAAAAAATTGAGTCAGTGTCCCAAAGAAAAAAAAAATAGAAATATGTCCATAGGACATGAATGCCCCGCCGAGGTTATATCAGTAATGCAACATGAAAATTTGAATCTGTGTATGAAATTTCAGAATATCTTGAATAGTGATGCAGTTGAATTGCTTACATCAGTATGTATCAGCATATGAAGTTTAACACTAATTTAAGAAAATTGAGGCCAAGGTCAAAGGTAAGGTCAAGGTAAAAAAAAAGTTGATGCAGTTGAAAAGCTCTCATCAGTATGTATCAGCATATGAAGTTGAAAAAAATATTAATGGTTTCTTTAAAACTGACTTAATCACAATTTGATAAAAGTGAGGTCAAGGTCAAATGAAAGGTCAAGGTAAAAAATGTTGATGCAGTTAAATTGCTTACATCAGTATGTATCAGCATATGAAGTTTGACACTAATTTATGAAGTGAGGTCAAGGTCAAAGGAAAGGTCAAGGTCAAATGTTGATGCAGTTGAATAGCTTTCATCAGTATGTATCAACATATGAAGTTTGATAAAAATATCTTGAATGGTATCTTTAAAACCTAGCTAGACACTCATTTAAGAAAAGTGAGTCAAAGGTCAAAGAAAGGTCAGGTCAAAAAATGTTGATGCAGTTAAATAGCTCTCATCAGTATGTATCAGCATATAAAGCTTAAAAACACTATCTTGAATGGTATCTTTAAACTGAGCCAAACACTCACTTAAGAAAAGTGAGGTCAAGGTCAAAGGAAAGGTTAAGGTCAAAAATATTGATGCAGTTAAACACCTATCATCAGTATGTATCAGCCTATGAGTTTGATAACGCTTTCGTATGGTATCTTTCAAACTGAGCTAAACACTCATTCAAGAATAGTGAGGTCAAGGTCAAAGAAAGATTAAGGTCAAATGTTGATGCAGTTGAATAGCTCTCATCAGTATGTATCAGCATATGAAGTTTGATAACACAATCTTGAATGGTATCTTTAAAACTGAGCTATACACTCATTTAAGAAAAGTGAGGTCAAGGTCAAAGGAAAGGTTAAAGTCAAAATGTTGATGCAGTTGAAAAGCTCTCATCACTATGTATCAGCATATGAAGTTTGATAACACTATCTTGAATGGTATCTTTAAAACTCTCACTCATTTAAGAAAAGTGAGGTCAAGGTTGAAGGAAAGGTCAAGGCCTGTTGATTGAAGTCTCATCAGCATGTATCAGCATATGAAGTTTAATTACACTCTCTTGAATGGTATCTTTAAAACTGAGCTTAACACTACTTAAAGAAAGCGAGGTCAAGGTCAAAGGAAAAGTCAGGGTCCAAAAATGTTGATGCAGTTGCATAGCTCCCTTTAATACCTATCAGCATATGAAGTTTGATAAAAATATTTTGGATAGTTTCTTTGAAACTGAGCTTTGAACCGAGCTAAACGCAAAGTGTGACGGAAGGACAGAAGAACGGACATGACAAACACTACTAGTATATGCCCCGGCCATATTCATGGATCATAAAAACAAACATATTTTGTTTCACTTTTTTAATGTCTGATGAGAAAAGAAAATTACATTTATACAATTCATTTAAATGTTGTAACAAATCAACTTCTACTATAATATGTAGTTCTTCCAAATTTTCAAAACATTTAGAAAACAACATGTCAAGTAATATCACAAACAATAGTATCAACTCATATTGCACATACTGAACTAAACAAGAGCAAGCCATTATGCTTGAAAACAACTCTGATTTTCAAGACTTAAAATTTAAAGAATGTTTTTCTCACTTTTTTATGTAATACTTTAAGGAAGGAAAGGACTTTTTTTTTTTTTTTTTTTTTTTTACAAAGTCCTTAATTCTAAACGAAAGGACATAAATAGAACAGCTTGTATCTGCTTTCGAATCTTCTGCTGCTCAGTAAATATTGTCTTATTCATAAAAATATTTACAATGCAGAATATAAATAAATTTGAAGTGAGATTCTTAAAAAAATGCACAATAAGGCAAAAAAAATTAATCAATAGTTTCTCAGGCCAAAAAAATCAAAATTCAATGTGACAGGCAGGCTTTTTTTTTTTTTTTTTTTTTTTTTTTTTTGAAGCAGGTTTAACACCTTTTCTAAGCCAATTGTTCAATAAAATGATAATATCTACCAATTCTTAGTTTTTTTCTCTGAATTTGGTTATAATATGCATTCAACTTTAAATAATGTTACTCCAAACACATATTTAAAAGTTAATCCATAAAATACTGAAAATTTAGAAGAAATGTATTGTTTTTCTAATAAAAACGTCTATCTTAGCATTTATGAAAAGGGGAATAACTCGATTTACTTTTTCAACTTGGAAAAATAGAAAATTGAGTTATTCCCCTTTTCAATATGTCAACAAAATTGATCAATGTGGCCGTTTTTGAACTGATGCTGCAGTGCCTGAGAAACTATTGATTAATTTTTTTTGGCCTAAAATACCTCCATTATTTTACAAGTACTGGAAGAATTACGGGAAAAAAAAATACCATTTACTCATAAAAATTACATATTAAAAAAAAAAAAACTTTTAATGAATACTGTATACAGGGTTAAATTCGCCCCGTGTTATTTTCGCCCTTTTGCAACTGCGTGCAATTTTGCCCCGTTTTGAATTCGCCCAATCATAGTTTTTTTAAGAAATTATGCTGTGTAATTTGAAATCGCCCCGTTTTAAATTCGAAAAAAAAGGGCGAAAGGAGCGAAAATAAAACGGGGGCGAAAATTTCCCTGTATATATATCAATTCACATACTAGATATTACACTAAAAATGAACTCATTTTGTATGATACTATGTCTATAATTACAATCATGTAACTGCCCATAACCATTTTATAAATGCAAAAAAAGAAAATATTAAAGCAAACTACATGTTATGTATATCATCCCAAATAAAAGCAAAAAAACAAAACAGAACTACAACTGAACTGCGGTATCTCGAACTCCGATACCTCGAATACCATGGATATCTCGAAGTGATGTTAAAGTCCCAACCACATATTCTTTAAGTATTTGACCCTCGATATCTCGAATTCTCGGATATCTCGAAGTTTTTTCTCCGCCTCATCAGGTTCGAGATAACGAAGTTAAACTGTATCTATATAAATAAATAAATAAGAAAAATATGAAAATATTTGAAAAACTAACAAAAGTATATATTCATGTACATTTATTATACAGAGACCCTTACAGAGTGGATTTCATTATTATTTTACTGGGACAAATAAAACACAGAATATACAGTAACTTCAAAATGTGAACTATGAAATCTAAGTCAACATAATGCCACATGGGCGTGTATCACTTGCAAAAAAAGACATAAAAAAGATGTGTAAATTTACAGATCATATGCTTCCTGATATTTCTCTAAGAGAAAATGATGATAGAATAAAATATTCTGAGTACAACAGTCAAAGAGAGAAAATTTAAAAATTGAGTCAGTGTCCCAAACAAAAAAAAAAAAAAAAACTAGAAATATGTCCATAGGACATGAATGCACCGCCGAGGTTATATCAGTAATGCAACATGAAAATTTGAATCTGTGTATGAAATTTCAGAATATCTTGAATAGTGATGCAGTTGAATTGCTTACATCAGTATGTATCAGCATATGAAGTTTAACACTAATTTAAGAAAATTGAGGCCAAGGTCAAAGGTAAGGTCAAGGTAAAAAAAAAAGTTGATGCAGTTGAAAAGCTCTCATCAGTATGTATCAGCATATGAAGTTGAAAAAAATATTAATGGTTTCTTTAAAACTGACTTAATCACAATTTGATAAAAGTGAGGTCAAGGTCAAATGAAAGGTCAAGGTAAAAAATGTTGATGCAGATGAATTGCTCACATCAGTATGCATCAGCATATGAAGTTTGACACTAATTTATGAAGTGAGGTCAAGGTCAAAGGAAAGGTCAAGGTCAAATGTTGATGCAGTTGAATAACTTTCATCAGTATGTATTGTAACGAGACCGAGGGTATCGTGTAATAAACTCGTGGGCCGCTATTGGTTTTCTGGTCACTTGGTCGAGGTTTGATGGTTCCGTTGGTCACAGTTTATATAATGGTTAATAACTAATTTTTGGTCACTTGATTGGTAGACGTAATGACCAACTTTTGGTCACTTATTTGGTTGACACAATGACCAACTTTTGGTCCCTTCTTTGGTAGACGTAATGACCAACTTTTGGTCACTTATTTGGTTGACACAATGACCAACTTTTGGTCACTTCTTTGGTTTACGTAATGACCAACTTTTGGTCACTTAAAACAATGTTTCTTAGGAATAACACTTGTTAAAAGTTTATAACATTTATTAAGACGATCAAATGGTCCACTTATAAACACACAAAATGGTACACTGTAACTTGGTTGGTACAACGTTATTTGGTTAACAAAAAGGTGACCAACCGATGGTCAATCCAGGACGTTCCTAATAACTTGGTTCCCTTTAATGGTTTCGTATACATAGACTTGGTACCGTCTTATAACCGAAGTATACGGAGTCGTTCCCCAAAGTGACTTAGGTCACTTTTCCCTTACCAGGGAAGGCTGTGTGCTCCGAGTCGGTCCCCACAGCCGACTGAAGTCTAAACCCAAAACAGCTGGTTTATATAGCCAAAAGTTGTTATGATGACGTAAGAGACAATCAGATATCTAAATTACGTCACAATCAATACAATCAATAAGTTAGCGGGTTTTAACCAACAAAATTACCTACTAAATTAATAACGTTGTACCCATATAAAACATACAAAATACATCACTTTCTCATTAAATTATACATGTTAAATTAATAAAGTCATTAAATCAATTATTGTTCATTTCTTTCATTAACTGCTCATTGACAATTATTTACGGAGTTTATAAACATCGGGTTCAAGTTCCATATATTCCAAACTTGTAAACAAGAATTAACCCGAATTTCACAGGTACTCTTTGTAAAATGTAACATTACCCCCTTCTTAAGTCGAAACGTCCTCGTTTCGGGGTATTTTATCAATGACTAATACAAGTCCACTCGTAAAGTCTTTCGAGATACGCGTTACACGGATATAAGGTCATCTGCCTCACCATGAAACAGCTTCATCTGGTTATGATCCACTTATTTCGGTTTCTCTACTGCAGACTTTCTCACTTTGAATACCGAATCGGACACAACACGTAACACTGTGCAAGGCCCATTCCAATGAACGTTCAGTTTAGGACATCTTCCTTTGGTCCTTGACTTTGACGCAATCCACACACATTGTCCTGGGGTGTACTTAATCTGGTTTAACTTGGTGCCATACTTTCGTTTCTGGTTCTCGGTTGCTTGTAGCCATCGGGTGCAATGATCTGAACTGGTAACAACGTCCTTGTTACCCTTCTTGGTCCATGGTAAAGGACCAAGGATGTCGATGTCTACTTGTTCCGGTGGTTTCCTAGCTAAACATTGACCCGGTTTTCCTCTAGATCTGGCTGCCCTTGGTGGAGTCTTCTCTGCATTGCCAATAGTACCTTCTCTGATATGTTTATCAGCGTCGTTTGTCTCCTTCTCGTCACGAGGTTCACATGGTCGTCGGTCCCTATTATCAGGTTGTACAGCTTTCTGTACGGAAATGTTGAACACAGGATTTTGTTCACTATTCAGGTCACCTGGTAACTTCTTGTTTCCCAATGTAAGAGTTCCTTCACCCAAATTCAATTGACAATTATGCTGTTTCAGAAAATCAAGACCTAAAATCATATGTGACTCAACGTCAGCGACGACCACTTTATGTTCGGTAACTTCACCATTAATACCAATTTGAAGTTCAGTCTGACCTTCTGGTACAACTAAATCACCGTTTGCCATCTGTAAGTTACTACGGTTTGGAAATAATTTAGGCCTAACACATCTTTCTATCTCGTAGTATTTCTTTGGGTGGATAACTGTTATAACTGAACCAGTGTCAATGACACAACTGATTTTCACATTGTTAACAAACACGTCAATTGTTAATAAGTTGGTACTGCGAGTATTTGAGTTCTTTATTCCAAAAACATGTGGCCTTTTCTGTTTTGTAGTTGACGTTTGGCCGCCGACGTCAACTACTGTGCGTTTCCCTGGTTCTCAGGTTCTCTGGTCGTCACGTCTTTTACGTACTCCGGTTTTCTTTGGTTTCTGTATTTTTCATTATTTAGGTCCCGTTGTAGTAACCTGCATTCTCTTTTGATGTGACCATCTTTCTTACAGTAGAAACAGGGACCTTTCTTGTAAAACTTCTTTTCTGTGTTTTGCTTGATCATGGCCACTAGGTCTGTTTCGAAATTATTTCTGTCGGTATACGCTGGTTCCTCTGTCTGCATACGCACTGCAACTGTATTTCGTCTCCCCCGCGCTTGTTGAAAGGCCTCGTATTCCAATGCTAGTCGCACTGCATCTTCTAGGTCTTTAGGTTTTCCTTGAAACACTGCCCATTCCATTTCTTGGTCATTTAAACTTCCGATGAACGAATCTTTGGTTATCTGGTCGCGGAAACTTAGGGGTGCGTTCGGGTATGACATCCTCGTAAGTCGCTTTATGTCTTGCATTAATTCTGTGATCGTTTCGTTTTTCTTCCGTATTCTGCTCTTTAGTTGCGTCTTATAGATTTCTGTTTGGTTTTCTGGGTCAAATCTTGCTGCTAGTGCGGTAACAAGGTGACGAAAATTATACCGATATTCTGGTTGTAGGTCACTCAAAACGCTTAGTGCTGGGCCGCGTAGACTGGTAGCTAACTCTAATGCCTTTGTTTCCTCATTCCAGTGGTTCAATTGGGCGATCATGTCGAAATGCACTATATAGTCGTTCCAGTTCATGGTACCATCGAACGTTGCTGGTTTTCTCCCTTTAGGTTCCGGGGAACGCCTGAATCCGTGGTCATAAACTTGTCTTGTATGACCATAATTTGGTACATCGTAATCTAATCTGTGCATGGTCGGCCGAAATTCGTTGGTCCTAGCATTGGTAGTATAACTGCGTGATACTGTCGGGTTTGACGAACTTGTCCTTGAATGTTCATAATCACAAAATTCGTCACATGAATTTTGTAGGTACGTATTTCTATATGGGCGATATTCACTGTGTATTTGGTCATCTTTAGACGTAGTATTGGTACCGGATTGCACCCAATTTTGGTCTACATATTGGTTGTTAGCACTCGTTGGTCTCACTTGAGATTGTAATTGGTTCATTTGAGACTTCAAAGTTTTTAATTCTTGTAGAATTATGTGTAGACTGTCGTTGGTACATGTGTTGACTGCGCTGCCGTCTCCTATCTGGTCGTTGTTATTAACCCGCAAAAGAACTTCTTTACTTGGAGTACCGTCGATAAACTGTGGTTCTTTTGGTTCTGTATTATGGTCACTTTCCTCCACCAATTTTTCGTTCCTTGACATCTTTGTAATGGTTTAGGTTCACAATTCACAGAATAGCGGATCCCACCGCTGCCACCAATGTAACGAGACCGAGGGTATCGTGTAATAAACTCGTGGGCCGCTATTGGTTTTCTGGTCACTTGGTCGAGGTTTGATGGTTCCGTTGGTCACAGTTTATATAATGGTTAATAACTAATTTTTGGTCACTTGATTGGTAGACGTAATGACCAACTTTTGGTCACTTATTTGGTTGACACAATGACCAACTTTTGGTCCCTTCTTTGGTAGACGTAATGACCAACTTTTGGTCACTTATTTGGTTGACACAATGACCAACTTTTGGTCACTTCTTTGGTTTACGTAATGACCAACTTTTGGTCACTTAAAACAATGTTTCTTAGGAATAACACTTGTTAAAAGTTTATAACATTTATTAAGACGATCAAATGGTCCACTTATAAACACACAAAATGGTACACTGTAACTTGGTTGATACAACGTTATTTGGTTAACAAAAAGGTGACCAACCGATGGTCAATCCAGGACGTTCCTAATAACTTGGTTCCCTTTAATGGTTTCGTATACATAGACTTGGTACCGTCTTATAACCGAAGTATACGGAGTCGTTCCCCAAAGTGACTTAGGTCACTTTTCCCTTACCAGGGAAGGCTGTGTGCTCCGAGTCGGTCCCCACAGCCGACTGAAGTCTAAACCCAAAACAGCTGGTTTATATAGCCAAAAGTTGTTATGATGACGTAAGAGACAATCAGATACCTAAATTACGTCACAATCAATACAATCAATAAGTTAGCGGGTTTTAACCAACAAAATTACCTACTAAATTAATAACGTTGTACCCATATAAAACATACAAAATACATCACTTTCTCATTAAATTATACATGTTAAATTAATAAAGTCATTAAATCAATTATTGTTCATTTCTTTCATTAACTGCTCATTGACAATTATTTACGGAGTTTATAAACATCGGGTTCAAGTTCCATATATTCCAAACTTGTAAACAAGAATTAACCCGAATTTCACAGGTACTCTTTGTAAAATGTAACAGTATCAACATATGAAGTTTGATAAAAAATATCTTGAATGGTATCTTTAAAGCTGAGCTAAACACTCCTTTAAGAAAAGTGAGTCAATCAAGAAAGGTCAGGTCAAAAAATGTTGATGCAGTTGATTAGCTCTTATCAGTATGTATCAGCATATAAAGCTTAAAAACACTATCTTGAATGATAGCTTTAACCTGAGCTAAACACTCATTTAAGAAAAGTGAGGTCAAGGTCAAAGGAAAGGTTAAGGTCAAAAATATTGATGTAGTTAAAAAGCTATCATCAGTATGTATCAGCCTATGAGTTTGATAACGCTTTCGTATGGTATCTTTCAAACTGAGCTAAACACTCATTCAAGAATAGTGAGGTCAAGGTCAAAGAAAGATTAAGGTCAAATGTTGATGCAGTTGAATAGCTCTCATCAGTATGTATCAGCATATGAAGTTTGATAACACAATCTTGAATGGTATCTTTAAAACTGAGCTATACACTCATTTAAGAAAAGTGAGGTCAAGGTCAAAGGAAAGGTTAAAGTCAAAATGTTGATGCAGTTGAAAAGCTCTCATCACTATGTATCAGCATATGAAGTTTGATAACACTATCTTGAATGGTATCTTTAAAACTGAGCTAAACACTCATTTAAGAAAAGTGAGGTCAAGGTTGAAGGAAAGGTCAAGGCCGAAAATGTTGACGCAGTTGAATAGCTCTCATCAGCATGTATCAGCATATGAAGTTTGATAATACTGTCTTGAATGGTATCTTCAAAACTTAGCTTTACACTCACTTAAGAAAAGTGAGGTCAAGGTCAAAGGAAAGGTCAAGGTCAAAAAATGTTGATGCAGTTGCATAGCTCTCATCAATGTCTATCATCCTATGAAGTTTGATGAAAATATCTTGGATAGTTTCTTTGAAACTGAGCTTTGAACTGAGCTAAACGCAAAGTGTGACGGAAGGACGGAAAGACAGGAGACGGACATGACAAACACTATATGCCCCGGCCATATTCATGGCGGGGCATAAAAACAAACATATTTTGTTTCACTTTTTTAATGTCTGATGAGAAAAGAAAATTACATTTATACAATTCATTTAAATGTTGTAACAAATCAACTTCCACTATAATATGTAGTTCTTCCAGATTTTCAAAAACAACACGTCAAGTAATATCACAAACAATAGTATCAACTCATATTGCACATACTGAACTAAACAAAAGCAAGCCATTATGCTTGAAAACAACTCTGATTTTCAAGACTTAAAATTTAAAGAATGTTTTTCTCACTTTTTTATGTAGTACTTTAAAGAAGGAAAGGACTTTTTGCTTTTTTTTTTTTTTACAAAGTCCTTAATTCTAAAGGAAAGGACATAAATAGAACAGCTTGTATCTGCTTTCGAATCTTCTGCTGCTCAGTAAATATTGTCTTATTCATAAAAATATTTACAATGCAGAATATAAATAAATTTGAAGTGAGATTCTTAAAAAAATGCACAATAAGGCAAAAAAAATTAATCAATAGTTTCTCAGGCCAAAAAAATCAAAATTCAATGTGACAGGCAGGCTTTTTTTTTTTTTTTGGAAGCAGGTTAAACACCTTTTTAAAGCCAATTGTTCAATAAAATGATAATATCTACCAATTCTTAGTTTTTTTTCTCTGAATTTGGTTATAATATGCATTCAACTTTAAATAATGTTACTCCAAACACATATTTAATCATAGTTTTGTTTAAGAAATTATGCTGTGTAATTTGAAATCGCCCCGTTTTAAATTCGCCCGATCAAGAAGAGGGCGAAAGGAGCGAAAATAAAACGGGGGCGAAAATTTCCCTGTATACAGTATATCAATTCACATACTAGATATTACACTAAAAATGAACTCATTTTGTATGATACTATGTCTATAATTACAAATCACGTAACTGCCCATAACCATTTTATAAATGCAAAAAAAGAAAATATTAATGCAAACTACATGTTATGTATATCATCCCAAATAAAAGCAAAAAAACAAAACAGAACTACAACTGAACTTCGGTATCTCGAACTCCGATACCTCGAATACCATGGATATCTCGAAGTGATGTTAAAGTCCCAACCACATATTCTTTAAGTATTTGACCCTCGATATCTCGAATTCTCGGATATCTCGAAGTTTTTTCTCCGCCTCATCAGGTTCGAGATAACGAAGTTAAACTGTATCTATATAAATAAATAAATAAGAAAAATATGAAAATATTTGAAAAACTAACAAAAGTATATATTCATGTACATTTATTATACAGAGACCCTTACAGAGTGGATTTCATTATTATTTTACTGGGACAAATAAAACACAGAATATATTGTAACTTCAAAATGTGAACTATGAAATCTAAGTCAACATAATGCCACATGGGAGTGTATCACTTGCAAAAAAAGACATAAAAAAGGTGTGTAAATTTACAGATCATATGCTTCCTGATATTTCTCTAAGAGAAAATGATGATAGAATAAAATATTCTGAGTACAACAGTCAACGAGAGAAAATTTTAAAATCTTGTCAGTTTCTGTGTATATGTACAGTAACTCAGTTGCGTAATTTTACTTCAAATGACACTTTTCTACTGTTTATTTACCTCTTAACTAAGTTATATACCATTTCCAAAACTTTCTCCTTTCACACATTTTATTTACTACTTTCACAGGTGTAAAAATCAACATTCATAACAAGTAAACAAATGACAAGACCCCTGTTTCAATTCTACAAAGCACCATAAATAATAATCATTTTTAAAAATGTCCTCATGCCCCAAAGGGGTTGTCTAGAATTAGAAATGTCACCAATAACATTTAGGGTGCACTTTATATATATTTTGACTTCTTCAAACAAAAGCGTTCAATTTTTTTCAAATGCAAATCACACAATGTCATGTACACGGTTCAAAACCAAAGAGATTGTTTACATCACACTGCATACAAAACATCTCCATAAAAATCACATTTGTTTTGAAATATATCTAATACAAACAGATCCAGAAAATGGGTTCATAACAATGTCAGGCAAGATATCAAACATCAAAAAACAAAAAAAAAAAAAAGAGGAATGTAAAATTTTGGTTTGGAATGTGCAAGGCTAAAAAAATATGTATCTTGACAGGAATGTGTACAGATACAAAGTATAATAAATCAATTATGATGAATAACTTCATAATACATTTTAAAAATATATATATTTGTGTAGCATATGGACATACTTTCCTACAGAAACCCTGTAAAATCATTTTTGGATACACAGCTTTTAATGGTATTATTTGTAAATCCCACATGTTCTATAAAAAGAAAATAGTCAGTGGTTATATGCTTTGAAAAGGAGTAGAGAGCAAATCAACGAAAACAAAGACAGATAGATGGCAGGCCAGAGAGAGATTCTATCGTCCAGTGTAAACTGAGGGAGGATTTGTTGCGTTTCCCCTGTCCTGTCACACGAGCCACACAGTGTTGTATTATGTGAGAGGAAGTTTCTCTGTGTGAGAAGTCTCAAATGGGTTGTCATCATGTGACTAAAAAACAGAAATATCAACCAATTAAAAAATGTTATGATATAAAAATTACTAGCTGAAATTTTAAAGCCTGCATCCCCCCCCCAAGAAAAAGCAAACAAAAATCAGCATAAGAATGTTTTTTACAAGTACATGTAGATAAGGCCATAATAAATAAATTGCTAGATTCTCATCCGAATTTTTTTAAAAATCGAGGCGGGCGAGCGGCTTTTATTTTATATTTTTTATTTTTTCAATTTTGGTCAGTCGGTGTAATACCCGAATAAAAGTCATAGTAAAGGTTCAATTATCTCTAGCTGCAATAATGTAGCCCTCTCCGATTTTTTTTATCTGATATTTTCTGGAGAGGGCTACAATTCCATCGCATCTCCGTAATGGTGCAAATATATTTTTTTGATATGGGTGATTGGAGGCAAAATAAATTATTTTTACATTAAACTTACTTCTTATAAGACGGAATTTTTATTCACTGTCAACAACATAGCCTGTTAAACTCGAAAACCATGTAAAATAAATCTGTGTTTTTCCCAGCTGCAACATTCAGCTGCCATGACAGTTCACGCGTGACGTAGTGAGACTTTCGCTTGAAATTTGGAACAACCAAATAAAGCAAATGTCGATGTTTATAAACGATGTGCTTTAATATATTACAAAAACATCGATAAATAAAACCATTTCAAGTGTTATTTTATATACTTGCGCAAACAGCGATACGTATGCTTAAAATAAGGGAATTCCTATATGATCCGCTCCTATAGAACCTAAATTCTCATTGGCTGTCCCAAAATACAATCCATCAAGGTCAGTAAACATGGCGGATAAATTCAAGTTAAGCTGGTGACACACACGAAAAATAACCGATATATGGGTCGTTGTGAATATTTTTGGATCGATTTATGTTTTGCATAATTACATATTTGGATTCCAGGTAAGAGCTAATAATAAAATAGCCGTTTACTGATAATTTGAGCCGAAATCCGTGCGGGAGTGATCCACTGCCGCATCTTGCCATTATAGAGATCCTAAGGAGTTGTAGCCCTCTCCCAAAAAAAAAAAAAAAAAATAAAAAATAAAATCGGAGAGGGCTACATTATTGCAGCTAAATTATCTCTTACTTCACATCATCACCAATCTTTTTCAACCAGTGACCGTTGTTTAAAACATATACGCACTAATTACAGCAATTACCATCTTTTCAGCTGTCAAAATCATGTCGACTTTCGCGGGATTTAAAACGAAAGTAGAATGGTAGATGAATAGTTAGTTTATTTAATACCCGATCAAAATTAAGATTTTCAGAAAAACAGAAATTAAAAAAATCGAGGCGGGGGTATAAAATCGGGGCGGGTGGGGATGAGAATCTAGGAATATTTTTATTATGGCCTAAAATGATTTTAAACATGACGTTAAAAATGTACATTTCATCATTCTTTCAAAAAGATTTACTTGTTCTGATGTGGAAGTGAAGAATAAACAAGAGTTTTATACATGAGATGTTTCCGAGTTTTGTGCTGTGAGAGTTGGGGCTTTGAAATGGTATCAAATATAATATCCTGTACCCCTAGTGATCTTGGACCAAACAGTCCTAAGGACTGAGCACATTTCCACCGAGCTTACTAAATGGCTGATCATATCATATATCAATGTACATTTTACCCTTCAAGCTTATTGAAAAGTGGATTGTTTATATTCCAGTATCCCCCCTCCCCGAGCCTACTGACAACCTATCTTGTATCCTCCCCCTGAGCTTACTGACCCTACCTTGTAACACCCCCCCCCAAGCTTACTGAAAACCAACCGTGTATCCTCCCCTGAGCCAAATGACAACCTAACTTGTATTTTTCCCCTGAGCTAACTCATAACCTACCTTATATCCCTCCCCCCTACTTTAGTTTACTGACAACCTACCTTATATTTTTTCCCCCTGAGTTTACTAAACAGGCCTTTTTTCTTGGTCTCTGAGAAGGACACTGTATCAAAATGTTCGTCCTCTCCATCCTCCAATGCACAAGAATCGACACCTGGCAACTCCCCGTCGTAGTTAGGGCCAGAACCCTCCACCAACTTCATATACTTGTACTCTAGTCTATAAAAAACGCCAACCATCAACTGTATGTGGGTCTTTAAAGTAAACATAAGTTAACCCATCTAAAATTTTCACAAAATTTATAAATCTCTTGTATTCTTATAAGAGAGTGGAGATATTCCCTTGTAATTACATATAGCAAATTATTTTTATCAGACTATTAAAATGAGTGTATAGTACTTTTATCAGTTTAAAGTACAAAACCTCTTACTTTCTGTTCCTACACCAGCAGTAAATCACACATAAGAACAGCAGAATTCCAACTCCTACTGCAGAGGGAATGCCCACTTTTAGCTGCAATAGGAAAAGTCAGACAATTCAGTGCACAAAAGCTTACAAACATACTTGACAGAAACAGTTTCATGCTCACATTATATGTAAAATATTAAAATTAAACTTTGGCTCTTTTACTTTGCACTTATCAAGTTATATTAAGATTTTTTTTTTTTAATTCAAGAAAAGTAAACTCTTTGACAAAACTGCAAATTGCAAAACCTTGCTATCTCAAAACTAAAGAGGACCCCTGAAAAAACTTCAAGAAATCCAAGGATTGGAAATATCCAGGGTAAACTACTAAAGGAAAAAGCAAATTCAAAGAATTGTGGTCCCCCCGCTTTCGGTGTCTTTGCGTGTGAGGTGTCATTTTTTTATGACATATTGTGTCTAATATGAACATCTTATCCTATGATTGTCATTTATTTGGAAATTATCACTGAAGTTGATTTTTTTTAAAAATAAGGTCAATCGTGAAGGTCAAGTTCAAGGGGTAAGAAATCATAGCATGATCGGAAATATCTTGTCACAGGTACAGGGGTTCAAAATTTTTTTTGTCATGGTCAAGTCCAGGACTTGAAGAGTAAATTTTAGGCAAGTCCGAGGAAGAAATTTCAGAGTCCATATTTACCTATACATCATTAAATTTATGTAATTTATAATTTATTTTCATTTGTTGCATTGAATGAATAAAGACTATATGTATTAATATATGTTTTATTTTTCCTCCATGAACTGTCATATAGTTATGCATGAGTATTTCAACACAATACCAGACTGATAGATTACTGGTACATTACAATAACTTTTACAAATACTCACTACCGAATAAACCATCTGTTACAATAGATAGAAATTACAATGTGCTGTAAGTCACAGCTAAAACCGAAATTTAACAAACTCATTGCCGTTTGTCACATAGGAGGAAACATGAGGAATTGCGTAAAAGCAAGAGTCTAACCGCAACGGAAAATAAAAAAACGGATTGTATTTTCAAAACGTTCGTAATGTTTTATTGGTATTTTAACGCCCACAAACCCACATTTTTACTTAATACATTTGAGAATTTGCTTTATTTTTAGTTTTACAATCATTTTTTTAACTTATAAGAAAACAAGAAACACAGCCAAGTCCCAGGACTTTGGCGAATTCTAAATGCCGAGTCCGGATCCGGAATTTGTTAGTCCGGGACGTCGGGCTTGAGGATTTTTGAACCCCTGAGGTAATGCACGTCAAATATGAAAGCCCTATCTCTTCTCAATATAAGGAACAAGATGTGTTTGTGGAACACTGATGACCCCGTCTGGGCAATATAACGAAGATGAAACTTTTCTTAAATGCAAATGAAATATAAATATACTATTACCCAAAGAAGGGTTTTCTCACAAGAAATCGATTGTGAAATACAAAATCCCTATCACCACCTGTTCAAAAAGTTATGGTCAAGAATATATTTTTGAAAGGTAGTTCCAACTCCAGGGTACAAGGGTCTGAGTTGTTGGTTTCTTAAGAAAGGTCTTGACACAAGTAATACATATGTCAAGGACGAAAACCCTAACCCTAACCGTTCAAAAGTTATGGCAAAAGTTGAAGTTTTTTAAAAGTAGGTTAAACTCCAAGGTCAAGGTCACAGGGTTAAAGTTCTTGGTATCCATTTAAAGGTCTTCTCACAAGGATTACGTATGTGAAGTATAAAAGCCCTAGCCCTTACCATTCAAAAGTTATGGTCAAGGTAAAAGTTTTTATAAGTATGGAAATCTCCAAAGTCAAGGTCAAAAGGTTAAAGTTGTTGATATCAAATGAAAGGTCTTGCCACAAAAAATACATATGTGAAATATGAAAGTCCTAGTATCTACCGTTCAAAAGTTGTGGCTAAGGTCAAAGTTTTTGAAAAGTAGGCCAAAATCTAAGGTCAAAGGGTCACAGTTCTTAGTATCCAATGAAAGCTCTTCTCACAAGAACTACATATGTGAAGTATGAAAGCCCTAGCCCTTATCGTTCAAAGGTTATGGTCAAGGTTAAAGTTTTTTCATAAGTATGGAAATCTCCAAGATCAAGGTCATAAGGTCAAAGTTGTTGGTATCCAATGAAAGGTCATACCCCTAAGAATACATATGTGAAATATGAAAGTCCTAGTATCTACTATTCTAAAGTTGTGCCCAAGGTTAGTTTTTAAAAAGTAGTTAAAACTCAAGGTCAAATGTTCAAAGTTTTTAGTATTCAATGAATGGTTTTTTCACAAGGATTACGGTACATATACGAAGTATGAAAGCTCTAGCCCTTACCGTTCAAAAGTTATGGTCAAGGTTTAAAGTTTTTTCATAAGTTCGGAAATCTCCAAGATCAAAAGGTCAAAGTTGTTGGCATTCAATGAAAGGTCTTGCCACAAAGAATAAATATGTGAAATATGAAAGTCTAATTTCTACCATTCAAAAGTTATGACCAAAGTAAAATTTTGGAGTTTTTGTGCAAAAGTGGGTCAAACTCCAAGGTCAAGTTCAAATTTGGTGGTACCCAAAGAAAGGTCTTGTCACAAGGAATACACATGTGAAATATTAAAGTCATAGCTCCACTAAATCAAAAGTTATGGGCAAGGTTAAAGTTTTTGTGACGGACGGACAGCTAGACAGACTGATGGACAGAAGACAGATGAACAGACGAATGAGATTTAATGTTCCCTTGCTTTCGCGAAAGCGGGAGACAATAAGGGATTGTGACTTCAACTTATCCATGGTGTTTAAGTTTGACGCAAATTTCAATTATTGTTTTTTCATCCAACATGTCCAATTTCATGTAGTACAGAGAATGATATTCAATAAACATCACACAAAAGAACTTCAATATTCAAAAGGAAAATTACCCCAAAATGTGCAATTCCAATTGTGTTTATATACTTCAGGTATACTATAAACTGTCACTATACTAAAACTCTGAAACTTACAACAAATGGAAGAGCAGCTAACTTCAGTCTGCATTTCCTCTGTTCCTTGCTTTTCATATTTCTGTCTGGTCTGCAGTATCTTCAAAATCATACCATTCATTTAAAAATATCTCTTTTTACACATTAATTTAGGATTTGAAATCAGTCCTACTGATACTGATGTAGTAATCTAAACATTACAGTACAGAACAAAAACTGTCAATCCAGTTTCTGACAGTGTACATTCATGTCAAACCTGTTTCACTGTGAATTCCAATTTTTAATTTCACTTCATTAATTTTCAGCTTTTAACATTCTGCAGTTTGACACCCCTTTTTCTGACATGAATTTGTGTCTAATTTTTAGTCTGAATAGACAAGTTTAACTCTTTAATTTGAGTAATAGCTATGGCCTAATTGACTATATACACAGTGCTCCCAGACTTACTTTGGGACACTATAATGGACAGTCTGTTCTTACTTTGGGATGCTATAATGAACGGTCCCAGACTTACTTTGGTAAACTATAATGGACAATGCCAGTCTTACTTTGGGACACTACAATGGACAATGCCAGACTTACACTGGGGTACTGTAATGGACAGTCTGTACTTACTTTGGGGTACTATAATGGACAATGCAAGACTTACTTTGGAACACTATAATGGACAATGCCAGACTTACTTTGGGACACTATAATGGACACTCCCAGACTTACTTTACTTTGGAACACTATAATGGACACTCCTATACTTACTTTGGAACACTATAATGGACACTCCCAGACTTACTTTGGGACACTATAATGGACAGTCCCAGACTTACTTTGGGGCACTAAAATCAGTCAAGGGCATCATGGAAACAAGTTTTTTAAATGACTTGTTTAATTATTAAATGTCAACATTTTGGGTTATCTTTCCCTGATTGTGCTTTTCTTCAGTAACTTATTCCTGTTATAGATAGTTTACTATTCATTATTGTAAACCTACTGGTATCTGAAAAGCTTTATTTATGCTGTGCTTGGGTTATTAAGTAGAGGGAAAAGGTTCATGACAGTAAAAGTAATCTATCTTTACAATCTAGCACACTGAAATTCCACAAATCATAACTTATTTCTGTTATTTCATTCCTAACCCACCTCACTGTAGAACTCTTGCACAAAAATATACAGCTTTGCACAAAAAATGTAAGACTTAGAGATTGTACAGTAATGTCCAAAGATTGTTAAGAAAATTAGTCTCAGTTTTGGCAAAATTGGCAGAAGATGTGTAATTAACCTCTGAAATGTTCAAGAAATGAAATTATTTTTCCTTTAAAAAAATCATATTTTTTTTATATCATCCTATCTGCTTAGGAGATATTAAGTCTGTTGAGTTTATTAAAAGAAGTACATAATTATATTTACAACTTTCTTAGCCTTACATCAACTTTAATCAGCAGAAAACTCAACATATTGATGTTTTTTGGCAAAACTGATAGGCATTCTACTTTTAAAGAATTAACTCAAATGAGTTACTTCTTTGTATAGTCATAAATAAGTGAAGTAACCTAAACAAGTTATTCTAAAAAAATAACTTGTTTCCATGATGCCCCTGACTGAAAATGGACAGTCCCATAATTATTTTGAAGTGCTAAAATGGACACTTCCAGACTTACTTTGGGGTCCTATAATGGACTGTCCCAGACTTACTTTGGGGAAATATAATGGACTGTCCTAGACTTATTTTGGGACACTAAAATGGACACTTCCAGACTTACTTTGGGGTGCTATAACGCCAGTCCAAGACTTACTGTACTTTGGGTGCTAAAATGGAAACTCAGAGACTTAATTTGGAGCAATATAATGGAAAGTGCCAGACTTACTTTTGAACGCTATAATGCACAGTCCCAGACTCAATTTGGGACGTTATCATGGACAGTTCCAGGCTTACTTTGGGGGCACTATAATGAACACTGCCAGACTTACTTTGGGACGCTATAATGGACAGTCTATACTTACTTTGGGGTACTATAATGGACAGTCCCAGTCTTACTTTGGGACACTACTGTAGATCACTAAATTTTTGCGACACCTTATTTTCGCGAGATAGTCATTGACTCTTGATTAGCGAGACAAAATTTTCACGAATTGTCGTTACAGCTCTGTATAATCTTAAGGAATGCTATTATACACGAGAATAAAATTTTTGCGAGCACACTGTCTCGCGTAATTACGCGAAAATAAAGTTCTCGCGAATAAAAAGTGATTTACAGTAAAGTGGACAATGCCAGACTTACTTTGGAACACTATAATGGACACTCCTAGACTTAATTTGGGACATTATAATGGAAACCCCTAGACTTAATTTGGGACGCTATAATGGACAGTCTCTGACTTACTTTGGGGCACTATAATGGACTGTCCCAGACTTACTTTGGGATGCTGTAATGGACACTCCTATACTTACTTTGGGGCACTATAATGGACAGTCTGCACTTCATCCAGACACTCCCCCACTATGACCTGTATGTCCTCCTCCACACACGGGGGACAGGCCTGATCTGTCCTCCACAGGAAGTGGAACTGACAGCCGTCACACGTCCCGTCGGGACATTTACTGGGGATCTCGATCTCTCCCTGTCCTTTCTTCTGCTGATCACACTTCAGGGATACAATTGTCTCCCTTCCTTTGGGACACGCCTGGGTCTTCCTAAAAAAGATTTTGTATGACATTTTTGTAAATCAAGAGACATAACAAAAAAGTTTATTTTCTTTAACAAGTACAAGCATAGGGAAACAAATTCCAAAACATGTGAAGACATAGAAATTTTACAGTCTAGGGACCAATTTGATGCTTTCAACCAATATGCAAGTCATCAGTGTGAAGATTCTTGCTAAAAATTATTTGGTTATGTTCAATCATAGCTCAAGAAAGTCTGGAAAACTATGACAATAAAAGAATGACAAAAAATGACCAATGAAGAGAAGGGGGTACATGTAACATTATACATCCAAGCAAATTCGTGTCAGGAGTATAGATACATTTTCATATAATTTTAAGTTTAAAACAACAACATTAAAATCCAATCTAGGTCGATTTATGAGTACATGTACATGTATATGATCTACATTGATAGGATTAAGTCCCTTTCTTCAAACTGTACATTGTTGACAATATACAAAATATGTTACGTTCTTGATTTATCACTCTATAGGTATTTAAATGTACTTACTCATCTGTCTTGTAAAAGAAATGGACATCTCTTTCCATTCCTGAAAAAGAGGTACAAGTACATGTATACAATTAGATAGCAAATGCAAGACAATCAATGACACATAGAGAGGATCTCACAAGTTTTAATTTGAGATGGTACCTCATTGATCCATATGAACAATCAAAAGAATATTGTCAAAATCATTGTTTGTAGGGGACTAATGTATGTCGATTTCCAGGGACACCATTATCCACATGAATATACATCTTAACAAACAAGAAATTTGTCAATATATTGGTTCATTGAATCCTCTGTAAAGTCCTTATAATCCATCAAATATTGGTTACTTGTATCCAAAAACACTGATTCATAGGAATAAAAGTGAATTAACAATAAGTGAAATTATTTGGGAATGCTATTACTGGATTATAATGTGTAGGGATGGACAGGATCCAGTTCCCTATTTCTGTGTTCAGTACCTTCAGTAGGGAGTCCTCCCTGTGTGTATAGATGATGTAGGTCAGATTCATGGCTCTGATTGGACAAGATCTTAGTCAGGTAATCCGCAATACTGAAACATACAAAAAATTCATCTTAGTCAGGTACCTCGAATACTGAAACATAGCCATTTCAAACTAAATCCTTAATAATGTTCACAATGATTCTGTACTAATACATGAATGCAAAGTGAACATTATATTATAATCTTATCAAACTTAACAATAATTTCAGAATTCTACTCTGAAATTCAATCTAAATTGATCGTAAAGTGCATAAGAATATGAACCACCACATTTTCCTGTTATTTAGTTGTTTGTTGTTCAGTATATTTGTCACAGGTGGTGAAAAATAAAGTCTCAACTCGGACTAGAACCCACAGCCTCTTGTGTACCATGCCAGCACTCTAACCACTGAGCTATTGAGACCAGATATACTGACCAACTTTCATGCACCTGTCAACCTCTTGACATATTCCCCCTCCTCGTATAATTTCTTTCTCAAATTCTAGGAGGTAAGGAAATGCTGTAAGGCATGTTCAAATGGAGCAATATTGACCGACTTTCATGCACCTGTGAATCCAGTGTCTTGTTTTTGCAATGACACATATTAAATCAATTAAAAATAACCTTATGCAGTTTCAGTTGTCAATGAGCAGTACTCACTGTTAAGACTAACTTTTTATTTGGAATCACCTACCTGACGGGCTGTGTAGAAACTATCTTGTTATCTTTGGTCGGCACCATGGCTGATCTACATACCATAGAATGTACAGGCTTATCACTCTTCTCAATTACCTAGTGGCAGAAAAAATTATCTTACTTTATCATGTTTATAAGATTTAAAATTCTTTATCAGTTGAACAGCTTTATAGATGATATTTTATACTTTAATTCTTTGTGATTTAACATATTTTAAAAATCACAATTAGGTAAGAGTCATGAAACAAACAGATGTGGGACTGTTAATTCCTTATTTTACATAAGTACCTACAGACCCTAAACCGTGCTACTACACCACTTGCACGGTATGGTTACGCTTTGTTCAAACGGTACATTTGTTCACGGTACGGTACGCTTTTTTGGTTCGCTTTTTTGCACGGAACGGTACGCTTTGTGCACGGTATTCGCTTGATGCACGGAACGGTACGCTTTGTGGACGGTACGTTTCGTTTCTTGCACGGAACGGTTCGTTTTGTGAACGGTACGCTTTGGGAAACGGTATGTAAATGAAGTGGGCGGAGCCTGTTAGCTTTGGTCATTGATTGGCTGCTAAAAAATAGTCCATTTTAAACGAATTTTGAAGATCGTTATGCACGTGTTCAATTTTATTTCCGTTATTAAAGAATGTAATTTATTTATTATTCATATAAATTGAAGTATTAATGAGTTTCTATTTATTAGGGAAGTTCAAATGTTTTATTACATGTACATGTATGCTATTGTGTGTATCATAGCCTTGTGTGCTATGTTTCGGTTTCAATTTTAAAAATTAATTTACACTGAAGCAGTGATGGAGGAAATAAGAAAATAAAATGAAAGGAAAAACATCGTCCCACTGATCTTTTTGGCATTTGTAAATATATTGATATATAGAAGGTAAATATTTCCTTACGTATTTTAATTTTACCTATGCCAAGACTGTGTCTTAAATAGAAAAAAAGACACAAATGTATATAATAATTTTTCATTCTAGAATAAAGCTTTAACAGAATTGAATATATACTTGTTCTATATTTAACACTATACACGTATATAAATTATTTTCAATTGATTGATCTATAGAAAAAAATATGACTATTCGTGCTTTTATTTTTAATCTTAGTAATAAGAAATGTAGATTGTTTCTCATTTTTAAAATTGTTTGATCTATCGTTTAAATGTCTGCCTTAGAAGAGAAATATCAGTAACAAAAAATAAATTTATTAATAAAAAATGTTGAAAAAAAATAATTTTAAAAAATTTACGGGGCATAGAATACTTGTTTGTTTGTTTTTTCTTTTTTCTTAAGTTAATCTTTATTTAATCTGAAAATCTTTAATTACTCTGAATTTAGATACGAAAATCAGAAGCAGAAACTCGGAATCAATAAAATGACTTCATATCGCATTTCGCGTGAAGAAAACATTTCTTTTCATAAACTAGTATTATGTTTTTAAAAATCCTTTCAGTCTAAGTAATTATTTAAATAAGTTTTTCTTCATTTTGATAAGTTATTCTCTTCTTGTAAAATGTGTAAATACTATGTCGTGAAAGAGAGAGAGAAAGAGGGAGAGATGCAACCCCGTTACATAATCTAAAAAAAATACCTTTTATTTATCTCATTTTTTGGTTTTATTTACATCGCCAAAGTCACAGATGCTATTTAATTTCCACAACTTTGGTTCAAACTCAACCTATTTACAACTATTGCGCAATGCATTCGTTCTCTGCACATACATGCTGTACGCAGGAAATCCTTGTGGATCACCTGTCAATCAAAATCGCATGACGCTAGGTGACCTTGAGGGTATATTCGATTAAGCGACACGGGTTACACGAGTCACTAGAGTTGTAAATAAAACAACCTATCTTCGACACGGGTAATCAACCCGTGTTACGCGAGTATACTCCTCAGTTTACCTGGAGTAACAGGTGAAAGAAATGGCGGGAAGTGAAGTCGCATTGTTAATGCCAAAACTGTTTCTGCATAAATTTGTCAGTGTTTGTATTACTAATTTACAAAGTCAATGAAAAAAGTCTGCATTATAATTTTGATATCCCCCCTTTTTTTTTAGTTTTTAGGTCAACCTCTTAAAATTACCGCTGTGTTATCATTGGCAGCTTTTAAATTTTTTTTAAAAAATAAAGTTTATCCTGCCTATAATTATTGCATTGGCTTTGTCATCATAAAACCCAAAACTTATGTTGATTATAAATTTTTGAAAATTAGCCTTTTTGGAAATTGTTACCATAGAAACATTCTAAACTCTTTTCAAGAAGAATAAAATCGCAGAATCAGTTTTGGTCTTAGGTGTAAGTTCTTTTGTAAAACGGGCCCCTTGATTACAAAAATGTCTTATAGATATGGAATGCCATATACGACAGCCAACTGCTTACTGCCAACTGCTGACTGCTTACTGCCAAATGTCAGCTGCTTACTGCCAACTGCCTCACATATTTGAATGAATTTTATTTTTATTTTGATATTTATGTGAATTAAAAAGAAAAAGGCGCGGATTCATTTTTTCCATCACTATGACACACACAAGAAAAAAATACGTAAAGTCCTTTCCTAAATGTGAAAATTTATTTCGGCCGGGGAGAGGGGGTTCTTATGCGTCATATCTTCATGTGTTTGACATTTTTCACACCAACTTAACACGAATCCACATTTTCGGTTGGGGAGGGGGTGGTTCTAAGGTCCCTTTTAGTTTTATACATTAAATAACTTTTAATTGATTTAGTTTGTGCATTAAATAACTTTACAAATCTCAGAGGGGTGTTCCGAACTCCTCTCTCTAGATCTATGCATGTGAAACATATTTTATTTGTACAAACAAAGAGATATAAAAGTTTGATCGGCTTTTTCTAAGTGGAGGGTCCAAGGACAGTTATACTGGTAGTCCGTTTAGTTTATTTAATGTATTACTGAAATTTTAAATCCCCCCCCCCCCCCCCCGATCTGTGAAACATTATAACACACAGAGATATACATCTTTAATCTGAGGAAATTTTTAACTATAGAATATAATGGAAAACAAAAATGTATTTTGAAAACATCTTTCTCTGCGAAACGACAAATCTTTTTTGTTATTATTATGAGTATTTTACCCTATCTTTGGACTTTTAGTAGGCGTGACTTTCTCGGCGCTACGTAATGGAGAATACTAGTTGATTCTCATTGGTTACGAAATTAATAACAAAGGAACTTAAAATTGTTATTGATAACGATCAGACGACTTATGCCCCACCTCTGTGTCGTGAGAGAACTTTTAATTGGCTATTTACTACACCAGTTGACATTCGGCCGCATCTCTATCACATGTATATTTCAATAGTGAAGGGAAGCTGTGTAAATTTCAGAAGCTAATTAGGTAACGTCGAGAATGCCACGCCTTACTGAAAGTCCACACTAAGCGTGTAATTCTTCTATTCTCTCTTCAAAGGTTTTGTCGTCTCCGGGGGAGGGGCTTCTTTAAAGATTAAACGCAGAAAATACATGTAGTCATTTTATTATCTATTTCAAATAGGAAAACAAATAAAAAAAATAAACAATGTACTTTATCAACTGCATATATTGAATATTACATGAGATAAAACATATTGGTCATTTTATTCAATTAATTTTACCAGGGTGATTTATTTCAGTGTAAAATTCATATAAATATCAATACAAATATACTTCAAATATGTGTGGCAATAAGCAGCTGAAAAAGCAGTTGGCTGTCGTATATGGCATTCCATAAATAGATGCATTTTGATTCACTAAAATTATTTTGATAGATTTAACAATTTAGCAATTTCAGTTACATGCATGTATTACAATGTAATCTTATAAATATGGAGGTCAGGTCCCCAGAACCAACCGGTTCTTTGTTTACAATAAATGTTATAAGTATATAGAAATTACCTTTTCAGCCTTTAATTACAATTGTAATAATTATTGAACAATTTCATGTGTATTTTTAAAAAAAAATATTTAGTTGAAATATTGAACATTATTTTTACAAAACTCAAAATTAAAATTCACAGCCATGTAAGACCATGAAAAATACATACGCTCAAGTTTTCTTTCTTTCTTTTTTTTTTTTTTTTGTAAAAGTATATGTCTCTCACATCCTATGACTAACACTATATTCAGCTATGTTTTTCTGACCAATTATTATAACCCGTTTTTTTTACCACAGGGGGGGGGGGGGGGGATGTAGCATCTGGTGGAAGCGCTATTTTTTTTCCATTTTTTCCTTTTAAAAAATCTTCATTGAAAGACCACCGATTGCTTCCTCCCCCTTTTTGTTACAGTAAAGCCAAGCAAGGCTGAAGTCGTATCGTATGAATAAAATTTGGTACTGAAGGAAGTGGAACCTACATCCTCTTCCTCCAACTAAATAGAAGTGTCGTTTTTTTCTCTGGCTTGTCCCCCCCCCCCCCTTCAAAAACGATGGTACATCACTATTATATTTAAAACTATTTCCATGTATGTATGTGGAGACATTCTTATTCTACTTTTTTATTTTGATAAGAGGAGGTATTGACTTGTTAAATAATATTGCAAGGATAAATAATCTATAAAATACATGTTGTATCCACAGGCACCTGACGTTACATGTGTACTTATTTGTCGTTTAATAAAAAAGAATATACCCATACCTAATATATATTTTTTTATTAAAAGAAAAATAAGTAACCACAGGTTCCTGTGGTTGTATCTGTAAAAAATAATTTTTTTTTGAACAATTAATATCAGCTTTGATGTATTGTATTAAATTATCTGCTATTCTTTATTTGATAATTGGATATTGTTAATCAAATTTTTGTCCTGTTCAAACCCGACATACAGGGAATATACTGTTTTCCCCGCCATATTTATGCAAACACTAAACAACACGAGATGTTTTATTAAGAACACTAGAGGTCAATCAATGAGCATGCGCATATTTAACACTAGTGCGACACGGGTTGTCTTAATCGAATACACTCTGAAAGTCTGTTTACGTGGAAAGAATTTCTCTTTTGATCTGAAACATTCTGATGGTCAGTTCAGAGTTCACACCTTTTAAAAAATAGTGGGTCACAGCCAGAGGGTTGTTTTTGCATCAAGTGTACATGCATTTTTATTCAACTGACATTCAGCGATTAAAAATGTCCCTTTTCAACACAGTTAGATAAGGGTGTATCCATTAATTATCATTTAGGCGTCACATAAATTCGAGCTTTTGATGAGTTTTAACTAGCTAATTAGTTCACCTTCTAGAAAGGGGGGGGGGGTAACAAACATAATGTGGCTTTCATTGTATTTTTTATTTTCATTTTATTTTGTAAGTTATCCTTTTTTCAGACACAAATAAGCATGTAGCCTGTAGACTATGATTTTTATTAGTCAGATTATATCCGTTCAGTAGAAATCTGAAGTCCCTGTTTACCGCATGTAATATTTAAATCCATATTAGACAGAATTGCCGATTTTCAGTGTATGTCTAACTGCATCAGTGATTCGCCGAGTATAATTATCTGAGCAGAATGAATTAATATGTCTAATACATTTTTAAAATTTTACTCTAGCCAGAAACTTCATAATTATATGTTTTAAATTTCTTACAAAATAATTAATTAGTAAAATCAGGCATCTGATATGAACTACATATGAATGCATACTTACGGCAAAAACGATCGTGTATCTGATTCAGCAATTGAAATGGGCAAAATTAAAATCTAATTAAGTCAAGACAACTAGGGAATTACTTTAAACATCAGATTCTGTATAGTTAAATTACGAATATTTAATTGAGTACAACAAATATTTTTTTTAAAAAAGTTGATTCTTAAATAAAGAAAATGAAAATATTTATTATCAGTTCCGTAATGGGGAACTGTTATATACCATGTTACACGGTGTCCACTATCGCTGACTTCAAAGATTCGAGTTCAAATTCTTTTTTGCGGGAAAAACTCAGTTGAAACACAACGAGTTGATCTAATTTATAGCAAATAAGTAATCAATGTAAACTCTATACTTTGAATTTTCACAGTTGAAAGCCCAGATGCAATGGTGTTTCAAATAGCCAATAACCTCCGTCCTCTTTCACGGGCGCTATTAGAGAAATAAACCAAAATGACTTATTTGGTCAAAGCAGGTCAAAATCATTGGGGGCGTGGTTTGCATAATTAACCAAAGAACGGTACGGTTCGTTTCTTGCACGGAACGGTACGCTTTGTGGACGGTACGGTACGCTTTGTGCACGGAACGGTTCGCTTTGTGCACGGTACGGTACGCTTTTTTACATTCGCTTTGTGGACGGTAGTACCTATATATGGTACGCTTTGTGCACGGAACGGTACGGTTCGTTTCTGAGGTGTAGTAGCACGGTTTAGGGTCTGTATATATATCAGAAAAAGAAAAATGCAAAAACAGTAATTTTGCAAGTGGATGGTTGATGAGGAAATTTTACAATTAAGCACCATTAAGTAAAAGAAAATAATTTTCATCAATTGATAAGTGGTGCTTCATGTAAATTACAGGATAAATAATTCCTGGTATATATTAAGAAATGTACAAATTTATAAAATATTGCAATGGCACATCAGCAATACAGGTAAATGAAATTAAACCTACCGATGTCATATTATTTTGACAGAAAGCCTTTGTATTTTCTGCAGCACAAAGTGAGATGTTAAATCCATGAAAGTAACCTGTTCCACTGCCTGTGAAAAGTTGGGCTCCTCTCACAAACTGAGGTCTGTCAAAACAAAGTGAGATGTGTGACAATTACAATCACCTCATCTTAAAAGCAACCTGTTAAATGATTCAACCTATCTGTGAGAATAATATTGATTCATTAACATTTTATCTGGTTTTGGGTTGAATGTTGAACAGACAATTTGATGTGTACGGAATTCCTTTTCCATTGATAAGAATTTAAACATGTACCGGTAAATAAACAGTCTGATTTAAACCAGCCCCACTTCCTCCCAATTGCCCAGTGATTATTAGTTGTAGAAGGGAATATATTTTAAAGATAAATAACTCATACAATTTTGGTACTGTTTTTAACATATTTCTAGTTCTAACATATTTTTTATTATGTATTTTTAACATATTTATGAGAGGAGATCCAAAATCTGTTTAACAACCATCAAGGATGTCCCTATTTTTTTTAATGTTGTTTCAAAAAAATTTAAGGGATTACTCAGTGTCTTATCATAGAAAGACACCAAAATTCAAAAAAAAAATCTCTAGCAAACAACAATTAAATTAACATGACATAATAAAGTTTAGCTCGCACTTATATTAACATGGCTTGCATACTTCCTCACACATTTCACAGAATATTTAAAAGGATTTCAAGGGCCACCCTTACCTACAAACTTTCATCTCCAGAAACTTTTATTTTTTAAACAAATTGATTCATTAAAATCTACCATATATAAAGGAGTTACCTGTTACATCCCTATGAACAAACAGAATTTTGATTGCCCACGAGTACTGACCTAATGAATTAAAACTTTAGATGTAAGTTCTGACCTATTGAGTGCTGTGAAGTCATATTTCCTGTTGGCCTCGTCAGTGTACACACAGTCAGATATACAGGAGGTTCCGTCCTTTGCCCTCAGGCCTGGACCACACTTAACACAGGAATCCTCTCCCCAGGCTAACCTGGTCCGGATCACAGCATTAGCGGGACACGGCAGACACTGGGTGTTATTAAGGTCCACATAATGTCCCGCAGGGCAGGATATACATCTAGAATAAAAAACAAGTTCAAAATTCAATGTAATGTGACCAGTGGGCAGGACATATAAACACCAAACAAAACAATCTCACAATTTTCTATTTTTACTTCAGATCTGTTAGAAACATATTTCTACCTCCATATGTGATTTATAATCTAGAGTTGAATGATTCTCAACTTTATTTCTGGTAATCTTTGAGATGGTACAATTTTTGTTTTGTATCTTACTACTTATATTTGAGTTGTTGTTATATACTCGTATCTTACTGGTTATCTTTGACGCCTCTCATACACTTCTGGCAGTCCTTAGCGCCCCCTGTCAGGGTGTTGGTGACCTTGACACTGTAGATACGAGCCACATCCTCCTTACCATCCCACACCTCTGAGCTCTGGAAGGCCCAGGTCAAGGTCAGGGGCTGGGTGTCTTTTATTTCATGTCTAAAGTCATAATCATAGAATAACATTATTGTTCTGAATTCTGATAAAAAAAATTTTCCCCCAATTTTGCTTTAATATTTCCAAACAATGAACAAATGTGAAGTGGAAGCAGTGTAGCCTCATCATTCATAAATCTCCTAATGCATTTCCCAAACCCAGCTAATTACGCACAGACACAATGACATTTGATAACACATCAAACCCTTGGTTATAGCTAATTACAATACATCCGTAATTCGTTATATCCGTATATATAACCTTTATAGCGAATGCAATTGAAATAATGCCACAATGACTTCTAAAAGTAAATAACATCAGTTCAATTTATCAAATTTTTTTAAAATCTTTGAAAGTTCGTTATAAGAGATGTAAATTTTATTATATTTAACCTCAACGGGACTCAAAATCAGTTCGCTATATCCGTAAATTCGTTATATCAGAGTTCGTTATAACCGTAAAATTTTACAAAGATTTGTTAAGAATATCGCCGGGGACCCAGAAAAACTTCGTTGTATCCGTGAATTCGCTATATCCGTGTTCGTACTAAACGAGTTTTACTGTATAATACATGAGGCTTTTATTTCAGAATTTGACCCAATATCATGTTGGTTGACTCTGTCCAGGCAAGTGCTAGTTGCATGAGGAAAACTTAAAGACTGCTTCAAAAAACATCTTGTTATAATAGATGCTTTCACCACCTAATGACCGTAGGAAACCCACGGTTGATTACGCTTCAGTTGAACCTTATAAATTAATGTCGAGTTTAAAATGATTTTGAAAAAGACTTTAACTCTATTACAATTTCTACACAACAAAGCTTAATATATTTGATATGCTAGCTAAACTGCTGTTGAATTTGCTCAGTAACTTAGTATTACTGATCTTAGGAGTCTTACGTCCTTCAATGTGCTTCTGTCATCGTTCACTTTTACGTACCTGTACTGTTGTTTTTTCTGTTCCCCTGTCCAGGACTTTACAATACCATTAGTTCCAAACTCATCCTACCAAAAATAAATTCATGAAAAGTTTCTGCATAGAAAAAACATGATTTAAAAATACAAAAAAATCTTCTTGCAACAAGTTTCTGAGGACATTTTTCTTTGTAATTTTTCTTAACAAGTGAAGAGAACTTTTCTAATGTCACTTAAATTAGAAGGATGTAACATATCACCAATGATTCTGTGTATATATAAAGGTTTTGGGTTTTTAGAAAATATTGAGGAAGTGTGACTTTGTGTGTAGCCTTTCTAAAATACAATTGCCTAATTGTTAATACAATACAAAAGACTGTGCATTTGTATTTTAATTTTTTGTTCAGTAATGAACTTTGTTTTGTTATAACAAAGTCTACTTTATTTTTATTTGTTTAATAATCATCTCCAACTCCATGATGTACCTATTAAATTTTTACTTTGCAATATCCATAATTGGTTATATCTGTATAAGGAATTTTTTTTTCCTTTTGTTAAATTTATATAGCTTAATGATTTAGGAACATCACAACACCAAATAAAATAATCAACGCTATATCCATGAAATCACATTTGGTGTTTTGTATCACTGTTCCTGCTTTCAGTTAACAAGTTATATTACAGTGACTGTATAAAATATTTGCTTTCTATGTTTACGCCGAACATGTAACTGCAGAACAGAAATGATCTTGTTTTAAAAGAAATGGATGACAGATTCATGAAGTATAAATGTATAGAACATAGTTTATAAAGCTATTTTCATTCAACTGCAATATTTCCATTGACAAAAATTGATATGACATATATACTTAAAGAGAGGTAAGATGTTTCACATCCATGTACATTTGTTGCCACCACAGGAAAGCTGATTATATGGGGAAATTGTTCACGGATTGCATGTTTTATGGCGAATTGTCATTTATTCTTTTTTTTTTCGGGGCTCTCCTCACCGTCGTGATGAAAATATGGGATTTTGCTGAAAAATTGTAAAACAAGGTAGGAAATTGAGTGAGAACCATATCCCTTTTAATAAATTATGGATTCTAAATTTACTACACTGTGTGTGGATGTAAAATTCGTCTCCAGCAAGGACCCAGGAGGAATTTTACTATATATTTAGACAAAGCGTCATCTGTTCTCATCTTAGCAATAAAAATTACACACATCCATACATTAACAGTTCTTAGATTATATAGAACACAATTTGACAAAGCAATAAGCATTTAATCTCAACCAAAAATTCTGTGAATAAAAAATTAATCTTAATTGTATAATCTAAAACACGGTTATAACAAAGTCCTACATCACAATGATATCTGTATAAGTTTGTTAAAATATAGTATAAAATATCCCGCTTTTTTACAGTGACTGTAACATTTTAAAAAAAAACAGAAATTATTAAAAGAAATGAAGGAGTTTTGCATATCTTACAGAGAGAAAGATCAATTCACAGTTGCCACCACAGGAAAGCTGAAACTGGAAGTCTTGTTTTATATACTTAGTGATTGAAAATTAAATTATAAGGAACTGTGTGTGGATGTGGTCTCCAGCAAGGACCCAAATTATACTGCTAATAAAAATTACACTGCAGTATAAACAATCCTTACAGAACACAGTTTTAAGTATAAACTGCTTCGTGCTTTATAATTTAAAATACAGTATACATGGAAATTTTAGCGAGAGGCAAATCTAGCAATTTGTCCATAAAAATTGGTCTAATCGTGTAATTTTATTTAAAATGATCACTATAATTTACAAATAAAATGCAATTAATTTTTAGCGATCTCATCTCTATAATGCCTTAAATATACACACATATGTATGTCATTTGTTATACTTGTCTTTTTTTAAGGTCAAGTTAACCATGTAATAAACCTTCTGCAGAAATCTCACCAGAAAATGTGATACAATTTGAGGTCATGTTCTCTGGCATTTGGTTCCACCATTTGTACTCGAGTGCGATGTTAGGGGAGGTAGAGGCGGGGCAGTCCTGGCAGCTCTTCGCTCCATCAGAGTACATGTGATCAGGACAGAACTGGCAGCCTTTACCCTCCACGAAATGCATGCCTGGGTTACAGGGTGGGCAGTCCTCGGGAGCGCTAGGGTCGGGGAGGTTAACAGCACCACTCAGGTCCGTCCGACAAATCTGGGGCTCTATCCACTTATACAGCTTCCTTGTCTACAACACACAAACCACAGCTAATTGTAAAGTTGACAGATTACCTTAAAAGTGGTTATCTAATAGATCCAATAGTTGAGCAAGCATGCTATATAAAATTTCACTTGATACATGTGATTTTTTTTTTAACTTAATAAATACTAGGTAAATGCACAAAACCTTAGTGTATTTTTTTTTCAAAAACTCAATTAAAGGATGAACAGAGATTGATTTCATTTTTTTTTAATTTGGAAGTAAATCACCTTTTTATTTTGGTCACATGGAGCCTGTACTTCATAGTAGTCTTTGTTTGTACATGCAGGCCTCTTTAAACAGGAACTGGCTCCTCGTTCTGTAAAAAGAAAAGTTCACATTAAATTTTCACTAAATATGTAGAAGTTCAAAGGAAAAAAATTACCGGTATAAGCAGAAGAATACATTGTACTTTAAGTTGAAAAGTTTGATGAAACTGATACAAAAACTGAATGTGAAGAACCGATATGTTACCTGAGTATTCAGACTTTTGGTCACACCCTGTACAGGTTGCCTGCCCCTTTAAGGAGTAGGTATTCCTGCTACAGACAGAGCAGTAGGCCGCTCCCTCACTGCTGTAGGTTCCATTCTTACATTTAGAGCATTTGGATGTGAAAGCAACTCCTGGAAAATGAATATATGTAAAAGTAAAAACAAAGTTTTTAGGACAAATAATATGTTTTTCTACATCATATCATTTCATAATTTTCATCTTAAAAGTATTGTTTCAGGGACTTAATCCCAAATCAAAGATTTTTCTGATTTTCTGATTTGCTAGAGTTCCTTTAATGGGAATGGGTTTGTAGTTAGAGAGATACCATTGATTTCCACTTTTCGGATCAGGATTGGTTTATTCCTGCTGGTCTTGGTTGAGGACTCAGACAACAGAGACAGTGTCTTCCACACGAGGACATTGGAACCTGACGTCAGATGCACCTGAAAGCAGATTCTGGAATAAGGGATCTCATATCTAAAATACCCAGACCTCAATCACATAGATTTCTGAAAAACAATTACAGATGTAGAGTGGCTAGTGATAGTCATCAGGAAGTTACACAAAACAGAGGAATTATCATGAAACAAATGTTACAGTAATGATTAGAAACACACACAAGAAACACACTTTATACAGGGTTGACATCCATTTGTTAAAGCAGTAAAGAGAAAGACAGTTTTTTGGCTAATGAAGAACATTTAGAGTGATATATACATGTATCACGTAAATGAGAAGGTAGAAGCCGTAATATACAGCCAAGAGTTTGTCTCAAAATCAAGCTTAAAATGTTTTCATTCCTCATGCTGTAACATCCGGGGTTAAATATGCAAGCTATGATAAAAAGATTTTTTTCCTCATCTGAAATGAAGTTTAGATGGTTTGACGTGAACATTCAAAACTTGTCCAATGACTTGATAAATCATTGATATACAGTGACATGTTATAGTTAGCTGCTATCAGAGGGTTCAAGTTTTCATTCCAAGCCGAGGGCGTGTTCAGTACCTCACAACTTACTTGATGTATCTAAGCTGTATTCCTAGAGAACAGACATAACTAGTCAAAAATGTTATAAACTTAAAATTTTTTTTTAGATCTTATTGTAGAAAAATACTTGTATTCATATCTAAGGTTCGAAATAATTTGTACTAAAAAGAGACTCTTTATTTAATAAATACAATCATATGAATATACTTTCACATTTAATCCAATAAAGTTAGATGCAGATGACTTATTTCCATCTTTTCAATGGTAGTTTACAGGCAAATAAGACAGAACTACTTCACTCATCTACTCATTCAACTTATTCCCAGCTTTCTAAAACAAAACATCTACATGCTCAGCCTCAGGGAAATGACACGTCCTACCTCAGGTGTCTTGTTTGACTGGTTTACCTTTTTCTTGGCCCACTTCCCCTCTTCTGTCTCCTCCAGAAACTCGGACCCTGAGTGGCCGTTGTAGGTCTGACACCTGCTGTTCTGGACCTGTAGACAGGAAGCTACCACTTAAACAGGTATTTTAACAAAGATTTAATTTTGGTACTTAAATGAGGATGTCATGATTGCTAAAATTGAATATTGCTAACAATTCAATCACACTTTACAGGTTACTCTCATCTCCCTAGGCATATAATGAAATCACTATAATTAATTGATACCTTGATAAAATTAAATTACCATGCTATCAGAGCTGTGAGTGAATTTCATAAACTTGCGATAAAGTGGAACATAGCATCACAGCAAGTTACAGAAACTTACAATTAAGTGGAACGTGGTATCAGAGATGTGAGTGAATTACATAAACTTACAATAAAGTGGAACATGGTATCAGAGCTGGGGTACTGGTACTCGAACTCTATAGTCCCGGCCTTGACCAGGGTGACAGAGTAGGTCAGGGAGGAGGAACAGGCCTGGGCCAGGGAGCTGATGTAGTTCCCGCGGGGCGTCCATAATGATCTAGGCAAAGAAATACATCATATACCAATAAAAAGATCAGCTGTTTAAAGAAAGTCAATGACATCTAAATTATTTTTGCCCCTTGACCTAACTCTAAGATTTCCAATTTAAGACTGGGAATTAATGGCAGCATAATCTTTTCAAAAATTCTGTCAAGTTTCCTTATGAGCTACAATTATATATAGTTATTTACTGTCACATATAAAAATTTCCTTATGGGCTACAGTTATTTATAGTTATTCACTGTCAAGTATACATGTAAGCTTTCTAATAAGCTACAATTATGTGTAGTTATTTACTTTCAAATATCAAGTTTCCTTACGAGCTACAGTTCACAGTCTCCTCTTCATCCTGAAAAAAGGACCCCAGGCTCTCAACAGAGACTTTAAATCCTGGGGGTAGCTGATCCCACTCCTCGAACCGTTCACCACCCCCGAGGGAATACGTCCCAGCCACACAGGGTTTACACTCCTCTGTCTCCATGTCCAGATACTGTCCCGGCTTACAGGTAAAATCTACAGGTAAAGAACATAGCAACTGATAGAAGATACAGCTGATATAAAGACTTATTGGTAAAATCTATAGGGACAGAATATACAGTTGAAAAATTAAGAACATTGTTGATAAATTTGACTTTTTTATATATTATGACTAAAATAATTATTTATCATTTCAGATTTCCCTTAGGGTTAGTAATGGTACACTTACCACAACTCTTTCCCCGTGTTGGAGGTTTCAGGTTGGTAATTGTACACTTACCACAACTCTTTCCACATTTTGGAGGTTTAGGGTTGGTAATGGTACACTTACCACAACTCTATCCCCGTGTTGGAGGTTCAGGTTGGTAATTGTACACTTACCACAACTCTATCCCCGTGTTGGAGGTTTAGGGTTGGTAATGGTACACTTACCACAACTCTTTCCCATTTTGGTAATGGTACACTTACCACAACTCTTTCCCCGTGTTGGAGGTTTAGGGTTGGTAATTGTACACTTACCACAACTCTATCCCCGTGTTGGAGGTTTAGGGTTGGTAATGGTACACTTACCACAACTCTTTCCCCGTGTTGGAGGTTTCAGGTTGGTAATTGTACACTTACCACAACTCTATCCCCGTGTTGGAGGTTTCAGGTTGGTAATTGTACACTTACCACAACTCTTTCCCCGTGTTGGAGGTTTAGGGTTGGTAATTGTACACTTACCACAACTCTTTCCCCGTGTTGGAGGTTTAGGGTTGGTAATCATACACTTACCACAACTTTTTCCCCATGTTGGAGGCTTTGGGTTGGTAATCGTACACTTACCACAACTCTTTCTCCGTGTTGGGGGTTTGGGGTTGGTAAACTTACACTTACCACAACTCTTTCCCCGTGTTGGAGGTTTAGGGTTGGTAATCGTACACTTACCACAACTCTTTCCCCGTGTTGGAGGTTTAGGGTTGGTGATTGTACACTTACTACAACTCTTTCCCCGTGTTGGAGGTTTAGGGTTGGTAATCGTACACTTACCACAACTCTTTCCCCGTGTTGGAGGCTCTGGGTTGGAAATGGTACACTTACCACAACTCTTTCCCCGTGTTGGAGGTTTAGGGTTGGTAATCGTACACTTCTCTGGTTCAATGGGGACTTGTACCTTCCATCTCCCTCCTTTATGATCACATGTCGTATATTCATATTTAAGGTCCTCCTAAAATAAAGATAAAATACTAATCAATATCATTTTTTAAATCCAGAGTTCCCTCATTTTATTCACTCTGTTTTATATGATAAATTTCTCTTGCAAAGGTTGTTCAATTTTCCATGAAAAACATTTTACTTAAAAGGAAAAACTAATAACAGTCAGAGGTATAATGCAAACAAGTTATTGTCAAAAATAACTCAAATGAGTTTTTTTTTGGTCACAATGTGTTACCAGTCCCCTTGTGTCTGTCCTCTTTTCCCCAGCATTAGTAACACAAAAAAAATTTTAGATTTCCAAAATATGGTTTCAATAAAATATACAGTTAATTAAGTTACAAAGGCAATATTGAGAAAAATGAGTTGTATGCCAACAATGGGAGATAACTCTGGCACAACTGAAATTTGTCTATTAAATTATTAATTAAATATTCAGAACGAAAAAAATGTTGACGATTAATTTCTACAGATACTTATTTATTTATCATTTATAAAAGTTTGCAAAACACTTCAACTGACTGTAACCACTGGTGACTGATGTGCATCACACATACCGGTACATGCAGAATAAATACTAGCTGTGTTTATCAGCAAGATGAAAATATACTCTGACCAAATGTATAATATTGATCTGACTGTTAATACATGACTCACAACTAGAATAAATTAATAAGGATACTCATATAAACAGGACTTTAATTTTACAGGGCCCTCCCTGTTGTGTACCTTTAAAATCACAATCTCTCCATCTTAATTTAAACAGAGCCAGTCTTAATCAGCATGATCAAAGCCTCAATATATGTACTACATCATAAAATCAAACAAGTGGAAACTTTCTGTTGGGAATTTACATCTCTTCATGTTCATCATACATGATAGTATAGTTATTATTCTCTAACTTAACACCTAACTTCTGATGAGGAATTCTCAATCCTTACATTAAAATCAAGCTAATTAATATGAGAATTCCTTCTTGTACTTGTAAATAAAATATAATCAGTCAGCTGATAGGCTGGATTTTTGGGGATTTTTTTATAGATTTGCATGTCAAACAAACAAGCTATGGTAAACACATGATTTAAACACTGGTGGTGTTTAAGATCTGTACAAAACTGATCAGTTACAATAAGTTTAACAACTTCATATAATCTGGTAAAAATTCTAAAATTGTTAAAAGATATTTACATGAAAATGTGATAGATATAGTCATGCATCCTTTTTTTCTTCAAACTTATTTATTTTTAGTTTCATCTTAAGTAGCTATTATACAAAAAAAGACTTATGTTCAAAATAAATTTTGTACACAAATCTTCATAACCGTCCATTTAGGATTCCACCAGTATAAATTTTACATTCACATATATTAATGGCAGTCCTAGCATTAAGAAGAAATGCCAGAAATTGTGTCATTTAGTGATTTACTGTGAAAATATTTTTTAACAGCTTCCAAGAAAATGATCATGCAATTCTATAGTGTTACTATAGCTTTAGACTTGAGGGAAAAAAACAAATGTGTAATTTATAATTAATGTCATCCCTCTGAATAGGGAAATAAAATAATTAATATCAAACAATTTTTAAAATAACTGAAATGAAATTTGATTAATATGGACATGAGTGTGCCAATGTGGTATTTCGAAATGCATCTGCATAATGCTAATTGAGTTTTCATCATAACATTAAACATTTAGGAATTTTAATAAATTTACAAAGAAGAAAGATGGCAAATTTATTACAAAAAAGTGACCAATATTCACAAATATGAGTATTTCTTTAAATTTTTTATTGTCAGTATATTGATATTGAACTGTCTTTATATGGGTGTTACACAGAACTCTTGTTCACTGGTTAATCATCTGACCAGCTGTTATATAAAATGTGTGCTGGTAACAGGTGCCCCTATCTAATGCTTCACTCATTTAAGTCCAGTCAGACTAATTGTACTTTGTCCATGTGTGAGAGGCAGATACTATACTATAACCCCTGGAGGGTTTTACAGCAGCTCAGCTGTTATGTTACCAGACAACTATTATACAGTAAAGGAAGACTTCATTCCTGAGTGATATTTTAATAGTTTACTATTAATTTTTTTCCTGCGTCATAGTTTTTCAAACTTTCAATTTTTAAAGATATTATTAATGCATAATCCAACTTCTCTCTCTGAATATGTGAACAGCCTTATGACAAATACTCAAACACAACAAAGAACAAATATTAACAAGCATATGACATCATAATCATGATATACTATACTGGGATGGGCTCAAAATTAGTCCATTTATAGAATTACAGTTCCAGGCAAGTGTAATGTATGAGGGTTCATCTCCATTCTATCAAACATTTTTGGAATATCTCAGACACCAACCTGTGGTGTATTTGTTCCATCGTACAATAATCTATAATTATCATGATTATAAAGTATTTTTTGTTTGATTAAAAGCTATTCATGTAGAGCGATTTTCAATGATTATGAGAGAAAATTCTCAAAGTATGTTTATAAATGATTTAATAACAATTTCTATATGTTCCCCATATTGAAAAGGTACATGTCTCTTTTGTTTGTCCTTTACTTTCTGTAACAGGTCATAGCTGTCCGAGATTCAACTGCCTGACATTCAACCATGGTATATGCAATAATTTAATATTCAATGCTTGTGGTAATGTGATATTTTAAACTGAAAAAAATCTTTCAATGCCAAATATTTGAGGTTAAAATTTTTAAAATTTTAATCTTGGAAAGCTACATTTGGTTGCAAATTAAATATAGCAATGATTGTGCTATGATTGATTACTGACAAAAATATTATTTATAGCATGATCTCTCTCCAGAATAAAAGAAATTGATTGAATCATTTTAATTTCAAATTTCTTTCAGAATAAAAAAATATCAAACAATCTTTGTAATTAAGGGATTACGGCTCTGATAAATCAACAGGTAAAAGGTGCATTACTTACTAGTAAAAAGATACAAATTTCTGACATTGGACTAAAATCACAGGGGAAAATCTGTTTAATTCATCATTTTTGGCATATATTTAGTACAGTTTCACTTGGAAGGTTTTTTTTTCAAGTGTCTAAGCAGCCCAAAATAATGTTGCACCATACGATTTCTGCACAGGAAGCGGAATGGGGAAAATAAGTTGAAGTAAAGATACAATCTGCTCAAAAATATGATATGAGACAAAGTCAGATGAAATAATGTAGCCCTCTCAGATTTTTTTAATTGATGTTTTCTGGAGAGGGCTACAATTCCACAGCATCTCCGTAATGGTGCAAAAATATTTTTTAAATATAGACGACCACAGACAAAATAAACTGCTTTTACATACAACTTACTTCTAACAAGACCAAATTTTTATTCGCTGTCAACAACAACATAGCCAATTAAACCTGAAAACCAAATAAAATGAATCTGCAAGTTTACTAGCTGCTCTCCTCAGCAGATATGAATGTTCTCATATGATGTATCGAGTCTTAAATTGTGCTTGAAATTTAGAATATTTTAATGAAGCAAATTTTGATGTTGATAGATGATTGTATTGTATGGTATCACTCTCATTGGCTGTCCAAAAATAAAATGGATCAAGGTCAGTTAACATGGTTGATTAATTCAGGTTGTGATGAGGACATGCATGAACAATGACAGATATATGGAATTTTCTACGATATATTCTTGGATAGAATTATGTCTTGCATCACTATATCTTCATTTTTTAGGTAAAAAATGTGAATATAAAAATAGCCATTGATAATTTGAGCTGAAATCTGTGCAGGAGGGAATCAGTCCCGCACTTCTTCTTCCCATCCAGTGCAAAACCACTTAAGTATTATCGCACTCTGCGTGAGGCTGTGAGTGTCTATATACAGTGCTCAGAAAAAATTTAAAAGTTGATCTTTACAGATATCCTGAGGAGTTGTAGCCCCCCCCCCCTCAAAAAAAGGGGGCACATTCTTGCTGTAATGCAACTTAATATTTTCATAATCAGCTTGATCAGAGACAGCAAAACGAGTAAACTGGAATAATTATTACAATGCTTCTGCTCTCACCCAAACGGTTTCACAGACATATTTTATAGAATAAGTCTCTGTCCAGAAAATTAAACTCAAACCTTGGAACATGTTGTCACTGTTGTCGTGGCTCCAGCGCTGTAGAACATCGCAACTACAAAGAATACAAGCTTCATTTTCACTGAATATCGTCCTCAAACATATAGCCTAAAAATCAGTGTGGGTGTATAGACTATTCAACAATAATGCGCGCTTTCTTGTCCAACAAAGGCTAACATGCGTTATTCGTTACATCTCAGTCATCTGTCACTCCATCAGTAACCGGATATTAATGATGGGCATGCGTTAAAAATATAAACAAAGAGAACCAGTTAAAAAAAAAGAATTAATAAAAAATATTAAAATGAATAAAAATATGTATTGCAAAAATAATAACTTCAGAGAAAAATAAACCATAAAAATATTTTTTTTTAATTTTTTTTACAGAGATCTAGTAAGTCACGTTCTAAACGAGACTTGTGTATCCATGGTAGTTACATCAACGAGAGCGTGAACTTTCGCGTTTACAATACAATCACAACAATGATGCAGTCAGAAAGAGACCCCTATCCCTTTCCAAGATTACAAAATGATGAGAATTTCTATGGACCAAGCTCTACAGAGGTATGTATTTATCCAAAAATGTCAATATGTTGTTTAACATGAATTGTGTTCGGTATTGTAAAATATATAGATCTTTTAGCATTTATTTGTGTCCTGTATTTAATGAAAGGGATCAGAAATGTACATGTAACAAACAGATTTGAGGTAAAGTGCTCCAAAGGCAACAATCTTCGCTATCTTTTTCATAAAGGTCTCTTACTTATGAATAGCTCTACCCCCCCCCCCCCCCCTTTCTTTTCCTAAATCCACCCGAAATTCTTAACAGTTTGTGATGCTTCGTTATAACACATTTCAAGTAATATTTTCCTTTAAGAGAAGCTTTGTTTTCCTCAAAATCTAGATACCATTATTCAAAGGTGTCTCGGTATTGATTAAAATAAACGTAAACATGACTTATGAATTACAGTTTACATCTCTTATGTGCACATTGTACACACATTTATAAATATTCTGTGCTTTCATGTTTTAATGTCTAAAAATGGTAGGTAGCTATTGATATAATATATCATTTTTTTTTAAATGACCTAAAACATGAATTCTGGATATTGATGTTTTTCATATTGAATTTTAATAATTGATTTATATTTTCGCCAGCTTTAAAAAAAATTTGTAAATTCAATTTCACCCTTTTCCTCTTATACCACATATCTTTGGGTTATTTTGATTACTTACATGTATAATACAATTTTAGATAAAATATCACATTGTATTTATGAACAGCAAAAGGCATATGATGTTCCAGTCCACCTGGCTCAGAATGAGGATCCATGGAACAGACTAAATGGCACCTGCACTCTGGCTTCGTCTCGGAGAGAAATTTACCACATGGATCCCAAGGCACCTCGAGACAGTCTAGATTTTGTCCTTAAGTCGAAATATAACCATCATGAGGAATTCCTTAGAGCAAAAAATGAAACCCTCATCCAACCCGAAACTGCCGGTGAAGACACTGGGTAAATTGCATTGCTGAATTTTTCTAAAGTGTGTCATTCAGCATATGATCCCCGTGAATCCAATATTAAATCTCTTCTTGTCAGAGATAAATTTTAGAATAATAAACTTTTAAATCTTCAAAAAATCAGCAAGAAATGAACTTCAGATCAAACTAATCTGACCATTAATTTCAAAGATATATTAACCCTGTATTTTTAGGTCACCTGAGTAAACTCAGGTGACCTATTGGTATCTGTTTCCGTCCGTCGTCGTGCGTCGTCCGTCGTCCATCGTGCGTTAACATTTGAACATTTTCAGCTTCTTCTCTGCAACCACTCAACCAATTTCAACCAAATTTGGCACAAAGCATCTATGGGTGAAGGGGAACAAAAATTGTGAATTTCATGATCCCTGCCCCCCTGGGGCCTGAGGGGTGGGGCCAAAACCCCTAAAATTAATGCAATCTTTAAAAATCTTCTTCTTAAAAAATACTCCTGGACATCAAGCAGTCAAACTGTTTGCATGATTGTAATCAGCATTAAGTCCTCTACCAAAATTGTGAAATTCATGGCCCTGGAGTCAGGGGTTCTAGTGCTAGGGTGGGGCTATATAGATTATAGTAAAAATGTATTATTTCTTTGAGAATCTTCTTCTCTGCTCCTGGGTATTAAATAAACCAACTATTAGTACATAGTTATGATGAGCAAGAGTGCCTCTACCAAAATTGTGAATTTTATGTCCCCAGGGTCAGGGGTTCTGGTGTTAGGGCGGGGCTCTATTGATTATTAATATATATAGTGAAAATACATGAATGCTTTGAAAATCTTCTTCTCTGCTTCTAGGTATTAAATAAACTAACTAAGTGCATAGTTATAATGGTCAAGAGTGCCTCTACCAAAATTGTGAATTTTATGGCCCCAGGGTCAGGGGTTCTTGTGATAGGGCAGGGCTCTATTGATTATATAGTGAAAATACATGAATTCTTTGAAAATCTTCTTCTCTGCTTCTGGGTATTAAATAATTTAACTAAGTGCATAGTTATGATGAGCAAGAGTGCCTCTACCAAAATTGTGAATTTTATTGCCCCAGGGTCAGGGGTTCTGGTGTTAGGGCAGGGCTCTATTGATTATATAGTGAAAATACATGAATTCTTTGAAAATCTTCTTCTCTGCTTCTAGGTATTAAATAAACTAAGTGCATAGTTTTGATGAGCAAGAGTGCCTCTACCAAAATTGTGAATTTTATGGTCCCAGGGTCAGGGGTTCTGGTGTTAGGGCAGGACTCTATTGATTATATAGTGAAAATACATGAATTCTTTGAAAATCTTCTTCTCTGCTTCTAGGTATTAAATAAACTAACTAAGTGCATAGTTATGATGAGCTAGAGTGCCTCTACCAAAATTATGAATTTTATGGCCCCAGGGTCAGGGGTTCTGGTGTTAGGGTGGGGCTCTGTTGATTATATAGTGAAAATACATGAATTCTTTGAAAATCTTCTTCTCTGCTCCTAGGTATTAAATAAACTAACTAAGGACATAGTTATGATGAGCAAGAGTGCCTCTACCAAAATTGTGAATTTTATGGCCCCAGGGTCAGGGGTTCTGGTGTTAGGGGTTGGGATCTATTGATTATATAGTGAAAAGACATGAATTCTTTGAAAATTTTCTTCTCTGCACCTGGATATTAAGTTAAGATGAACTACCTATATGGTTATGATGAGCAAGGGTCCTAATCTTACAGATTTGTGAATATCAAGGCCCCAGAGTCAGGGGTACCATAGAGGGGGCTGTACTTATAAACTGAAAATGAATGAATTGTTTGAAATCTGCTCTTTGGTATTAATTAAATACTTTTGAAAAGCAAGGATGCCAATTTCAAAAATTGTGCAATGTGTGGATCTAGGCCTAAGGGTCAGAGGTTCATGTGTGGTAGGGGCACTACTGATTTATAATTACTGAATATTACTGATTAGTTGAAATGCATTTTTTGTTCCCCTACCCTATCTACGGGTAACTAAACTAAGCAATTGCTAAGTGTATAGTTATGATGATCAATGGGGCCTCTTTCAAAATTGTGAATGCCATAGCATCTGGCTTAAAACATGAATCAAATTTAATCACTGGAAAGTTGTTGCATAATGCTCAGGTGACCTATAAGGCCCATGGGCCTCTTGTTACAAATATTTTTCTAAGTATTTGTTTTTATGCAATGTTCTTTTATTTACAGACGAGTTCTAAAGAACCGAGAGGTTGAAGTTATTGTGCCAAAGCCTTACCTGAATCATCCTCTTATAGTTATAGAGCAGAAAAAGAAAGATAGCATCCATTCTATTGAAAATGCAATTGGTATGTTGATTCTTTATTTTTAATTATTCAATATGTGTAATGGTAATTTTTATCAAAAATGCTAATATAATTTAAGTTATTTGCAAAAGAAAGACTTCATTTTTTTATTTTTAAAATTTATTTACATGAGCACAATAACATGCTTATAATGAAATAGAAGGGTTTTTTTTTAAGATTTCATTTATTTATCTTTTTAAAAGGAGTGGCCACAGTATTTTGTTTTGCTGCATTAATGAAGAATACTTAATGATATAGCACTTTTGGTTTAGATTTGGCAAATACATGATGTGCATATTTGGATATTAATTGAAAGCATAATTATAGACTGATAAATTCTGTAACATTTGATTACTTACTTTTATACCCTAATGGAATAAAACTTAAGTTTATGGGTAGATAGCCCTTCTGGGAGGGAATGCATAGAACAAATTGGAATGAATTTATAGTTGATTTTTTTTGTACTTGGGCATTTGGCATACCACTCCCTTTTAAAGGCTAACAGGAATATTTTGGATAACTTTAAAAGACCACCCCACCCCCCCTTAATCCACAGTAAAGTGATTTCAGAATCAATTTTGAATGTCTACATGTAAATATAACAGGCATGTTCAGGAAAACTTTATAAAAATGTATATTGGAATATATAATAAGTTTATTTGCCTATTTATACATTTTTTAAGTACAAATAATAATTAAATATACATGTAACCTATAGCATTATCTTTGATAAATGTATTCATTAAGATTAAATATTTAACAATTATGCTTTGATTTTTTACAGAGGGTCACCATACACAAACAACAAACCGAGGTTACACTCGAAAACCTGACGGGGGATTCTTCTCGTCTTAGACTTATAATAATGACATACAAGAATTAAACCACATCATTAAAAAAAATGCTAAAAGACAGATTGACAGAATTACGATGACTAGGGGGACGATTTCTTATCTGAAGTTAACAACTATTACATATGTAACCAACAACAAAGTAAACTACATGTATATTTGGAATGTGATGACATAATGTACATTTCCGTTTCGAATTATAACCAGTTCTAGGTCATTTTACACCAGAAAGCAGTATATTTTAAATTATTACTACATATTTTAGATATAAAAGTGCTGCATAATACAGACAGAACTTGAACACAAAACAAAATCCATGCGTATACATGTACAGGCTTTATTCTTTCTATCTATCCTCTTCTTTTTAAGCTTATTTCTTCTTTCTATCCTATCCTCTTTCTCTATAGAGAGTCCCCATTGTGCTGGTACAAACGGCGGGTACTCCCGGAAACACGACGGTGGATTCTACTGCACTTAATTTGCGGCTGTCTCTACATAATTAACGGCTGTCTCTACATAATTAACGGCTGTCTATACATAATTAACTGCTGAGTCTCATAAGAAACTGCTAATCTTTATATATTAATTCTCTCCAAAGAAATTTAATTTTTTACCAGATTTAGAGCGATTGTATACCAACCTAATGTGTAAAAAAACTGAAAACATATCTTTATAATTAATATTGTTGCATGTACATTTTGGATATACACCTAGTATATTTGGAGAAATATATTTACAAAGAGAATTATGTATTTTAGAAAAAATAGTTTTTACCTGTAAATAATATGTATTAATATTTTTCAGTTGGAAATTTTATATATACAAGTGTTTTTTTTTAATCACTCATTCTTGAACTGTCGTATTCACATTTCTCTTTATTTATTATACTGCATTGACAAACTATATATTTAATATTTTTTGTCTAATAAAGCATTTCTGTGATGAAACAGAGGTCATTTTTTTTAAAATTTATCATCTTTTTTTAACCAAGTTGGGGGTCGCCCGCGTAGCGCAGTGGTTATAGCTCTAGAGTCGCCGTTGAAGGAGTTGATCCTACGTCGCTGGTTCGAATCCTACTGTTGAACGTGGAGATTGCTCCGCCGGATGAGACCGTATAAAGCGTGGTCCCGAGCTGGCACGTAAAAGATCCCTCGATCACTGCCGAATGGCCGCTGTTAAGTGCCGAGTATAGTCAATAACAAAATTAAATGTCAACATGTTATGTCACAAACGTGAAAAATAAGGCGTTTTGATGTTAGGTTCACTAATTTGCCTAAAAAATTAGTGTAAAACGTCATAAAAATTGTTTAAACTTACTCTTATGTCATGTTGTAAATTTCGAATTTACTGGGTGGTAGTAAATACAAAATTTACAACATGACAATAAATTTTGTAGTTACTTCCACACGGTAAATTCAAAACTTACCATATGACACTTATGACTGATAAGCCTGATATGGATAAATGAAATTCTAAGAACAAAAAATTAAACATCTGATATACACTGCATCAGTATACGTTCCTGTCAGAATATGTCCAAAAAGACTCATTACTCAGAGTTTAAATTTAAAAAAGGAAAAAAATATCACACACAAAAAATTTATAAAAGGATATGCTTTCAAATTTGAATTCCCAATAAAGTGTGCCAACTCTAAAGCAAAGCGTTCATTGACAGTTTACATTCGGTAGTACAATATTGAATAAGAGGGTTGTTGTTGTTGTTGGAGATTGTGATTTAGATTAACATAAGATTTTTATACCCCCCGCTTGAAAAGCGGGAGGGTATATAGTAATCGGTATTTCCGTCCGTCCGTCTGTTACGCTTTGGGGTACCCATCTCTTATCCGCAACTCCTCTTATACCACTGAAGGAAATTTAATGAAACTTTCACAGAATCTTTATTACATATTGCCATTGTGCACCTCCTATTTTACTTTTTGATCTGACATATATTTTGGATTTTCCAGAGCAAAACATGGACACTGCCATTTTATTCATATGGGAGGCGGGGGGTATCATTTAGTGAGCTCATTGCTCACAGTACCTCTAGTTTTACTAATTACTAGCATATTGACTATTTGACTTTGTCATTAACCCGGTATCATCGATTGAAATACTTTATGGGTTGAGGATAGGGACTTTGAATGAAACTAGAGGTACTGTAAGCAATGAGCTCACTAAATGATACCCCCCCCCCCCGCCACCCATATGTATAAAATGGCAGTGTTCATATTTTACTGCAGGAAACCCAAAATATTTGTCGGATCAAAAAGTAAAATAGGAGGTGCACAATGGCAATATGTAATAAAGATTCTTTGAAAGTTTCACCAAATTTTATTCAGTGATTTGAGAGGAGTTGCGGATAAGAGATTGGTACCCCAAAGCGTAACAGACAGACGGACGGACGTAAAATTGTATATTTTTAAATTTTCATCATTTCATATCTATTCAAAACCCTTGGTAACACATGTTGATTTTTTGGCTAAGTACATGTGACGGTACTATAAGAGTATAAGTTGATATTATGAATATCTTGAAAATTTATCAGAAGGGCCGTTGCATATGTCCTTAAACCCCGTATATATCCAAGTGATAAGGATATATTGCTGCAAATATGTAAGTAAGGGAAGTTGGCAATTGAAAAGATACCTAAGGTCATCACGTTTATCATAAAGCTTGGTTGTTGGTTTACTATTAACGTCTGTTTCAAGTAAAATATCCTAGTATGAAACACATGTGTCAGACTCTGTGATATCTTTTAAGCTCACTGAGATATATCGAGTCGACATATGAATGGAAATAACTATTTTTATACCCCCCACCCCCCGCTTGAAAAGTGGGAGAGTATACTGTAATCGGTATGTCCGTCCGTCTGTCCGTTTCTGTTACGCTTTAGGGTACCCATCTCTTATCCGCAACTCGTCTTATACCACTGAGTGAAATTTAATGAAACTTTCACAGAATCTTTATTACATATTGCCATATTGTGACCTCCTATTTTACTTTTTGATCCGACACATATTTTGGGTGTCCCGGCCACAGCAAACCTTGTCATAAGTTATAACCATATGGGAGGCGGGGAGTATCATTTAGTGAGCTCATTGCTCACAGTACCTCTAGTGAATAATATGCCACCAATTAATATATCTAAACTTCGAGTTGAAGGCCACGGTTAGTGTTTTCTTCTTCTCATGAAATGAAACATACAATGTATAGAGATAACGTACAGTATTCTTGATCAAAAGTCCATAAAACAATTCAAAATAGCAGAGCAAACATGGACCTCCAAAACATCGGAGGTGGGATCCATGGAGGAATGAGCATCTTCTGCCGACCGTATACACCAACCATGTGCTTCTTGTCATGATTGGGAAATAACGGAAAAAATCGTCGTCAATTTAGCATGTTTAGGGTGTAGATAATGGCTTAACAATTGGTATGAAAAACGTCAATAAGCATTTGACTCAGTGATAAAATGTGTTTGATGACAAGGTCATTATATCGACCTTAGAACTTACAAAATGATGACTTAAAATGAGACTGCTGAAATTCTTGTTTCATCAACTTGTTTGTCAATAATTTAGAATTTGCGTTGAGCATGTTATTGCGTATCGAATCAACTGAGACGTATAAACTCTGTATGCAGGTGATAAAGGTATATTACTGCATAAGTAAGAATCGAAAGTTGACGATAGTAAAGCTAAAGTCGTCACGTTTATCACAGAGCTTGGTTGTTAGATTACCATTAGCGTCTTTTTCACGTAAAATATTCAAATATGAAACAGATGTGTCAGACTCAGTGGTACCTTTTATCTCAAGTTTACTTGGAAATATCGTATCGACATAGGAATGGTACTAGTAATTACCATTGTTAATTGCCAATACGTCATCGATATACCAAAATGTTGAATTGAAGGCCACAGCAAGTGTTTTCTTCTTTTCACGCATAATATTTTGCACAAATTCTGCTTTGAGGAGGTGTGGCTCTCAACAAGAACTTCATTAGATATTAACGAAGGTAGACAAAAGGTTCTTGACACATAACCAATGTAAAGTAGATCAGTTTCGAAATAAAAAAAATTATGGCGTCATAAAGTTAATTTGCTAAACAAACTGCTTACAGGTACACAAATATTGCCCATGTGCGAATTAATTGATTAAATATATCATTTATGGTATTGAATTCATTTCAATCGACCTTACATCACAACTTTTAGGCACAGCGTGTAATTGTTTGCGTTAAACTGCGACTTAAGTTCTTAACCTTATTAAGGACTTAGATACAGGTGGTGAACAGACATGAGATTACAGATCATTATACTTGTGAGTTTTTTGGGTAAGTTCTTCAATATGACAAATTCGTTATCCAAAATCAAGTCGATGGTTTTGTGACTCATGGACAATTAAGCAGTAACAAATTATATTTTTCTAAGTAATAAATGTATAAAAACGTAATTAAAGCAAATTTTATGAATATAGTAAGAAAAAGGAATAGTAATGTGGTCATTATAACGATAAAAGAACTTGTGAATTGTCTGTATTAGATTCAAAATTGATTATTCTCAGAACTAGATCTTGCAAAACAATCAGATTAAAAAAAACCCCCACCAATTTCAGGTGAAAATGGAATATAAGGAAATATATTATATTTATTTTTACTTTTAGATCAAATATTAATTGTAAAGATTTCTTGTAATAAAATCAAAGTGCTCGAAATTAAAAATAATGGTGAGGGTTATAGAATTATTCCATATTAAATAAGATTCCATATGCATTCTGAAATTTTTTTGCTTTCTCTTCCGTCTTTAACATGTGTATTGCCAAGGGGACAGATAATAACATGTACAATGATAATATCAATGTTACATTTCATATTTCTAATGTAAAGCTCCTATATAAGATATTTAAATAATTTATTTTCAATGTCTAGGTGTTTTATTTGAAGTGTAAGCAGCAGCTTAAACTTTTGTGAATCCTATTTCAAATATACCAGAGAAAGTAGACATTGAGTAATATCTGAGTAATTTTTTGACGTATGTATCCTCAAATCATTTATGAAATGGTATTTTTTAAATGGAAATTTCAATTTAGATGCACTGAATATACAAAAGTAAAAACATCGGAAAAAGTACTTAATTCTGCTATATATTTTGTTATAAGAATAATGAACATATTATTTATAAATCTATGTAGATAGTAACCTCCACAGCAATTTTTCGGGATATGAGAAACATTGTCTTGTAGGATATAGATTTATGTTACTGTCTGTAGTAAAATTTGCTGCATGTTTTTATTTTGTAATGAAGAAAGAGCAAATGATACAAAAATATATTGAAAGATCGAAAATAATACTGCTTTTAAATTTGTTAAGGAATTTTCGTGAGGAGTGTTAGTTTTTAAGAAAATCATGCATGCACAAACCGTTTAACATTTTTGTAATTCGAATCTTTTCCGTAATTTCGTTGAAGCGTTGATGGGTGATTATTTGATTTCAAGAGTCTTATCTAGAGGATACACCTCACATCTCGGCTATAAAAGACTACTTCGTATATGTTTATGTTTTACTTGTCGGTAAACAACCCTTCAATTTCTCTTATTTAGTTTTCATGAAAATTAAAATATCTGGTATTTCATTTTCTACCGTTGTAAATATTTCACACATGAATTTAAATAGGCCTACCTTGAAACAATGTTGGACTTGTTTTTTAACTTTGGTATTAAAACATCAATAAGTGACAAACTCAGTTTCAAAATTTACACAATGGTTTAGTAATTAAAAACAAATATGCACACGCATTAACTGTTCTTTTGACTTAATCTAAAGAAAATATTGAAGAAAAGTCCCCTTTATATTTTACTGAAATGCATTCTAAATAGAAAAAAAATATCAATGTATCAATAAGAAAAGAGCATTATGTTACCAAACATTTGAGAACACAAATACCAATGTAACAATAAAAAAAGAGCATTATTTTACCAAACATTTGAGAACATAAATACAATTAAATTAATAGATATATATAAACTCACTTAAAGTTGTTTTGAAATATAATAATACAGTCTACGATCCTCAAGTGCCTTTTTAGACGAAAAATAAAGATAATGAAAAAAAAATCATGTTCAAAAGCAAAGATATCCGATCGTCAGCCAGGAAGGATAACTCCAAAAACTAATATTTAATTTGAAATGCATCAAAATGAAGCTTGAAAATTAATTTTTTTTAATGCAACAATTTTCATTTTATTCATGTTTATAAGATTCAAGGTTTTTGGAAGTATTAGAAAAGGTCTTATAAAAGTTGACATTTGTACCCTATAAAAGGGAAAAAAATTAATACAGTTTTAGAGAAACAAGATTTTCTTGAATCCAGCCTTAGATACGAATGCTTTTTTAGCATGATGTGAAATAAGAAGTGATTTGTGGTGTCTTGCAGTGATAGCAAAATCCTTTTACACTATGTATTATAGACTACATGACTGAAATGGAAGACAAATAATACCAAATAAGTATGAAAATCATGACAATTTCTCTGAATGCCTGGATACCTATCGTTTTTTAACCTTAAATATATTTGTTGATCAATTTGCAATAAGAACATGCATTGCTGATATTCCAAATCGCTTTTTTGCAAAAATATGGGAGATTTGACAATTTTCCCTATATAATATGATTAATTTTGATTTTTAACTTTAAAGAAATATTGTGGATAAATTTACATAACTTTGAGGATTCAGAGATACTTTTATGAGTATTTTGGATTACTTAACTGCTAATTTTATAAACCTGAGGATCGGACTACCTTAAGTACAAAAAATTATGAAAGTAACTGGGGCTTGATAAACTTAGTATGCAGGTGATAATGTTAATGGTATACATGTATTGCATCCCAAACAAGAGGTCCATGGGTCACATTGCTCACCTGAGCACTTTGGCAAGAAAAAAGCAAAAATCAATTCAGTATTGAAAAGTAAAACTATAAAAATGGTGATGGTGGTGGTGGGGGATGTTAATGATTTGAAAAAAACTTGAATATACATTGTACACTTCCTATTAGGATGCTTTTTAAGGAATCACTGTCTAGTTAGACAGTTATCCCATGTTTCCCACTATCGTTGATGCCCTGGCATACTATACTAACTAGACAGTGATTCCTTATATTTCCATGTCATTGCGAAATAAAATTGTAGATTTAGACTTAAAAAAAAATGTAGAGACAGATTTAAATTACACGAGGACTCCCATGTCGATTTCAATTGTCCTCGCCCACTGACGTCAGAGAAATCCGCACGAGATTTACATGCATATTTGGCGTTCTTAGCGTCAAGCAGGTCCTTCTTAGCTCTTGACCTATCGACCTGCCTAATTTACCTTCCGGTAGAATTATCAAGAAATCAACTCCGATAACTTTCAAAGGGTTATCACAGAAAAAAAAAGTATGTCTTTAAATCGTGGTTCCTGATAATTGGAGTGACGGTCTGTTTCCAGGTGCTGTCCATTCCTGGTGTATAAGGCGGTGACAGGAGGACCGTTTGGGGCATACGAATTATTTACTTCTGACAACACTCGTAACATAAACAATCTGGCTGCCCAACAACTGACCAATCAGGTCCTAGACCACTATAAATCCGAGGTGTTAAATAACTGGCAAAGTAATGATATATCTAAGGTACATTCCCGTGTAAACAAAAGATTTAATTAAAGGAAATAAGCATAAAAAACAGCAGATGTATCTTGTAAAACAGAATTACATTTCGTCACTTATCATGATTAATTAAAATAACTTATTTAAACAAAAAATAGAAGACAACATTTACCAATCCTATAGAAAAAAATTTATTAAGGATTTTTTTTCAGATAAGAGTGTCCTACTTCGCTGGGGGCACCGAGGCACAGTACTTTGTTTTTAACGCAACAGGGGCAACAAAGACGGACTGGTTTAGTCGCTATAGAGTGTTAGAGTCTAGCTACGACATCTCTGCTTTTGCTGTAACAACTGGAAAAGTAGGAGAATATTTTAGTATAAAAGGGTAATAAATCATGCAAAATCTTTTATGTTATTTGTTCTCCACTTTTTGACTTGCAGTTGTATTTATAAATATCCTATAACAAAAGCTGTTATTGCTTGGCTGTATAGTTTTTTTTTTTTCCTTTTATACCAATGTTTTTATCATCTAAGGCGTAGACCATTTGTATGCATGTTTTTAAGAGTTCAGGGAACCTTGAATCACATGTTATAAGTTATTCCGTTTATACAGCTTTATTTATTTATTTTATTTATCAGAAAATGTATTCATGTATACTCAAATAAGCATGTCTTGTTGTATAAAAGGACGTACAAATATGCAACAAAAAATCCTCCCGTAAGTGCAAGTCTGTTTATTCACATAAAGGAAGTGAAATATTGAGAGATACCGGTACACTGTAACAAACAGCATTCAATCTCAAAGTCCATAAAACAATACAAATAAGAGCAGAGCAAACACGGACCTCCAAATCATCAGAGATGGGATCAGTTGCCATGGTGGAGAGAGCACCCCCTGCCAACCGGTCACACCCGCCGTGTGCTCCTGTAATGCAATGTTCGCGAATAAAAGGGAAAAAATCCGTCGACAGCTCAGTGTGTCTGATTGGCCTAAGAATCAGTTTGATAAAAAGTCGATCAGCATTTGACTCAATGATAAATTGTATTTGCTGACAAGGTCATTGTATCGACCATAGAACTTACAAAATGATGACTTTAAACGAGATAGCTGATATTCTTGCTTTATTAACTTGTTTGGCAATAATGTACCTCGTTTTAGAAATTGTTTATACGTTTTTTTTATTTGTTTGTATGTTGTTTGACGTCCCTCTCGAAAATTTATATGAGAATTTATAACTCATATGGAGACCACACAACTTGCCAAAGGAGAGCTGCAAATTTTGTTCTATACTCGACACTCAGGGTCATTAAGCTGGGAGGGATCTGTTTCCTGCTAGCACCTATACTTGGACACGGGACTTGGGTTTATACAGTGTCAACCGAAGGACCGGTTTCCACGTCCCACTGTGGGATTCGAACCTGCGACGTAAGGATTGACTCCTTACTTCGCGACTCTCTCTAGAGCGGACGCTTAATATCCACTGCGCCATTCATATGTAGGACACGCTTTTCTGTTTCGAATCAAATGAGAGATACAAATGAACAATGGTAAATGTTGCATGAGTGAGGAGACTTGACGAGTGGAAAGTTAAAGTCAACTTTTTTATTATAAAGCTTTGTTGTTTGATAACCATTAAACATTAACGTCTTTTTTAGTAAAATATGCAAATATGAATCAGATGTGTCAGACTCTGTGATATCTTTTATTTCAAGCTCAACATGGTAAAAGCTGTCGACATACAATGTAAGAATGGATATTGTTTGCCAAATGACTCATCTGCGAAGGTTGTTCGAAAAGTTCATTTAAGAAATGAAAAATAAACTCAATATCCCGTGTAAAAATATTTGTTTTGTTGATGTATGAAGTTTCATTTCATTCGATTTAATAGAAATCAATTTACTTCAATTTAAAATCAACATGGTTTGTACCCGCGGAGCATACTTAACTATGGCACTCCAATTTTTTTACAAAAATGAGCTAAACCTAGTTTCACAGTTGATAAACTGGGTTTATATCGACTGTAAATTATAGTTTACAAACCGAGTACTATAGTTAACAAATCGCTAACTATAGTTTTCATCTGTAAAACTATATTTAACGGTTGTTAACTATAGTTTACGAATGCTAATCTACGTTTATCTGTCTGTAATAAAATGTTAACAATAAATTTTGTTGATAAACATAGATTCTTTTTTGTAAACTATAATTTACAATCATGAACTATATTTAATAGTTGTTAATCATAGTTTTACAAATCGTGAAACTATATTTATCAGATCGATAACTATAGTTAAGAGTTGTAAACCATAGTTTACAAATCGTGAAACGGTATTTATCGGATTATCTATGTTTTGCCATTGCAAATGATTGTTTTCAGTGTTAAGTAATAGTTTACGGTTCTGAAACATAGATTATCGCGTTAACTATGGTTTACAGATGTGAAATATAGATTAACGTTGTTAACTATAGTTTACAATGCGTAAACTATAGTTTACAACCTATAACCATAGTTTATCGACTATAAAACTATGTTTAGCTTATTTTTATGAATTTGACGTGCCATACTTTACGGCAATTTATCGTCAAAAACATAACGTCAAGAATTTCTTAAGAGTACTATCCCTATACATTTTAACAGTATAGTTCAATAATCACTTATTAACATTTGAAATTCGATTTCTAACAATTGTTCTCGTTGTATAATTTCTTTTGTCAATGATTGAATTAAATTTTCGTTTATACAACTTAGCTGTGCTTTAACAAGATCAGCAACTCTGAAGCTCTATGTCTTTCCATGACGTCCCAAAATTTTAAAGGTTTTGATAAGATTTAATCAGATAAGGCGTTTCTTAACGGATTGTCCTCGTCCGATACAGGCTCTCTGTCACTCAAATACCTCCTGTACCATTTATAAACACATGCACGACTTAATTGTGACATATTTTTTTAATTACTTTAACATTTTTAGAGTAAATTTAGGGTTTCCCCGAGTAGAACACAAAATTGCATGGTTATCTGCTGCTCTGTGACGTTCAACAACGTCATCAATTTTTTCGCTTTCAATGAGGACTACCTATCTTCCCAAATTGATTTGTTTTCAACAAATCAAAATACTAATCCATAATATGGAATATGAATCAATGTAACAGTTCTTAATTTCAAAGTCTAGGAGTTTTTCCATATTTTGTCCTTTTTACAGAAAATATGACTACAGACATTGCAATATTTATGTCGATAACTAAATTTTTGACCTGCTCCGCGAACCGATATTTGCAGTTTTAAATTCAGGATGGGTTTGAAATTAATCATGATATATATGAAATTTTTTTTAATTACAAATCATTTGGATTTATTGTTAAAATATTTCTACCAACTTTGGTTAGCATATGACATTAAATAAGAAAGATATAACAGCCCTCGTATTATCTTATGCTATTGAGAAAACTTTTTGATAAGCCTTCTACGGACGAAAAAAAGATGAAGTCTTCCGATTCTATGATTATCTAAACTTTGTTCTGCATTTATTTTTATGAGAAAATCAGCATGATCGTACGCGTATGCGTAATGACACATTATACGATACATGTAATATCATTGTATGAAAGTCTCATCAAATTTCATTTAATGGTATGAAAAGAGTTGCGGATAAGAGATGCGTACCCAAAGCGTAACAGACGGACGGACAGCTATACAGAGGGACGGATAGACAGGTGGACGGACGGACATCCCGTATACTATATATCCTCTCACTTTTCAAGCGGGATGGGGTGTATTATGAAATATATCCTCATATATGTGTTCAAGCCTCTTTAAATATATATTACAGAATATTGCATATGCGTGTTTTGCATGAAAATTCGGAATTAAGAAAAAAAAAACGATTAAATTTTGAAACAATTGAAATGTAAATAGCTTATCGGTATTTTTCGTCTGTGTGGAGGTACAAAGTAGTTAGATTTTTCCGTTATTTTCAAGAAATATGGTAGTACAAAAATTGACAAAATTGGTCAATGTTGAATAGAATAAAACGAACAGCAAGCTTGCCCCCATAAACAATATTCACATAGTACCTATATTTCATTGTTTCATGGTCTTTTAATCTATTTAGTCCACTAAACAAGTCATAATCATAACTATAGAATTTTTTAAGGTTTTGTTGATGGTAAATCAACTCCCTGATATAATATTAGCAACTTCTTGTAGAGCTTCTAAACTTAGTTCAATAATCAGTCAATCTAGGATAACAGATATAAAAGCAAAGATGCATCTTAGGATAATAACGTGTTTGTTTATTTATTACAGATCGAGATACAGCTCCACCCATTATAAAGCGCAATTTCTACATCAATGAGGGGTACTACGGGTGTTCATCTGACCAGGGATGGGTCATGATGATAGATGGACCAGGACCTTGTTCTATGGACTGGGTGACCACCACAACTATTCACTATGTTAATACCATATCTCATTCACTAATGCCTGGCCGTAAGTGCATTTTCTTGTTTCAATTCTATTCTTTGTTTGTTATAAATGTTTACTTACATTATGTAAATAAGAGACTTTATTTATATTTTAACCCTTTCTTTAATGACAAATAATCTGTTTTTTTAAAAGTGTAATTTGTTTATGTGTTTATGCATTTTCCCAACAAAGTTTCGAAATAAAGACATTTACATTGATAACATTAAGGAGGTTCGATCCTGAGTCTTGGAGAGATTTTGGTCTGGACCTTTATTTCTAAACCTCTGCATCATTTTCAAGTTCTAACATTAAATCTGGATTCTACAAAGCAAATTAAACTACATCCAATGAAATAAACTACATCCGATTTAAATTCCGTTCAAATAGTATTCCGCCCGGGACTACGAGGGTTGTTCGAAAAGTTCATGGACGATGTCAATCTTCGTTGCATTACTCACTGGAAATTTAAAATAAGCACATTTTAATATGTAAAAATATTTGTTTTGTTGATGTATGAAGTTTCATTTCATTCGCTTTAACAGAAATTAATTTACTTCATTTTAAAATCAACATGCTTTGTACCCGTGGAGCACACTTAACGACAATGTAACGTCGAAACATATCGTGGGGAATTTCTAAAAGATACTAGGCCCACACATTTCACACAGTATATTCCAATGCCCATGCATTAAATCCTTTTTCCAATACTTGACATTTATTTTTTAAGAATTGATCTCGTTGTATAATTTCCTTTGTTAAGGTTTTAATTTCTCTATTACTTAACTCTGCTTTCACAGGATAAGAAACTCTGAAGCGCCTATCTCTTTCCTTTACGTTCCAACTTTAAAAGTTTTGTTCAGATTTTTACGATAAAACCATTTCTTCACAGATCATCCTCATCCGATACAGAGTCTCTGTCACTCAAATACTGCCTGTACTATTTGTACACACATGCACAACTCGCTTGAAACATATTTTCTTCATTCCTTCAATCTTTTTAGAGTTTATTCAGGATTTTTCCTGAGAAAAACACAAAGTTGCATCGTTATCTGATTTTCCGTGACGTTCTAAAACGTCATTGTTTTCGCCCTTTGCAAGAAGGACTACCTATCTTCTCAAGTTGATTTCTTTTCAACGAAGCAAAATATAAAACCATAATTTGGTATACGAATCGATGCAACAATTCTTAATTTGAATTTTTAGGTTGTTCTTCGTTTTAGCTCCATTTTATGGAGAATATGACTACAGACATTATTTAGTGTATTGTCTGTAACTGACTAAATTTTGACCTGCTCCGCGATCCGATTTTTGCATTTTTAAAAACTGGATAAGTTTTGAATAAATCGTAATATTTTGAAAAAAAAAACAATACGTATCATTTTAATTTATTGTAAAAATATTTCTACCAAATTTGGATAGCATATGACGTGAAATAAAAAAGATATGACAGTTGTCCACGAACTTTTCGAACAACCCTCGTATATTTTGTGGCGGCTTTTATAAACAAGAAAATGATATATTTTTTTCCCTTTTGAAACATGTACAGTGTTATGTTGTTTAGATTCCTATTTTTCCATGCTGGTTGCACACAGAGCTGTTTTTTTTTCAATGTTTCCTGTCGATTCTGAAATATCTAATTAATTATATGATTAATGAATCAATTTAAAAATCAACATCCTTTTAGTAATGTCTAAAAATTTACATCACAGATCCCCACTTTTGTTTTTCCTTCCTAATTGTATCAAATGACTTCAATCTGCTTAAATTCAGCAAAAGTTGGACTAAATATATAAAATAATTCTGAGAGTTGCAGAAAGTCAAATAATTGGTTATGGGAAGCAATCTATTTTTTCTTCTTAGTCACAGTTTTGAACTGTCTTTTTGCCCCTCGCTTTCGCGAAACCTTTCGCGGATACGAAATCTCATTCGTCCGTCCGTCTGTCCGTCTGTAGTTCTGTCCGTCACGGTCACAAAAACTTTAACCTTGCTCATATCTTTTGATTGAGAGAAGATAGAGCTTTCGTATTACACATGTATAGTTCCTGTGACGAGACCTGTCTAAATTCATTGTGATTTTTAATGTAGATACTGAAATATTCAAGGGAATTTTTGGAAAAATTGAGGTTATCTTTGTGATTGGCATCTGTTGGCGGGGACTATTGAAATTTACATGGCAGGCCTCGTGTAAATCTATTAGTCTACAATTTTTAAATCTAAATCTACAATTTTATTTCACAATGAGATTGAAATATATAAGGTATCCTGTATAGTTACTAGTTAGTAGTGTATGTCAGTGTAATCAGCGGCAGTTATTAACGTGGGATAACTTATGCATATATTAGCACACTGCAGGTTAGTCTGACATATCTTAGGTTTCCATGGCTTTTTAACGATTTTAATATTTTGCGTGTCAGTGAAACGTCAGAACCGGCACCATTACGAAAATTGGGAATTCCCCAACAGGGCTTAATTTTCAACATTTACTAACCGAATTAAATTCTGAACAGTTTATCTATTGCACAGTCAATGCATCTAGTACTCACCAATATAGATGAAAACTAGAGGTACTGTGAGCAATGAGCTCACTAAATGATGCTCCCCCGCCTCCCATATGAATATAATGGGAGTGTCCATGTTTTGTCGTGGAAAACCCAAAATATGTGTCAATCTAAAAGTAAAATAGGAGTTGCACAATGGCAATATGTTATAAAGATTCCTTGAAAGTTTCATCAAATTTCATTCAGTGGTATGAGAGGAGTTGCGGATAAGAGATGGGTACCCCAAAGCGTATCGGACAGACGGACGTACAGACGGACGGACGAACATACCGATTACTATGTATCCTCCCGCTTTTCAAGCGGGGGGTATAATAAAACATCACTATACATTTCGCTAAAGGACTAAAGAATTAAAATGCATGAAATAAAACAAATCTCGACAGTCAGATAAAATATTTTCATGGGATTGTACATTCTATAAACGAACAAAAAATGTTGATGAGTACCAAACGTATTGTACTATTGATATTTTGTAGGTTTGTCATTTAATGCAGTTCGCAAATATAGAAAATCAAACTGCGAATGCCACCTTTGATATCGATTGGAGGCGTTGAATTTCCAGTCTTCGCAATGGCGCCGATTCTGACGTTTTCCTGACTGGTGCGTTAAATATCAAAATCGTCAAACAGCCAAGAAAACGGACTAACGGTGAATGTGACCGTCGGCAAGGAATTCTCACTGCTTCATGGCACCTGATCCCACATCTGACGTTTTGGAGGTCCGAGTTTGCCCAGTTCCTATTAAATAATGTTTTATGGACTGTTGAGCTTATATACTGTTCAATATTTCTATATATTCAATCTATATCTCTTTTTTAGTGACTGCAGATTTTATGGCCATTTTTGTGGAGAGAGGTATGACTTCAGATGATGGATAACACTTTTTTGAAAATATTTAAATGTTCTACAAAATAGTGTTTCTCGTTTTTAGCTCACCTGAACCGAAGGCTCAAGTGAGTTTTTCTGATCAAAATTTGTCCGCAGTCTGTCATCGTTGTTGTCAACTTTTCACATTTTCAAAACCAAGGGTAGGGAAGGGTCTCAATGATGAATCAAAGTTTCACATAGGAAAATAAAGGGGAAAACCTCAACAACAGAAAAGCTATGTTAAGTCATATTGACATGTAAGCATCATCATGTATTAAAGACTTAAATTTGTTCAAATCATGAGTACCCTTTGGGCCCATCAAAGTTTTACATATGAATATATAGGAAAAATCTTTAAAAATATTCTTCTCAAGAACCATTGGGACAGGAAAAATGAAACTCATGTTGAGCCATCCTCAGGTAGTGTACATTCAAGTTTGTTGGAATCATGACCCCCGGGGGTAGGATGGGGCCACAATGGCCGATCAAAGTTTTACATAGGAATATACAGGAAAAATCTTTAAAAACCATCTTCTTCTCAAGAACCATTGGGACAGGAAAGATGAAACTCATGTTGAGTCATCCTCAGGTAGTGTACATTCAGGTTTGTTCAAATCATGACCCCGGGAGTAGGGTGGGGCCACAATGGCGGATCAAAGTTTTATATAGGAATATAAAGGGAAATCTTTAAAAAAAAATTTCTCAAGTACTGCAAAGCCATGATTAGTGATATTTTTATGGAAGCCTCCTTAAAAGAAATACAAAGTTTGTTCAAAAAAAATGTTTTAAAAATATATTTTAAAAATCTATAAAAATCTTTTTCAAATCATAACCTCCAAGGGTAGGGAAGGGTCTCAATGAACTTTCTCAAAAAGTTATAATTATGCAGAATTGATATTGAAATTATAACAAAGAAATATAAACAAAAAAATATTTTTAAATATCTATAAAAATCTTTTTTTCAAGAATTTTCTCAAGAAGTTATATGCAGAATTGATATGGAGGCATTCCCCCCCACCCCAACCCCTCAGTAAAGTTTTCAATTCTGATCTGATATGTACGTTTTCCTAGCCGATGTGCTCAGGTGAGCGATGTGGCCCCTGGGCCTCTTGTTTTAATTTGAATTAATTGTTTATGTTTGGGTTTTTTCTTCAATCATGAGATTAAGTACATATATATTTTTTTTTACCTTCCAGAGATTTGTCTTGGCAATAGCGCCATTTCAAATAATAACAACCAACAAAAAGCAAATCAGACAACTGACATAGAACAGAAAATATACGAAATCAAGACCAACCTAACGGTTCCTGTCAATTCTACGTCACAGTATATACGAAGCAAAACATGCGCAGAAGATGACAGGATGTCGTCACGAACTATAGGAAGTGTGCTTGGAGCAGGTCTTTTATCGCTTCTAGCTATCTTCATTTTGTTGTCGGATGTACTCAAGGTCTGTCGTTATTTAACAGAGAGGATTTATGAAAACTGCTCTAAAAACAGAAGTAAACGAAGTCCCCGAAACAAATAATTTCCAGCCGTCACTACACCTCATTATTTTAATTTTTGAATTACTCTCTACAAATGAAAATAAGAGAATATCCGTATAAAATTTGCATTACATAGAGTTCCTAAACATTGGTTGTTGTAAAATAGGATAAACGCTTAAAAAATTATATCAATTTATTATTATTAATAGTTATACATGATAAAAAAGTAGAAAGTAAAGTACTCCGTTTAAGAAAACAACGAATTTAATTATAACCCTTTTGACTGATTACCAATTGAATTTTTATGTTTATGAATTTGAAAAAATATAAATAAATATTCACATGTTTTCTGCATAGCCTTTTTTCTCTGAAGAAATATTAAATCTCCAGGCCAGGAGCACTTGAAGTCAACATTAAACTTGTATTCCTTGTCATGATCGGGAAATAACGTAAAATCCGTCGTCAATTTAGTGTATAAATAATGGACTAACAAGTTGTATGAAAAACGTCAGTCAGCAAATGGCTCATTGATAAATTGTATTTGTTAATAAGGTCCTTTCCCCCTTTCCCACAGTCACGCATTTTAACGCATATACCTTTTCCTATTTCTTACGCAAAATCACGCACATATCGATTCCCCGCAATCACGCATTTTTCACGCACTTTGAAAAGAAAATTTAATTTTCAATTTAATGCTTATTCCTTTCTATTTTATGCATGCTAAAATCTCATAAAATAAAAAAAGTTATAATCTTATGAAAATTTTATGTCATGATATGATTAACGTTAAACTTTAGAGAAACTTAAAGCAATATGAGCTGCAAGCTTGACGTCGAAATTTTTTGTTGCAATATTGTCATTAACTATTTAAATGACAGAAAAAAGAACATTTATAAACTTCTATTCTTTATATAACAGACGGAAGAACAATTTATAGGCTTTGATTGAAGCAAAATTACATTATTGTCGTCCTGTACAATTTTGATTTCTTATATAATACCATGCATTCCTTTGTATTTTTCTTTTTCCTGAAAACTAAAATAATTCTTTACATTAGAATTGCGTTTCTGATAGACAATATCTATGTAGTTTTTGGAGACAAGGTCTTCCGACAATCTATTGGAATTCCCATGGTTACCAATTGCACTCCGTTATTAGCAGACCTATTTTTGTATTCAAAAGCAAAATTTGTGCATAATCTTATGCGTGAAAAGAAGAAAACACTCGCTGTGCCCTTCAACTCGACATTTAGATATATCGACGACGTATTCTCAATTAACAATGGTAATTTCCACTACTACGTCGATACGATATATCCTTGAGAGCTTGAGATAAAAGATACCACAGAGTCTGACACATCTGTTTCATACTTGGATATTTTACTTGAAAAATGCGTTAATGGTAATCTAACAACCAAGCTATATGATAAACGTGATGACTTTAACTTTTCTATCGTCAACTTTCCTTTCTTATGCAGCAATATACCTTCACCTGCATACGGAGTCAGTTGATTCTACACGCAAGAGCATGCTCTATGTGTGAACAATTTCTAAAACGAGCTAAATTATTGACAAGCAAAATGATGAAAAAAGAATATTAGCAGTCTCGTTTAAGTCATCATTTCGTAAGTTCTATGGTCAATACAATGACCTTGTCAGCAAATACAATTTATCAGTGAGTCAAATGCTGACTGACATTTTCCATACTTACTGTTAGTCCATTATTTATACACTGAATTGATGACGGATTTTCCGTTATTTCCCGATCATGACAAGGAGCACACGGCGGGTGTAACCGGTTATGCTCACTCCGCCATGGCACCTGATCCCACCTCTGATGTTCTGGAGGTCCGTGTTTGCTCTGTTCCTATTTTGAATTGTTTTATGGACTTTGAAATTGAATACTGTTCTTTATCTCCATATCCTTCTTGTATAACAGATCAATAAGTTGTCAAGAGTTGAACAAGACTGCTGATATTCTTGTTTCAGCAACTTGTTTATCAATAATGTTCCTCATTTTAGAAATTTTTCATATGTGAAGCATGTTCTCGCGAATCAACTGAGATATATTAACTCCGTATGCTGGTGATGAAGGTCTATTGCTTCATAAGTAAAGGAAGTTGACGATAGAAAAGTTAAAGTCATCACGCTTATCATATAGCTTGGTTGTAAGATTACCATTAACGTCTTTTTCATATAGATAAAATAACTAAACATGAAACAGCGGTGTCATACTCTGTGGTATATTTTATCTCTAGCTCACCAGGATTATATCGTATCGACATAAGAATGAAAAAAACATTTTTAATTCACAATACGTCGTCAGTATATTTAAAAGTCGAGTTGAAGGCCACTTACTAATTTGTTAGGCCATTAATTACCCTATCATGACCAACATTTTATAAAAATAAGAATGTCACATATTTTTGTGCATGTTTACTATTTGGTGTATAAGAGAACAGAGAATTTTCTGATGATGACAAGAAGCACATGACGAGTGTGACCGGTCAACAGGGAATGCTCACTCCTACATGTCACCTGATCCCACCTTTACCCGCTGAGGAATGCTTCATTTAACTTCTGGTATCTCCATGTAACAGTCTACAAATTTCACCTGCAGTTCTTGTTAATTAACCTTCGATGACCCATCATTTCAGGATTTACCAGAACACAATTCATGCAGACTGAATTTCTTTTGAATACTAAGTACTAGTACAGTGTAGTATTCTGTATTAAACATAGTATGTAAAATCCATACAGTATTTTCATTGCCTACAGAAAAGTCAATGACATATTACTTTCTTACGCATATCCTTATCAACATGTGTTTTGTTTTAAAAACATTATACATGCCGAATGACTATATAAGCCTGGCTTGTCAGAGACATTGTTTACAATGTTTACATATCCTTCTTACAGTACCTGCACACCTAGACTTACGATAAAAGGAGTTCGCTTGTACTCGGCGAATACTTGTGGAGCCGTTTCAATGTTAAAATGTCACTGAAAAGTTACATTTTTTTCTGTATCAATTTTGGTATTTTAGAAGATAAAAAGATAAAGATAAGACAGTATTGAAGAAAGAAAAAAACTTTAAAAGCTGATCCCTCAAGCTGTGAAATTTGATTCACAATTGACCAGTTACATAAACCGGTTCAGAGTGAACCATTAAACCAATAAAATTTGGGAAAATCAGTTCGGATCTGACAAAAAGCTAAGGTTTCTTATCGTGCCTGAGATGATCTCAGTCCCCTCTAACAGCCAGCATCTAAATTGTCAACCAAATGCACTTTATAAAATCTTATGTTGTTGATAATGGATGTTGTGTGGAATCATTAAAATTCGTGACGGCCAATTTTTTTTGGATTGTCTATATTTTACCTGTTCGGGGGGATGTCATTTCGTGCTCTCGCTAATATTTACAAATTAAAGGCAAGATAAAACCCAAAATATGAGTTTGCTAAGAGAGTAAATTCGGGAATACAGGCATTATTCAACAAAATCTACAGGATGAACCTGAATCATTAAGTCAACTGATTGGTCGAATTAATATCTGGAAAGGTCACTGAATGGCAGTACATTTAAAAACGGTTTAAAGATAAAAGGCAACTCAATAAATACTTAATGAGGACATGCTTTTCCAAATGATTTTAGATAATACTGGTATGATTGTGTGTAATTTTCTTGGGAAAATTTGCATGTCGGAAAAATTAACCCACATATTGTCAGAAATCATTTTCAAAAAGAAAATGTTAAAGAAAGTTTTCTTGTGCTAATTTTCTTTACACGTGCAGAATCACGTGAATATACTTGAATCAAGCAGCTAGTGACATATTCTACCAGCCAAGCTTTTAGTTCACTTGTACCTATCAAATGAAAAATTAATATGGAGGGCAATGATTGTTAATTACCGGTATTTTATTGCATGAACCTTTAAATATGTGAGAACATTCCGTTTCAATTTTTATTTTTGTCTTCCATCTACTTATAATTCTAATTTTAAAAAGAACTACTTTCCAAGCATTCTACAAGCATTATAAAAATATTAACGACATCAAAGTGATAAAATTGATATCAAAGAAACTGACTTCAAAGTACTTCTTTCCTCAAAGAAATTAACCTTTTTCAAAATCAAGATAGAAAATGCTATTAAGTCGTTTTGTAATTTGATAAATTCTCGACAAATATGGGAAGAAATGGACGGAAATTAAAAGGTTTCCTACAACAACTCAATTCTTTTTCAATATTAGTGGTATTTACGCAGTTTTTGGACACTGAATCTGTTGGAATTCCCATGAGTACGAAGTGTGTTCCTTTATTATCAAAACGTTTTTATTATTCTTATGAAGCAGAATTTCTTCACAGACTTCTGAGTAGAAAGAAAAGAATTCAGCTCAAACCGACATTTTGAAATGAAATGTTGTGTTTGATCGTTTTTCGTTGTGTTGATTTCGAGTAGTATACATATTAGTTTATCAGATGGGTTTTAAAAACTTGAACCCTTTTAAAGAAAATATAAATCTGTTGAAAACTAGGAAATTACAATTATAGCAATAGCTTGACTGAACATTTGTCGTTATTTATTGTTGTCAAAAACAAAAACGATTCGTCGGAAGTGTACAATGTAATTGCACTGCTGTTTGCAATTGATAAAACAAATCCTCTTGGGGTTCTTTCTTTTAAATTAAAAACTAATGATTAAAATTAATTTAATTTAATCCTGCAATTTCTGACATTTTATATTCCATATATTTTTATTTGGTCTAGCTAATATAGAAATTGCAAGCATTTCACTTTTTGATAAGCTGTATGATAAACGTGATGACTTTAACTTATCTATCATCAACTTCCCTTACTTATACAACAATATACATTCAACACCATACGTGTGGCGTTAAACAATATACATTCAATCAATCAATCAATCAATCAATCATCATCATACGGAGTTTATCTCTCAGTTGATTCAAGAGCATGCTCTACGTATGAACAATTTCCAGAACGATGTAAATTATTGGCAAACACGTTGACGAGACAGGAATATCAACAGCCTCGTTTAAAGTCATCATTTTGCAAGTTCTATTGTCGATATATTGACCTTGTCAGCAAATACAATTTATCATCAAGGCAAATGCTGACTGATGTTTTCATACTAATTGTTAGTTCATTATTTTTACACTGAATTGACGACGGATTTTTCCATTATTTCCCGATCATGACAAAGAAGAGACGGCGGATGTGACAGGTCGGCAGGTGATACTCACTTCTACTTGGCACCTGATCCCACCTCTGATTTTTGGAGGTCCGCGTTTGCTGAGCTCCTATTTTGATCTTGAATACTGTTCGTTTTCTCCATATGTTTCGTTTATCTAAAAGACTTTGTTTTAAATTTAATGGCCTGGTTGGGTATTCCATATTTCTTCGGACTCCTTCGATATCTGGGTACTATTAAGTTCGTCATCTCCCTAGCAACTGCAGTATGCCTCTAGGGCACAGTATAAATAGAGCAGAATTACCTAAGGTATCCACAGTGATCACCGGGACCGATGTCCGCTCTCGTCAAGGTAGGGGTTGTATTCATGTTATATAAGTATCAAGGCGATAGAAATATTCCTTGTGCAAGAAAATATTTTATCATATATTATTTTTCTTTTTAACATAAAAAATAATGTTATATTTTTTTCAAAGGTAAAGGAATTGTTGATTAAAACAGTCACCCTGCATTTTTTCATAGTACATAATTATTCACCCCTTCAAGCCTTTATTATTTATTTATCTTTTATGGCGAGAACTACTACTGTATTTTTGTATTTCTGAGCATGAATACTGTTCTTTATCTCCATATTAAATTTCATTATAGAAATAATTTCAATATTTTTTTAAAATTGAAATTGATTCTCTTTTTTCTCTTTTGCTAGGCTAGTTTTGTAATCATATGAAGCAATATTTATTCAAAAACGTGAACACAAAACATTTTTTACGCTATGACCTGAAATTCGACAATTAAATAAATTTACTGCGTTTTTTTCAATTAATAATGTGATATTTATTATCACATTGATTCGATTTTATCCCTTGCCTGTGAACTCAAAATATGAACCATCACAGAGTCTTACATTTCACATTTGGATATTTTCCTAGAAAAAAGACGTAAAGGGAAACCTAACAATCAAGCTTTGTGACAAACGTAAGGGCCTCAACTTTTCAATCGTCACCTTCCCTTACTTATGCAGCAATATACCCTTATCACCTGCACATATAGGTTTTATGTCTCCCAAAATATTCAATACGCAGGGGAATTCTTTATGTACAATCTTTTTTAAACGTGACGTGCGATTGAAAATTAAGTTAATAATACTAGAATATCAACAGTTCCGTTTAAAATTAACACTTTACCAATTCTGTGATCGATATTCCGGTATACCATGACCTTATAAGCAAAATGCAATCTACCGTTAAAGCAAAACTGTTGGCAGAAAATTTCATACAAAATGTTCCCAGTTTGTATTTGGAGCATGACATCTGTTCGATTTCTTCGTAGTTTACCTTGTATTGAAAACATATGTCCATCGATGTGTCTTTTCTGTTTAATTACGTGTAAATGTATGCATATTTATTTAGTAATAATTCATAAGTCGTGTTTGATATTGTTAAATTGTATCAATCATTTTGCTAATGCGATACACTGTATATACCATGCATATCGTAGTTCTAAACTAATCTTTCAGTTTATAGATTAATCGTATGTTCTCCTTGACTCCTGATCCCGCCTTTGGTGTTTTGGAGGTCTGTTTTTGCTCTCATCCTATTTTGTATTGTTTTATTGATTTTTGAGCTTGAATGCTTATCTCCATATATTTCACGTTGTTTAAAATCCTTTTCGAGAATTTTCACTCATATTGAGGCGCCACCTTATGCCGGTAAAGGGCTTAAAATTTTGACCTTTACTAGGCACTCAAGGCCATTGAGCAGTGAGGATTCTTTATCGTGCCAGCGCCTATCGTGACAAGGGACCTCTGTTTTTAAGATCTCATTCGAATGACCCGCAACTTTCACTTCAATGTGACGATCGCATGGCGAAGGAACAGTTGCTACCGATTTTTTATCGCCTTTGGTCAGTCGCAGCCGTAATTCGAACTCACGACCTTAGCTTCACGGAGCGAACACTCTACCGGCCAAGTTTCTGTGAACTGTAACCCTTCAATTAATTGACTAATGATATGAAATATAGGACCTTAATTTTCATTTTAAATGCAATACATGGCGATAACGAATTAACAGTTTTCAAACTCGAAGGTCTGTTCAAACAATACAAATCAGCAGAAGAGCAAACACGAACCTCTTGATCATCAGAGGTGGGATCAGGAGCCATTGAGGAGTGAACATCCCCTGTCGAGTGGTCAAACCAATCGTGTGCTCTCATTTTCGGGATAAACGGAATTATCCGTCGACAATGCAGTGTGTAAATAATGGCCTAACAAAAAAGTATGAAAAACGTCAATTAGTAGTTAAGTTAATGAAAGATTGCATTTGCTGACTCATTGTATCCACCATTGAACCTATGGAATGAAATGACAACTTTAAATGAGACTTTGATACTCTTGTTACATCAACTCGTGTTTTTATAACTTACCTCGTTTAAGAAAATGTTCATACACAGAGCATGCTCTTGTGTAACTTTAAATGAGACTTTGATACTCTTGTTACATCAACTCGTGTTTTTATAACTTACCTCGTTTAAGAAAATCTTCATACATAGAGCATGCTCTTGTGTGTTGCATCAACTGAGAGATATAAACTCCTTATCCAAGTGATAAAGGTATCATAAAGCTTTGTTGTTATATTACCAGTAAGGTCTTCTTTACAAAATATCCAAATATGAAACAGATGTGTCAGACTCGTTGGTACCATTGATTGCAAGCTTACTGGGAAATATTATGTCTACATATGAATAGACCCGAACACCTCAAGTATGTCTAAAAATATAAAATAACAAACAAAAGATGTCACCAAACTCATTACTTTAGATTTTACTTATTTTTGGGGTTAAATTATTTTATTAATTTACGTTTCTATTTCAGATGTACTATATATATTTCCTGACTATGGTCGCCTTTCTGGTCAGCAATGGATTGGCTTTTGTTTGCGATGAGCATGCGACAATCTGTGAGACGACCTTAGAGATAGCTACCTCACTAACCATGTTTCATGAGACAGAAAAAGCTGTGTTTCCAAACAATGGCCGTCTGTATCGTTATGACGTTACTAATATGACCGCAGCTACACCAATAAACGTAGATGACGTCATCACAGCTGACGGATGGGAAATGCAAAGAGTTGTTATCGTAGCCAACGGCAGTCTGCCAGGGCCAACAATTACCGTTTTCGAAGACCAAACACTTGTGGTTCATGTTAAAAATAATCTGTACTCTGATACCGTTTCTATCCACTGGCATGGACTACCACAGAAAGGCACACCCTACATGGACGGGGTAGGGTTTGTAACACAGTGTCCCATTAATCCTGGACAAACATTTACATATACCTTTAAAGCTCGCCCTAGTGGAACATATTGGTATCACTCCCATGTTGGAGCGCAGAGAACAAAGGGTTTATATGGCGCTTTGATTATTAAAGAGCGGAATCCACCACCAACTGTACAAGGAGTGGCTGAAGACTTTGTCATGCAGATACAGGACTGGAATCATGACTATGACGTCGACCAAGCATTCCTTTATTCCGATGCTGGGGTCTTTTTAAATAGAAAAGAAATCAAGCCCTCTGTGGCTCTTGATGGGTCTAACTTCAGTCTCTGGTATGCCGAATCAGCCTTAATTAACGGGAAAGGGAGGTACTACGACTCCTCTACTGGAGCACACAACGAAGCACCCCTTGAAGTTTTTAAAGTTAAAAAAGATAAAAGTTACAGATTCCGTGTAATAAATGCTGCTGGTATGTATCCCTATAGAATTTCTGTGGACAGCCATCCTTTGACAGTTGTGGCCACTGATGGATATTACATAAAACCAATAACGGTGGAATCACTGATAATACACCCAGGTGAGAGATTTGACTTTGTTATATACGCCAATAACAGTGTTGGAAACTACATGATTAGAGGACATACCTTAGAGGTTAACAGACGCACACTGGTCGAAGCGGTTTTACACTATAACGGAGCAGACCAGAATTTTGTGAACATCTTCTCCACCCGAGCACAATGTCTCTCATCGAGCAAGTGCTTGGTTTTGAATTGTCCATTTTCTTTTTATCCAAAAGAAACCAATATCCAGTGTATAACAATGGATAGCGTAAGGAGCGATTCCCCCGAAGAAGTTCCTGATTATCAACCCGGAGCCTTTCAGGAACATTTTCTGAACTTTGCATTTCCAGGACCAAACTTTTCCCCCGATTCTGTTAACGGTGTAGAATTTGCATTTCCTACTGTCTCAGCGTTATCTCAACCGACCGAGATAACGGAACAATGTTCAAAAGCTGATTGTGGAGAACAAAAGATCTGCTCCTGTACTAACACCATAGACTTGAAGCACAACGATACAATACAATTTGTGTTTGTGAATATGGGTAGAGGAAAAGGTTGGTCTCATCCAATTCACATGCATGGGCATACATTTCATGTTTTAAAAATGGGATATGGTAATTACAACACGTCAACAGGTGAATTCATATCGCAAAATGCAGACATAGACTGTCAAGGAGGAACCACTCAGGATGAAAGTTTCTGTAACAATGCCACTTGGAGTGATCCATCATGGAGGCATGGAAACATTCCTGGTCTTAACCTCGTGGATCCGCCGCGAAAAGACACAGTTATCGCACCTAGTGGTGGGTACGTGGTGGTAAGAATTAAGGCTGATAACCCTGGATTATGGATCATGCATTGCCACATCCAGCTCCACTCAGCAGACGGCATGGCAGTACTTTTGAACGAGTCTTTTCCAAACTTACCACCGGTACCAAAAGGTTTCCCTTCCTGTGGGAACTTTAAAGGTTCTCTTACAGGTAAGAAGCACTGCTTCTGGATATACATATATCATAAGCTCTGTAGGAAAGTGATTCATTTATTTAAACTACTTTTTATATGTGCTTTTCAAGACAGAAAAAACGGTTTTGATCAATTTAAATGATATTTCTTCCTTCTTCATTATAACAATTTCAGAGGATAAACAAGATATGTCAACACAATCAGTACCAGTTACCCAGTCTCCTGCTATAAACTCTGGTATGATGTAACTCTCTCTCTCTCTCTCATTGTTTAAAGAAATTGTGAATTTAAAAGAATATCTTCTTCATTAAAACATGTAGAAATGAATATTTTTTGTTTAAATACATAAACCTGAAGGCTTTTTCTTTCTGTTTTCAAGAATGGATGTGTCTCAGCCAACATACAATGCAATGGTCTTAACTTCAATTTCATCATTTGTAAAATGTAATTGATAAATACAAAAATAACTTACATAAAGCTGTCTTTGCTAACCCTATTCTTCATGATTTATAGTCCTGCTCTCACACCGAAATTCTTCACCCAGGGCCCTTGAATTGACATTCGAATTTTTAAACGAAAGATATGTCCCAACTTCTAATGATATATTTTTGGTCTATTGATATGATATATTATAACTTAAATTCAAAGGTGAATGCCACCCGGATGTGCATTTCTGTTCACAAATAAATGACATATGCCAAGGAACTCATCATACTACTGCCAAAACGATAGGATGTACCAAGTACTGTGATCTTTGTGCAAGTAAGTTCATATATAAATGAATTCGGGTTTTTGCCTTGAAGAAAATTTACTATAGTTAACTATCTGATTGGATGAATACATTATTTTACATACTAAATATTGTTAGTCCATTATTAACACACTGAATTGAATATACGGATTTTCCCCTTATTTCCTGATCATGACAAGGAGCACACGGCGGGTGTGACCGGTTGGCAGGGGATGCTCACTCCTCCATGATACCTGATCCCACCTCTGATGTTTTGGAGGTCCGTGTATTGTTTTATGGACTTTTGACTGTTTGTTATCTCCGTATATTTATCATAGTTTTTGCATAATACAATTCACAAACGTTACAAAAGCTGTTTCAGCTTCCCCAGGGAGTAAAGAAGATTTACTGCTTGGTATGCGATTCATATAAAGTTTAAATTCTTACACTAATTCTTCATAATCGTTAATTTTAAGCTTATTCCTGAAATAATGATTACAAAGACAATGGATCAAATTTTTTCTTCAATCAGGTCTCCGATTGCTTACATTATAAGACATTATAACAATTTGGTTTTATTTCTTAGCTTCGCCTTCACATGGTCATGGACATCTCCCACAATACAGAAGCCTTCCATTAGACAGCAGTAAATCTTACCGGATCCCGTGGCTTCAGAAGATCTGGAACTAAATAAGAAACTTCGAACAACGTGATGTTTTTCTTTGAAAGACTTTATCATTAATTCGTAATTTCAAGTCAGATGATATCACATGTAGTTTTTCACCTGCATTACATAATCTTTAAAGGAGATGGTCAAATTAAAAAAAGGACTGAAGAGTGAAGAATGTGCAAACTTTCAAACGTATAAAAATTAAATTCAATATGTCAACTAAATATATATTTATAGAAAAAGTTTCACTTATTGCAATGTATAAAATAATGATAAGCAAAATTTTTCTGTATAAAAATTTTTCGAAAAAAAAAAACCTCACAATTTTAGGGAATGTGAATCCAAACAATACAAATATGGAGTACCATTATTTTTTTCTTTCTCGGATACTGTAGTGTCATTTTTATCTTGTTTGTGATATGACCCTTGAATAACTGAACTGAACTTCAAATGTTTCTCAGATAGAACCAATATTGTTTTATAAAACTGTACAATTTATTGTATTTTAAAGGAAGAGTGGGTCATTGTGTTAAGTTTTTGTTGAGCAGAAAATGATTATTTTTTAAGTACATGTATATTTGTTTTATTTTCTTTTTATTTTACACATTCTTATTAGAAGAAAGTCTTTTTTTTCTCAATTTGTGCGTTTATAGTGTTTGTATTTTATCATACTTTGTATACCTGGGTCATATTGGACATTGTTGAATTCGATATGTTTTATATTGGTACCGTCAGAAAAGTTACATGTAAAACATATATGATCGTAGGCCTTGTCGTGATTTGCATTCTGCTCTTTTAAGGTACTCCGATCCTCAGCCAGGAAGGATAACTCTTTAATTTATGTTTAATTCAAAATGAATCTTGAAAATTAAATCTTTTCATGCAACAATTTTCAATAAGCTTTAAGGTTCTTTGGAGTTCTCAGAAAGGTCTTATAAAAGGATCGGAGTATCTAAAGAAGTTTTATTTTTCTAAATCTTTTATGATTTGTGCATAAATATTTTTTGAGAGTGTAACTTTTTTCTATTTGTTATGGTGTTCTGCAGGTTTTATGCATTTCGCTCGGCCCAGTAAATCAAAATTATTACCAATGCAACGTCAGGAATTGTTATTCAACGTTGTAACGTCAAAACGACATCCAAATAGACTGGTTTTGATGTGTGGTGTCTAGATAATACATTTAGTAAATATATACATTGTATATCTTAATTATTATTGTGAAAAAGAACTTTGGGTAACTGTATCAAAACTGTAACTTTTATGAAAGCAGTTCATCGTGACAATTTATTTCTAATTTTTTATCCTAGTGTTTTATTCCATATGAGGTCACGCTATGCATAGATTAAAAATTATTTATAACTGCATTTGTATGTATCATGATGATCATTCGTAAAGAAAAAAAAAAAAAGGCAGTCCAAAGAAAGAGACATACTGGTAGAAAATTAAAAATTGTAAAATTTGAAGGGTACAAAAATACATATACATGTATAAATTCATAGGAAATGCAAACTGACGCACAACTTCGAATCGTGCATTACATGTATAAGAACGTCAGACGTCACTTTAGCCAGGCAGTGGACACTTACGCAAGACATTTTGATTCTCTTGTAATTTTCATTATAACTTATAAGATCAGATGAAACCTACATTTACCTAAAGCAATTTTTAGCTCTACTGGTCAGAGACCAGAAGAGCTTATGCGATAGTAATGCGTCCGTCGTCCGTCCGTCTGTCTGTCTGTCTGTCTGTCTGTAAACAATTTTTCAAAATGCTACTCCTCCTACAGTTTTGGTCTGATTTCAATATAACTTGGCACACAAGTAGACTACACTAAGATACATAATTCTGTGTATCGGTTTTTGATTTCGATGAACGGTGTTGCCGTGGTTACTAAAAATAGAAATTTCTGTGAAATACTTTCAAAATGCTACTCCTCCTACAGTTTTAGTCTGATTTCAATATAACTTGGCACACAAGTAGACTACACTAAGATACATAATTCTGTATATCGGTTTTTGATTTCGATGAACGGTGTTGCCGTGGTTACTAAAAATAGAAATTTCTGTGAAATTCTTTCAAAATGCTACTCCTCTACAGTTTTAGTCTGATTTCAATATAACTTGGCACACAAGTAGACTACACTAAGATACACAATTCTGTAAATCGGTTTTTGATTTTGATGAACGGTGTTGCCGTGGTTACTAAAAATAGAAATTTCTGTGAAATACTTTCAAAATGCTACTCCTCCTACAGTTTTAGTCTGATTTCAATATAACTTGGCACACAAGTAGACTACACTAAGATACACAATTCTCTTTATCAGTTTTTGATTTCGATGAACGGTGTTGCCGTGGTTACTAAAAATAGAAATTTCTGTGAAATTCTTTCAAAATGCTACTCCTTCTACAGTTTTAGTCTGATTTTAATATAACTTGGCACACAAGTTGACTACAATAAGATACATAATTTTGTTTATCTGTTTTTGATTTCATTGAACGGTGTTGCCGTGGTTACTAAAAATAGAAATTTCTGTGAAATTCTTTCAAAATGCTACTCCAAATACAATTTTAGTCTGATTATAATATAAATGTGGCATGCAAGTAGACTGCACTAAGAACATAAAGAGACTTAATCAACGATCATTTTTCTATCTATTGCTGTCGAAAAGTTTCAATTTCCAACTGCTTAAGTACTTTTCTCTTCCTTTGCTATAAGTACAAACCAGTAGAGCTTCAGTCTCGACAGAGACTTCTGGTTTTAGTATTTTCCACTGATATAAATTTTCATGTAAATAAATTTTGCCTCTAGAATTCAGAATAATTAAATCAATAAGCTTTCAACAAATACATTTTTGATATGACGTCATTTACGCATCGGGACATATTTGCCGGATATGGATGTTTTTTAGACACTTTTAAAATGGATACTTTTCATTATCTTGAAAAAAAAGAAAGTTGAAAAAGAAGTTGTTTAAAAGTACTCAGTGTAAGTCAAATCAAGTTTGTAAACTTACTGACAAAATTTTCTTTTTACTCCCATTGAATATGCAGCTAGTACACTAAATTTTCACTGAAGACTTTTATTTCAATGGATGTTCTCATCCATTCTCTAAACATAGTTTGTCAACAAAAATGTTACGTCTAAATGTGATGTAATAGAAATCACGAAATTTCCAAGAGAATAAACTCTGTCATATGCATTTCTCTGTTACAATGGGACAAGAACAATTGAGAGAAATCGACGTTATTCGCGTGTACTGCCAATGTATATCAACCTTTGGAATAATATTTTATTTTTGTAAAAATACTATTCGCGAGGAAGAACCCTTTAATTCAATATATAACACCACATGCTTATTATCAGAACTACACTGTATACACAGGCACTTGTTTCTGTAATAAATCTTTGACCCATAATATAATAATGTTATTATTATACTACGGGTCAAAATTTATTACAGAAACAAGTGCCTGTGTCTGTATACTAGAAAAGTAAGCTGAACATATTAAAAGTACTACACTGTACTAAGTATTTTTTGTAAGTAGCAATATTCCAGCTGACGTTACGTCACAGGTATATAAGTTATTTTGCGTCGAAATATTTAATTAAAAGAATATTCAAAAGAATTTAATGCACTGGCAATGAAATTAAAACAAACAGAAGTACGGGGAAGAGGGGAAAGGAAGGGGGGGGGGAGAGATCTTTTACCGTGCTGACATGTACTTTGATTTCCTTGATTCTTTCCATAATTTTGGTGGAATAGAATAAGTGTGAGGTTAGGCGCTTGGTTTCAGGATGGTGTATTTTGTGTATTATACATGTGTTTTTCTAGGTGTATTTGAATACCATCATCAAAGAAATAAAAATAAAAAATCGCTGAAATTAGCACGTTTTAAAAATGTATGTTTAAAGAATACAGTAAATATGACATTCTTAAAACGTGCTAATTTCAGCGAATTTTTATTTCTTTTTTTTTTTTTTTTGATGATGGTATTCAGACACACCTAGAAAAATACATAATACACAAAATACACCACCCTGAAACCAAGCGCCTATGAGGTTAACATAAATAAATCATTTTTTTTTTTATTATACACTGTAAGAATTTGTGTAGACTGCTCAAAATACATTATCACATAATATGGATATAAACAAACATATAACTCCTAGCACAGGGTCCTGTTTAAATTGTTAATTATGTACAGTCCTTTCAGGCTCTTTCTACGGAATTAAAAATTCCATTTCATTTTAAAGTTTACACACGCCTTGGTCATGTGACGTTACGAGAGCAGAGACTTCCGTTCAAAATGTCGGTTGCAATTGTATCGAACCTTGGAAAGATACCTTCGAAAGTGAATCCTGACCTCCAGATTGAACGTGACAGATCGCAATTAACTCCATATATTTCTGAAATAACACATTTTATTGATGGTGGCCGCCAGTTGACTGAAAAGAGGAGGGAAATAGGTAAAATTAAAAGGTCATAAAAAGGGACTCTCTCAGTCTCTGCAGCTGTTCTGCCTGAGATAATGATCACCGACACGATATCAACTAACTTGGATTTGGAGGGCACTATAACCAAGCCTGAACTATTTAGAGTGAAAATGGCGCATTAATGTTGGATCTAATCTTGTTCAAGCCCCTTTACCAGTGTTTACATTTTGATAAGGTCAAGCAGTATTTCGGAAAATAGAGGAATTAAACGTCTTTGTCCGTAGGACATGTGTATACATTTTAGTTATCATCATTTTTATTAGTAGCACTTATTCAGTCCAGTCCAATACGAAAAATCGTAATATTACTAAAATTCGTAATATAAGCAATTTCTAACTCTTCTAAGAGTTACTTCCCTTTTTTCTGACTCAACCTCTTTGTTATGTTTCATCAGAGATTATATGTCTCTGGTTTCATCATTATGATATCGTGGATATGTATGGTTAGTGCATTTTCTTTGTTTTGGTGCATTTGATCCAAGTGCAAGTGGATTCAGAGCCTAGTGAGAGTCTTACAAGTTATCTCTCGTAAAATCTCGTTGTTTGAGATGAGGGTCTGATTTTCAGGGTAGACTTCGGGAAAAATATAGGGAATTCGGGGATTATAGACCATTGTGACAAGTTTGAGGATACATTGAAATTTTATGGAAAATTGTTCCTATCCGTGGGAAAATTCTTATATAAGAATAATAAAACAAAATGTTCACTCACCCATTACCATTGTTACTTTCTTCTTGCATTTCCATACTTTTCGATAGACATCACTGACCAAAATGACCACGTGATACTAGTACCATTGGGACATAATGTATTTCTGACGTCATACTTCCATAAACATTATTCAGTTTCTCAATGCTTTATTTTGTCTTGCATTACGAAAACTCGTAATATAGTCTCTCTCAACTTGCTATATTACGAGTTTCCGTAATTTAACTATATTACGAAAAATAGTAATATAAGAATAATATTACGATATTTTGTAATATTACGATTTCTTGTAATATTACTATATTTCGTAACATTACGATTTTTCGTATTGGACTGGACTGTTATTCCTCATATGATTTCATGGATGAAAACAAATTCTATTCTAGATCAAGTTACATGTGCATGCAGTACACCAATTTCATTTTGTTACAGTCATTTAGGGTATTCCGAATCACCTTTTACATTTTGACTGCAGATGATTTTATTAAAAACTTTTCATATGGTTGTTTGGTATCAAAGGAAAGCCAATTTAGTGAAAAATCAGATCTACTTTAGAGAACGAGTCTATCTTCGATACAGCGACCTTGACGGGGGTTATATTTGGATCACCTTTTTAGTGAATTGCGAATCACTTCTGGGTATTTCGAATCACCAGGTAAATGGGTTGAAAACGGTCAGATAACATCATTATAATTAATGAACTTGTTAGTATTGTTTATAAAAAGCTCCAAGAATAAAAAAAAAAAATTCTTGATTGTTCTTGTTTATTTGAAAGTTATTAACACCCCCCTCTTTATTCGTACTATAAAACAGCCTTTCAGAAGTGGATCATGCAGAAAAGCAATTATTACCAAGAAAATAGGGGTTTCAGAAATTATATGACTGTAAATTGTTGTCCTGTAAATATAATTATGTCACTTTTTTGCCCCTATGATTTTTTTTTTTTTTTGCTGCAAAACAATTAACATTGAAAATATCATAATTCTATGAATCGGCTAAAATAAAAAAAAAGATCATATACATGTCATGATGATGATAATAAAAGAAATGTGTGAAAAGGAATAAAAACTAGCTCATGTTTAGATATACGTATCACAATTATTAAATAGACATTAATCACTGCATACGTGCACACTGTACATATATGTGTACAGATCTGTGTATGCATTCAAGTCCATATTTACACATGTATGATAAAAGGATCAACACTGGTCAATCTACTCATTAACTCTTCACAGCTTTTCCATTTCATAACGTTCATGGGTCCCTTGCATGTAAAGAAAACCAATGTTTTCAAAATATCGGGCATATTTAACAAGTATGCAGCGTGTGCAATTTCTTCAATTGCGGTCATGCACATACGTGATTCGAAATACCCCAAACTGTAGGGGGCTACAAATGCGGTTGTAACATATACATTTTTGAGATATAATAAAAAATTATTAATGGTCATGAAAGCTCATAAAATTGCCGTTCTATCAATACCTAACATGCTAGGTTTCATCCACCAACAACGCCACGACATCAATGAGAAATATTCCGCAACGTTTATACACGGAAATTTTCTTCGAGAAGAATAGCTAGTTAACGAATGAATTAATTATTTTTTTAATTAGCGCATTAAGTTTACCTCTTTATTTTTTGTATGTTTTAAGCATGAACCATGTTTTTAATGACTATTTAGTTGTCACATGTGCGCATGTGTCGTATAAGATACAGCGATAAGGTAAATTACCGAGTGTCGCTTAATGCGGGGTGATTCGGAATACCTTAAATGACTGTAGCTTTTGTTAAGTTTTACTTGCATTGATAATGTTGATTTGCATTTTTTTTCAAATTATATAAGCATTATACTCACTTTACTTATCCTCTCCAGGAATTCATCTAGGGTATATTTACTACCAATATTCGGTAACCACCCCCCACCCCACCCCACCCCCCAAAAAATCCCCAGAATATTTCATTGCAGCCCGGAGGACTGAGCTGCTTTATACATATAAGTTTAAGTGTTGGTGTATGGGGATTGAGGTGGGAGAAGTTCTTCAAAATTAAAGGTTTACTAAACATTAAAAAAATCATTGTTATTCACAACGTTCTTTCCCATTATAAATTAAGATATACACAATATATCTACTTCCATAAAGAGAATCTTTAAAAATATATATGTTTTTCATATCTAATATATAAATTTAAGTTGCTTATCAATTACTATCGAAAAAATGACAGGTCCCTTTTTTTAGAACATCGAATTTTACTTATTGCATAAAAACATACTTAACACAGTTCGTGTTTATATTCTTAAAGTGAAATATATTATAACATGTACCCCTGCATAGGGTTCTTAAAGGGGATGAATTTTTCTCTTACTCTATCTGAGTATTTGAACTAATAATTGAGACCATTTACAGTGTAATAATTTTCCTTTAACCTATCTGGGTTATTCTATTATTTCTTCATCAAACAATTGCAAGCGTGGCTAAATTATTATGTCTTGGTAACTTTATAACAAAGCACCGTGTACCTTGCCCCAGGTTCCTATTGATGGCGGATACTAGGAGTTTTGTTCTTATTCAGATCTACAGCCCCCAGTATCTCGCCTCAATTCCCCGGGTTTCTTGCCACTGGTGCAATGTATACTAATTTCTTTTAATTCACCTTTTCTCTTCTTCTTACCAATTTCTTCGACTGCTTCTCTGCTGCAGCTCAGCATTCGACTGACCCTGAAACTCTTATTGTGTTTTTATATATACCCCTTTTGGGCAAGTCTAGCTATTTCAAGGGAGGACAGGTTTTTCCGTTTAACCCTTATTCTTGGTCTTCTTAACGTTTATAGTTACCACTAATCATTACAATATTTTTGAAAATAGATGATGCATGTGTCTGGTTTCAATTTACATTTTATGCAGCCAACATTTACTTGAGGAATTGATAAAATTTAAAATGGTATTGTTTTTCATGTTTTTGTTCGGTTTCTATCCGATTATAAGTTTTCAAAATCTTCTCTCTCAGCTATCCTCTCCATCATTTAGACGCATGCCTTTTTCACACATATCAAAGCGGTTTGATGGTCAAGACTCATTTCCATTGTTTACTTAATTTATTTACTGGGCAACAAATGAACAATTGATGGTTACATCAATGTTTTCTTGTTTTCCCCTTTTGATGAGTAAAAATTTTCCCTTACAATAATGAACATGCACATGAAAAGCTTAAATATTTCTTTTTCTTCATCAAAACAGGAAATTAAAAGTAAAAATTATCATGTTTATAAGAAGGTATGAGACATATTTGCCATAGAAATTCAATTTGTCTCAAGAAAAGGTATTTTCCTCCAAAACCTGAATATAAAATCCCTGCTCTCCATGCTTTGGAGGACACATACATCAGAGACCATTATTTCAGTATTTTGCATGTATCAAAATAGATTATCTTCTAATTTCCTGAACAGGCCTTATTTTTAATTAGACATATTTGAAAAAAGAGGATTTTTTTTATTTCAGAGAAAATACTATTTAAGGAGTCCCTGTTTAGAGAGTATTCCAATGACAGAGTGTACAGATCAAGACAAGAAGTGTATGCAAAGGGACTCGAGAGATCGGTCAGGTTATTTACTCTCAAGCAGGAACACAACTGGAATGATGTGGAATTTGGATTAGCATTAAAGTAAGCCTAATTTGCTTTTGATCCCTTTTTTCTTTATACACAATCATTGGCCATTACACCCTAATTGGGCAGCCATTTTTAATACAGTGTGATTTTTTTTAAGAATGGATGAAAGTGTCTGGTTTGATGTAAGGGGGGGGGGGCACACCCAGCGTGCGCCCCCCCTAAAATTGTCAAAGTTAGCGTAAATCACAGTTTCGTCTAGAAAATGTAAATATGTCTACTTGGGAGACCTAATTTTTACCCTTCAAAATCTTTAAAATCCAGACCCCTTGCCTACTTTTGGCGCCCCCTCTAACTTCAATTCCTGGATCTGCCACTGAAAATAGCTGCTTTTATAAATTTGTTTTTGAATCAACACACTGCTTTGAAAGATTTGATCACAATATTTACTATTACTAATTGTAAATATAATAGGAAATGAAAGAAAATGATTTTGTAAAGATTAATTTTTTATTAGTGCATCTTAAATATATATAAATTTCTACTTTTGGCTGATTTCAGAACAATAAATGAAGACCACACTTTGGGACTCCATAACGTGATGTTTATTCCTGCCTTAGAGAGACTTGCAACAGAACAACAGAAAGCAAAATGGCTTCCACTAGCAAGAAATTACAAGATTATTGGCACTTATGCACAAACAGAGATGGGTCATGGTAATTTATCAATGAAAGATGGGAAAGAAACAGATATGTTCAAGAAGTAAAATAAATAATTTTAATTTCAAAATCTATCCCTTTTTATATAATGACAATACATGTACTTATTATGCCCATTGTGCTATTATATATAGGGTAATTTTTGCACTTGCGAATAATTTTGCCCTGTTTAAAATTGCCCAGTTATAGTTCTATTTAAAAAATTATGCTGAGTGTGTTCTTTGAATTCGCCCCGTTTTAAATTCACCCAGCCATGAAGAGGGTGAAAGGGCAAAAAAACAGGTGCGAAAATTTCCCTGTATACAGTATACATGTATGTAATATGCCCAGGTGACAAGTCTGTATAAATTGCACACCAAAAAAAAAGCTGAATATTAACTTCTTATCTGAGGTTTTTGTCATTGATAGGAACTTACCTGCAGGGATTGGAGACCACAGCAACATTTGATGCCAGGACTGAGGAGTTTGTCCTTAATACCCCAAAAGTGACCTCCATCAAATGGTGGCCAGGCTCTTGTAAGTCTTATATATACCCTAATGATAGAGATCCATGGCCAGTGATTTCACTTTATTTCAAAGTAAAGGGTTAGCTATAAAGATCAGTTGTAACAGGCTAGGGACTGAGGTTTATGAACAGAATCTCTGTGGACCTTACAACAAATTTTTATTTCAAAGCGGATTTCTGTCAATTGAAGTGGTCAATTTGGCTGGTAGCCAGTTCTTAAGGAAAACACTGGAGATCAAAGGCCTGTTGAACAGAGCGAATGTTCACAAGTGCTTGCCAGAATTCCTTGTACCTCAAATAGAATGTCCGCGAGCGCTCGATCTGTTGAACAGACCTCAGGTTTTCTACTCACTAACTTACTATAAACTTTATGTTAGTGGGGTAGAATGTAGAATTAGGGGGCAAAACTACTGCTCTCTCTCTTGTATACCATATATTTGTGTTTTTTTTCTTTTTATTTTCAGTAGGAAAGTCTGTAAATATAGCTATAATTCTGGCCACACTGATCATCGATGGAAAAAAGTATGGTATGCATCCATTCCTGACCCCACTACGGAGCATGGAGGATCACCAGCCACTTCCAGGTATAAATTATGTAGATCAACAAATATTTTGCAATATATCTTATTAAGGGGAGATGATGGTTTGGCATTTATTGGTAATACTCAATTTTCTTGAAATTTGTTCATTGGGATATAACGGTTTAATGCAAAGAAGAGTGAGAATTATGAAGTTTTCATAAGTATATGGTTTATACAGCTTTTCAAAATTTAGTTCTCACAAATAAAAAGACTTAGTGATGATTTTATATGATACAGATTTCTAACTGACAAACACCCTTACAAGATATAACACAGCAGCCCTGGCAGATTTCTTGTTTAAACACATAGATTATGAAATATGTGTTGTGTTTTACATTATATTCACTACATGTACCAGCTAAGATATAGAAAAGAACATTCACAAAGAATATCATTTTAAAGAGTATTCTTCATCTATGACATGTATGATCAAAAAGAATATTCTTTTAAAGTCAAAATTAATAAAAGAACTAAAGAGGCAGATTGAACTAAAGACAATTACATGCATATGATAAATGATGATATATTTTTTTTAGGTATTAAGGTTGGAGATATTGGACCCAAACTTTCCATTAATTCTGTTGACAATGGATTTCTAATCTTAAATAATGTCAGGATTCCAAGGGAGAATATGTTAATGAAGAATGCCCAGGTGTGTATAAATCTTATTAAAATTAGATCTTTGATCCAGTCCAGTTTGATCGCTACACAAAGTGATCAATCCAGAGCGGATCAAAGATGTAATTTTAATTGGATTGGGTGCGTATATCATTTCACTATACAGTCAGGTTAATAGCATGGTAATCCAGTCTGAAGAGAGAGCACTGTGAAGTTAAGAGTGTTTACTTCTCTCTCTCACTAAGAATAGGTTGCTACTGTTCATTTGCCAAGCACTTGGTATCATTGTAGTTAAGGTTGCAGGTCTTTTGTTTTAGGCCTTTAAAAAAAACAACAAGATCCCATGTCTTGGCAGGCCTTGGTACAATAAAAAAGCCCACTTGTTTTACATTTTGTTTATTAGGGTGTGCATATTTGTCAACCTGGATAATTGGAAATTCTGATAATTTATCTTGTAGTTTGTTAAGACAAAGCAAATATTTTCAAATAACAGCTCAGCTACATAGTTTCCATATATCTTGAATCCCTTAACTATTGAAATATTAAGTTACATGTTAATATAAATTTTTCATTTTTTTCTTTGTGAAGGTCAGTAGGGAAGGTCATTTTACGTCCAGAGGCCCAAACAAGGGGAATTATGCTGCCATGATGTTGGTCCGAGTTAATATAGTAAACTGGTGCTTTACCTCCCTTAGTAACACCAGTACAATAACTATACGATACTCCTCCATTAGACGACAGTCCAAGCTTGATCCAAGGTAGTAACTTATGTGAGTTTTAACTTTGAAAAAGACTGGGATCCATTAAAATTGTAAAATTTAAAGAATTTATAAAATTTTTAAAATTGAATTTAATCCTTGTAGTCAGGAGGAGACCAAGATCCTTGACTACCAGACACAGCAGTATAAGGTCTTCCCAGCTCTTGCTACAACCTACGCCATGTTCTTTGTCTCCAAGACTCTCCGTAACCGCTATTTGAGAATCCATGCTGAAATGATGAAAGGCAATTATCAAAACTTAGCAGAGGTACTTTATTAAAATGTGAATGGTAATATACATTGTTAACAACTTAAAAAGATATCCTAAGTGCATCTTGTTCCTGTTAGTCATAAAAATGATGCACGGCTATATAAAACATGTACTTGTAAATCAGACATGTGGAGATACATGTAAAAACATTTGTCTTTGTTTGTAGATCCACTGTTAGTCATAAGAATGGTGTATACTGTAGATTCCTAAATTTTTGTGTAGAATTAATTATCGCGTAATTTTGCGAGAAGCAACATAAGCCAAATATAATTACTCGCCTTTATTTTTATGGTGCTGAAATCTATGTAAAGTCTCTTGATCAACCGTCCATTTGCGAATTCTCATGATTTGCTGTTGAAGAGCCCATTCGCGATAATAAGTACTCGCGAAAAATAAGGAATCAACTGTATTATACCTGTACTGTAAATCAGACATGTGGAGGTACACATATTTGTCCTTGTTTGTAGATCCACTGTCAGTCGGCGGGGATGAAGGCCCTGGCGTCGGAAATGACGGTGGAGGTGATGGAGGTCAGCAGACAGGCCTGTGGGGGACACGGTTACCTGGCGGCCGCTACCCTGGGGGACGCTGTGGCAGCCTCCAAGTCCCTCATCACGGTAGAAGGAGAGAACACTGTACTCTATCTACAGGTGGCCAGGTGTGTTGTCATTAAGAAATCATAAAGATCAGTCATTTACACTTTACTAAGAACAAGATATTAAAACAATTTTAAAAGTACTGTGAATTTACGGAAACTATAATTTCACTTATTCTTTAAAGGAATCATCAGCAATTTATGATTACAGTGGCGCCTCATTTATCCGGACGCTTTGGTTCCCAGGCAAATTGTCCGGATAAGTGAAGCGTCCGGATATCTGAATTCTATTGATTTCTCTTCCAGATATACTGTATTTGTATTGTAACTCTTATATACAAAGAAAGATATTAAAATGCTATCATTTAGAAATAATTAATTTTTTTTAAAACACTTATCTTTAGTATATATCAGCACTACTTTTACACTTTTTTCAAATATAATAAATTTTTTTATAGCTAAAAACTAGATGCCGACTCGCGCTCTCTTTGTCGATGGTGTAGACATGACTGTAGCTGGAGAGCAGAAAGACAAACATTGGATATAACGCTGCTTATATGGGCAGATTTTTTCATTACCCAGCTTAGTTTTTACTCTGTATTTCCTATAAATTGATGAACATAGCCAAGCCAATTCTCTCATGTGCAGCTTTGATAACACCCAAGCGAGCTGTCAGTATCGGGTCTAATTTTAATATGAACATGCACTCATCCACCTTAAATCTGACATAATAAAAATTCACGCAGTAGTCATCCCAAGTGAAATCATTGATTGTCTAAAATTATTTAAATTTGATTAAATGTTTTAGTTTTTTTTCATCTTCCGATGAAAATTACACAATACCGATGTGTGTGTGCCATGTGTAGACTACGAGATTATGAAACTATGTCGTCCCGTCTATAAATAGAAAAATATTTAAAACCAGATCTGTGCTAAAATTATAAATATCTCAAGATAACAAATAACTGAATAGAAAGTTGTTTTCTGTTACCAACACAGTTAATTGTTTATTTTCATTTGTGTATCTATCTCTCGTATATTATGATATATCCACTTAGCATGTTTAATCTGTGGACTTATCATCGTAAGTCATTCATAACAGGTCACAGGTGATCGTCTTGTAAAAACAATCAATCCGCCCAGTGTTTTGATAACAATTATCACTCAGTTCAGGCGTGAATTTTGACTAGAATGGAACTACAAATTAAAATTTAATTTCCGGATAAATGAATCAATTTATAACGTAAAAATACATTTTGTAGTAAAAAAGAGCCGTCCGGATACGGAACGCGGAATTCCGGATAAATGAGTCAAAATTACGTTGAAAAAATCCGTTCCCGAGAAAAATCGTCCGGAAGGTGAAGCGTCCGGATACCTGGCGTCCGGATATCTGAAGGTCCACTGTACCAGGGTATGCATGTCATTTTGGTAATTTTAATTTGTTCACTTAAATTATCCTTGCATGTAAGTGATAGATTCTTTGAAATTTACAGTGTGTACAAACTTGTAAGTAATTCATTTGTGCTTGGGCAGATACCTGATGAAGAGGTTTGCTGCTGCTGTCAGTGGGGATACACTGTCAGGGTCAACTGACTACCTTACAATGGACCCCAGTAAATACATGTGTCCCCTCAAATCCTCCAGGGACTGTAGAAATGTGGAACTACTGTGTGATGTGTACAGATTCAGAGCATTCTTGTCAGTATCAATTTATAATTGGAAATGTAGAGTGTAGGGTTAATGTTATTACAGTTCAAAATTGGAAAAAATAAAGTATAGAATATTAACATCAGTAATACTTAGTTTAAAGACAATAGATGTTTTGCTTCTCAATATTTGAAGATAATTGGCTAAATAAATTATAATGCTGAGCATTGTTTTTAAGAAAAACTATGGACCATCCATTAATATATACATTTTGTTTATGTTGTCTCAGTAAGCAAATGATAAAGGCTATTGAAGATGATATTTTTCAGATTCATAATTGTCCTAATGAACATATTTGTTATTCTAAATGAAAATTACTGAACACACAATGATAAAGTTATCATTTATATTATAATATTTTATTGTTCTTCATGGAATTTACAGAATGATAGCCAAGACTGCAAGAAAACTACAAAGTGATATAGAGGCAGGGAAAAAACAGGCTGTAGCTATGAATGACAATTTAGTACAACTGGTCCGTGCAGCAAAGGTCAGACTTTTTCATACTTTTTTTACATTTCTGTTTTTCATTACATGTAGTCTATATATATCTCTTCAGTTATGGATAGAGCTTCTTATTTTGTCAATCTTGACATTGCAGTAAGTGGAACTAAAGTCCTGATACATCTTGTTTTACCAAGCTAAACTATGATATGGGAGATATTCCTCATATATTTCATTTACTTGAATTTAACAAGATTATTTTTTCAACATTTTACAATCTTTTTGTCATGTAAGAACCTGTCTTTAGCTTTTAAACCATTAAGACATGCTGATCATTAATTTGTGATGCATCAAAAATGTTTATACAAATATGAACATCTGTTGAGGGTATAAAACATGTACAGATTCTTGATAAAGAACCCTCTGTACACTGCAGAACACTAATGAGTTCTGATTCTATGATAATTTCCTCAATTAGAGTGATTTGCCCTTAGATTTAAATTCTAAAAAATGTAAATTTACAGTGTATGATTACTCAATTTGTAATCAATTCAAGTATTCTCAACATTTTAAAAGGTCAAGATAAATTTAATGATCACTTTATTGACATTAATTTTGTTTATAGAAGTAAACAACAGTGATTTCTAATCACTGATACTCTGTTGTGTTTTAACATTTTTCCTGGGGTAAATGCAACGTACAATATGGTAAAAATTAAATAGATAATCACAATATTAACACCTAAATGCTATATATAATTTTTCTCTAATTCCAAAAAAAACATTTTGTATTGGTGTAGAGAAGGTCCTTAAAATGTTTCTTGTTAATTTGTCAAAGTACATACAATGAATATAGGGCTTGCCAATATATACCTTTTCCTATCTGAAATTTCACATATACATTAGTATACACAGTTACAACTATAATTGTATTAGTTTACATGTTTTTCACATGTCAGAGATCACACTGGGTAAATGTTAAACTTCATGTATTTGCTATGTCATGCATAGACTGTTTGTTTGTGTGTACATTCATTTATGGATCATTTGTGGATTCACAAGTACATGCATTTTGATTGGTAGTATTTACAATGTATATAAGTATCATGGATTTTGATTGGTTGTAGGCCCACATCATGTACTGTATGGTTAAAGACTACAAAGAGAGTATGAGTCAGCTGCAGACAAGCTTGTCTGTTTCCAATGCTCTTCACAATCTAAACATCTTCTTCACTGTATTCAACATGGTTAAAAATGCAGGAGATTTCTTAGAAGTAAGAAAATGTATTAAATTACATGTAGATAAACCATTGCAACAATTATCATGTATCATACTTTAATTTAATTGAGTAAATGTATCATTATATAATTTTCAATGTATACTGTAAAAATAATGTACAAGCTAATTTTATAGGGTAAAATTTTGCAAAAGAACTACTGTAAAATTACAAATTTTTGAGGGGTCAAATTTTCATGGTTTGAGGAAAATTTAGTTTCCTAAAAATCATAACAACTTTTAGGAAAAAACATTAACTGAGATAAGATCTGGAAAGTGATTATGATATTGTATTTTCTAGACAGAGTCAATTGGTCTATCACAGATGGAATGGCTGAAAGAAGTAGAGCTTCAAATGTTAGCTAAAATCAGGTAAATTTATTGTATCAGTGCAGTACACAAATTAAATCTATCAAACATTAACATACTATAGACAAATTATTATTGAGATGTGAAGATTCATGTACACAGAAAGAGCAACTGTAGCTTTGTAAAATATGTCTTTAAACTTGGGAAAAGAGTATGAAAGTGCTAGATAACTGACATTGAACATTTAACTTGTTAACCTTAACAGACCAGATGCTGTGTCACTAGTTGATGCCTTTGACATCCATGATGACACCCTTGGGTCAGTACTTGGGTGCTATGATGGAAACGTCTATGAGAGAATGCTGAAATCAACGGAAAATGAACCTCTCAACCAATCTGATGTAAGTGAGAAATACATGACTGTCTTATAGAGTGTACATGTCCAAAAACAAAGCAATATGCAAATATTGACTTACTGGGGTTTAGGCAAAATTGATTACTGGTACAGTATATTACCGTATAACAGGTATTTTCTGCGGTTGTCCATTTTTTGCGGAATTTTGCGGATAGAACAAATCTGCAAAAATTACAATCGCAAAATATTTTTAATATGACTTCGGGTATTTTATACATGCAAATATAATAAGTGGTGCATCTGCAGACGCATGCGTGAACGTGTCTTCGTTAGCGAGAAAATTCGGGTGACATCGAAACTCCGTGACAGCTACATATAAAGATCTGATTCCTTATTTTCCACTTTTCAATATTAATCCTGTGGATTGTCTTGAGACCGTAATTAAAATAACTGCTTGTGCATACGATATGGCTTGATTGTCTCGTGAATTTCATTCAAATCAGACGACTGACAGCATTATTAACGCCTCAATGCATGTGAAACGTGTGTTTTTGGGGTGGTTGATTATGCAACTGTTTGTTTTAGCTAAGGATAAAAATCCCAATTTAATTTTGATAGCAATTAATTTTAAGTGTACATGTATTTTAGACTATCGCTTGGAGGCATTAATTATCATTATCTATAAATTATCTATATTATTTTGAGATAGATCATATAACATTAATGTCTGCGGTGTTAGAACTGATAAAGATTTTAATTGTTGTTTGAAAGGACTAGTACTGTTACAACAATAACTATTTTCATTTGGGACTAGGCATAATTTTTCAGAGTAACTAAAAGTTATAATAGTTTAATCAAGTTTAATAGCGTAAAACATGTTCTCATGCACCTTTCATTCATGTGCCTGAGTGAATTTACAAAACGTAATCATGGCAGTGTTGTAATAAATCAAAGAGTTTGATGATACTATACCGTACCCCCTAAATAATTTTTTGCGGTATAGTGCAACCGCAGAAATGGAAAATGCAAAAATTAATTCGCTACCTTTTGGGGGTTAAATAGCAAAAATTTCCAACTGCAGAAAATACCCGTTATACAGTATGAGCCTACAATCATGAAATATTTCCCAATGTGGATTGGAGGGCAATATTTTTGTCCCAAAGAGGGCTGACATTCTGTATACAGTTATTTTCGGCCCTTTCACACTTGCGGACAATTTTTCCCATTTTAAATTGGCCGTGTTATAGTTTTTTTTAAGTAATTATACTGTATTCTTTGTACTCGCCCCATTTTAAATTCGCCCAAATGAGGGTAGGGACAAAGTGGCGAAAATTAAACGAGGGAAAATTTTTTCCATGCGTTCAGTTTATCAGTATTTTAATTTGGAGGCTTTTAATCTTGATTTCTTATCATTTAGACAGTTTCTGAGTGTGACTGGACTGTATGATGTCTGATATGATTTCAGATCAAAATTTTAATTAAGAAATCCACAAACATTGCTAAATATTCTGGTTAAAGTGTACATGTAGTTTGAAAAGGAGATATATTTAAGCACTTCACACATATTTTGATTAGCTTGATAATATGGAGCTTTTAAGTTGACAATTATAAATATTAATTTTATACCTGTATTCTTCCATCTTGTAGGTTCACTATTCCTATCACCAACACCTGAAACCCTTCTTACAGAGGAACAATCACTCAAAACTGTAAAGGGCACAAACAGAGGAACAATCACTCAAAATTGTAAAGGACAATCACTCAAAACTGTAGAGGACACTTACTGGTGCATATACTACTGGACAGAGGAACAATCACTCAAAACTAAAAAGGACATATACAGAGGAACAATCACTCGAAACTAAAAAGGACATATACAGAGGAACAATCACTCAAAACTAAAAAGGACATATACAGAGGAACAATCACTCAAAACTAAAAAGGACATATACAGAGGAACAATCACTCAAAACTAAAAAGGACACTTACTATGCATATACTGGAGCATGTGTTATACTAGAACATTTGTGTTTATAAAGGTATATGTATCTCCAGTTTACATGGTTTCTGCTTGATTGCTGCATTAACATAATGGAGAAATTAACTTTTTACCCACAAAAAAGATTTAAGATAAAGAGGATATTTACAATTTGACCTATAGAAAAAAATGGGTGCCCCTCTTAAAAATGTTTTTTAATGTTATGTATTTAATGCTGTTACTACGATTCAAGAGAATAGCTACCATGTTGATTTTGTATGACAAACGATTTACGGGATACAATTTATGGAAATATCTAAAGTTATAATCCTGAATAAGGGAGGTTTTCTGTTACAGTATTAAGATTTGCAGCATTAATTTCTTACACATTTGATGAGAAAGATCTAAATGACAATGAAAAAAGACAAGGATGATCTGTTGGACTATCTGTGATATTTTTAGCTCTGTCATTAATTTTCTTGTCACTTTTTAAAAAGTTAGCATAATTGTTTTGTTTTAGATTTTTCAATGAATATTGAATTTGATTCTTGGTTGTTGATTATGTTAATTTTGTTTTTAATTTCCTATGTTGTCGGCTTACTCACTTTTATTCATGCCTGTAACATGAATTTATATGAAGAAAAAGGAAATGATTATTTTGGAGAAGAAGATATCTACCACTAATGAACAGTTTACTCCTGTGTTTATGAAGTATAGTCTTTTTTGACATTTAAGTTTTACAGGAAAAAAGAGTTATAGGGGTCACACTTATAATGAACTTGGTGCTTGTAATTATGTGTAGATGACTGATTCTCAATTGCCTTTATATTTAGTACTAAAACATATCATTAACATATGCCATATAGAATAGAGGTTGTTTAAATAAGGGATCAAAATTAGTTGTTGCTGGCATTTAGTTTTTAGCATGTGTCACATGTTTATTCTTTAAGGATATAAAAAATCGTTTTGTATTGATTTGCTTAATAAGACTAATGTAAATGAGAAAATGATTTCTGACACAGGGCTGATACTGTACTCCTATTGCTTGTTGTCACTATCATTTCTAAAATATATATAGAAACATATTTTTGAACTTTGTAACTTTAGCTTAATTTGTTATACCAACATATATTTCTTGACACAATAAATAAAATTTATATAATTTATAATAAAACAAAATAGTTTGAAGTCATTTAGTCACTTAAAGTTATTAGATAATAAAGAATATTTATAAAACCCATTAATTTGATATTTTTATGAATGGAAACACTGAATAAAATAATGAATGTGTGTATAAAAAAGTTGTTTTTAGTTATACAGCAGTCTTGTTTAAAGTCATCATTTCGTAAGTTCTATGGTCGACACAGTGACCTTGTCACCAAGTACAATTTATTAATGAGTCAAATGTCGACTGACGTTTTTCATACTAATTGTTAGGTCATTTAATACACAATGAATTGACGACGGATTTTTCCGTCATTTCCCTATCATAACAAGGAGCACACAGCGGATGTGTCCGGTTGGCAGGGAATGCTCACTCCTCCATGGCACCTGATCTTACCTCTGATTTTTTGGAGGTTGTTGTTAGCTCTGCTCCTGTTTTGTTGTGCTTTATAGACTTTTGATCTTGAATACTCTTCGTTATATCCATTATATGTTTCATCTTACAGCATCATCTTGTAAATAATTTAAAGGAACAATACATATGAATATTAATAATTTCTGATTTTGTCTATGTATGTGTGTTTTCAACTCTTACTGCATAACAACTTACTTATAAAATTCGATTTCCTTTTAACCTTTTCGAATGTCTCATCATCTTCGATATAAACTGTAATCATGGAAATATATGGAGATAACGAACTGTATTCAAGCTCAAAGGTCCATAAAACAATTCAAAATAAGAGCAGCGGAAATACGGGCCTCCAAAACATCAGAGGTGGGATCAGGTGTCATGGAGGAGTGAGCATTCCCTCTGGTCTCAGACGCTGTGTACTCCTTGTCATAATCACGAAATAACTGACAAAATCCGTCGTCAATTCAGCTTGTAAATAATGGACTAAGAATTAGTATGAAAAACGTCTGTCAGCATTTGAATCAATGATGAATTGAGCATTCAGCATTTGAAGCAATGATAAATTGTATTTGCTGACAATGTCATTGTATCGACCATAGAACTTACGGAAAAGGTGACTTTAAACAAGACTGCTGATATCCTTATTTCATCAACATGTTTGTCAATGATTTACCTCGTTTTAAAAATTGTACGTACCTAGAGCATGCTCTTGCGTATCGAATCAACTGGGAGATAATGTTTAAAATGAATTGAAACTTAATCAACAGAATCTAATTCCAGTATATTGTTTTCAATGGCTTAAATTATAGGGGATTCTGTATTGAAAGGTCATTCTTCAGTTACTATATTTTTCTTTCAAAAAAATAGAAAAACATATTTTGTTTTAATTTCGCAATTAACGGTTCTAAAAAATCTTTTTTTTTTTTTACATCCGCAATCAATCATTTAATAACCTTTGCGATCCGAGAGAAAATTGTGGTTAAATGAAGATCTAATCAGATGTACACTTTCATTATTTCCTTTTGTTTTCGTTATATTGACATCGTTAACAATTTTAAATATATATCCTTACATCGTATTTCAGGTGACTTGTTTCATGCTCATTGTTAAGCCATTGTTTTTATAGTGAATTCCACTACGATAAATTTCGTCTACTTGATCAATACAGGGTGCTAACGGCGGAGCGACAGGTTTACAGGGGATGCTTACTCTTCTTACGCATCTGATCCAACATGTGGGATTTTCAGGGGTCCGTATTTTATACCACCTTTACATAATCGTATTGTTTAGGGATTTGTGAGTTTCACTGTTCGTTACCTTTACCTTGTACATTGTATATGTTCACGTGTGTGCTGCACGTATCCGACCTTTTGTTTTTGTCTTACATCAAATTTTGATTTTAACAAAATAATTAAAATGACTGAAAATGTACTGAATATATATTTTCATTCTTCTCAGTTATTGTTAAATGAATTAAATGAATAATAGATGGCAAAATGACAAATTCACAAGTTTGGAAATATTTTGAATAAGCATATACTAGTAATTTTAAATACAAAAATCAGCAACATAAATGTAAGTTACTAGTACATCCATTAAATATCATAAGAATGAAAAGATGTCAGCCAAAAGAAAAAATAATCTACATAATTTAAAAACAAACCCGAAATGCAGTTATCAGTGCATTATAATGTTTTCATTTTTGTTTCATCTGATGTAGTTTAATCCTTTTAGTTGGACACAATATGAAAGTGAATGTTTGATTAAGTGAAAAGGTTTATTGGTCCTCTTTTGTCTAATATCACCCATTTAATATTTGCTATGTACTGGTAGACTGACTGGGGGCCATGGAGTGGGTCGTTTGCTTATGTTCCCTTGAAGAGTTTTGTCTGGATTCCTGGGATTGGTTATCCTGTGGGGAAGTTTTCTGATGTTCCAGTATATCAGGCTGCTTGGGAGCCAGTGAGTGAGTCGTTTTCGTATGTACTACTCTAGGGCTGTTTTCTCTGATGTCGTGGGATATATTCTTTTCTTTCTTTTTTGGAACAGTATGGTGTCCCTTTCCTCTCTGCACCTGTGGTCTATCTTGAATGATTTCTCTTTCCTGCAGATTAAGTTCCTTAGGCTTTTTTCTTGGTCCAGCACTGTGTACCGCAACTTTTCCAGTTGACTGTGTACCCTGCTTACTTATAATATCACGTGATGTATTTATTTCGTGATCATCCCTGTTGTTAACTAACTTTTGTTGACCACGAACAGGTGTCTCAATATCGCCTTGATGTTTTGCTGATGTTTCTGTATCATCTGTTAGGGTTGACCTGCTGTCTGCGACCCCCTTCAACAAGTTATTTTCCCTCTCTTCCTTCTCCTTTTCTTTGCGAATCCTTTGTCTTTCTCTGTTTAACTCTCCTGCTTTAAGCATCTTTCTATGTTCTTCACTCTTTTGGCGAGCTATATTCTTCTCCTTTTGATACTCGGCATCTCTTTGCCTATCCCGATGTTCTCGTTCTTCCCGTTCATATTTGTTATCTCTCGTCCTCGCACGATTGTTGACTGCTGTCTGAACGTCAGATGAATCATGAGAAGAGCTAAAATTGTAAAAGTTTTAATTTATTTATTCAATTTTATGCTCCCTTTTTCAAAGATTTAGAGGTAAATAGATTTTGCCCTGTCCGTTGTCGCATAATATTCGTTCCGGGTGTTTCGCGTTCCGGCCGGAACCTTAAAATCATAATATTGGTTCCGGATTTTACTGTAATATAGGTTCCGGCCATGAGTTCAATCTTTGAATCGCGGTATCTGTCCAGATTTCATTCCACATTGAGTCATGGAAGTAGTGGGGTTTTTTTCTTGAGGTTTTAGCATGACGCAGCGACATTCTACATGTATTTTCGTGCGTCGCACAATGTTTTGTTCTTACCAATTTTAAAAAATAGATGAATAAATAGCCTGATGATACTCTTTCTGATACATATGACTTTGGTTGCATTATAAGGCTTTGTTTATCTTATGTATACAAATCGGTTATCTACAACTCGATTCCTTTTGTTTATTTAGTGCATGCCAGGTGTGAATCTCTCGCTTCAATGCACGCAAACCCGTAAAGACAGGTAAAGAGCATGGTTAGGAGATAAACAATTTAAGACCGGGATTACGAAAGACTAACATTTAAAGAAACACAATGTCAAAGAATTAATTAATTGATAATTTTTTTATTTCAGAATTCGATAAAAGTAAAGAACAAATATTGATAATTATATTTTACGGAATTAAATTCTCTGTTTAAATGATATTACACGTGTTG